ATCCATCAGTATATCTGTTGTTTAGTAGTTTCATTATTGATATTCAAAGCTTTCAGTTCAAATATTATGGTGGAGGCTTTCATTGTTTAAACTTTACTTACCTCATGAAACATTGTTAATCTTTACTTCGAACACTGTGTCATTATTAACAGTGTCATTATTTTTCAGTGAGATGGAGAAAATTTAAAAAAATTTTTTTTAAATGTAGCGTTTTATTGTATTTCTTTGATTTTTACAGTTCTCAAGTAGTATGAGATTTCTGTTGGGTCAGTTGGAAGGTCAGATACTTCACTACACGGCACTGCTTCGTACTAATCATGTAGGGAAGTAATGATCAAAGAGAACAATGGACGCCTACCGTGACAGATAGAAGTTTACCAAAATACCTGGCATTGACACTAATCACAACACAGAATGACAGAGCGTGGCTAATTAGCTCAGTGCCAGTCTATAGACAAACGTGGCAGCAAGAAAACAATGCTTTCTCTTTGAGCTGTGGTCCATCATTATTTGTTTAGATAACAAATTAACGAGTGAACTGGTGTTATTTGAGGGACGGGTGCCAGACAAGGTCAGCCTCTATTGTTTGCTTGGGTCCACTCTTCACTGGAGTATTATTCACCTGTAACGAGTTTACCTCACCAGTGAAGGGGTTACCTTGACCAGATACACAAGTGGTTCAACAGAGCTGGTTGATATTGTGCTGTGAGGGATTAACTGTGAGGGATTTACTGTGTGTTCAAGTTGGAGGGAGTTACACTCTTTAAACAGATTAAGTGGTAAGAATGTTAGCTACTTGGAGTGGTATTCAGGGTTAAAAATTATGTTTTATTTTCTCTCATCTCCATAAATGATCGCCTGTAGTGTTAATGTCTACTGAAGGGTAAAAGTGGCAGTCCACATGTAGAAAATGTCACTAGTCGTTCCTTACTTTCAATACTTGTGTACCAGCCTTATGTTCATTTTAAGCCCATATATTGTAAATGAATACTATTTTAGGTGTGATATTTGCTGGTGAATGTTAGATGATTTGGTTTAAACAAATTTATTTTCACAAAAGTGTAAAAATGGATTGGATAAACAAGCGAAGCGTTTTTATTAATACTGCTCCATTACACGTAGAACATATTATAATAAATACATCAATGAAGGTTAGATGAATGAATTGTACATGCCAAGCTAGATGTGTATATATAATAAATCTATTTGCAGTTTATATTAAACAATTTATTTAACTGAAAATCTGCCAGTTTTTTATATGAAGTTTTGAATAGAATGATTTTGTATTATTGGGTAAAAATGTTTTCCCAATTTTCTTTATCTTAGTGCATAAATCTATTTATCAATTTTTATATAACACGTAAAAAAGTATTTTTATTTTTGTTTTATGTGCGTTAATTGATAGCCGTATGTGATAACAATTTACAGGGTGTTTGGACTGATTCAGATCAATATGTGGTGACAGTTAAACACTTTTCTGATAAGTGACTAGCGTGTACATAGGATTCCTTTTCTTGGTAAATGTACATACTCTTGAGTGGATTTCCATGAAAAAGCCTTGTTCACTATAGGACTAGTGCGTAGCTGTGGGCTTTTACGCTGAAACTAAGGATGGGAATGTGATATGTATTATCGCAGGAACATGCGTATTGTCCGGCTGTGTTGAACAGTGAGATGGGGGCTGGCAGTGATTAGTTTTGACAGCCGTGTTGACCTAGCGAGTGCTTGACTGAATCTATTTAGGTCACAGTGTGACCTTATATAGCAACGGAGGTTTCTGTGAAATTTACCCCACCTGTACGTGCAATGGCTGAAAAGTAAGTAGCAAGAATGTTGGGTTTGAGACAGGTTGGTATTCTCTTGTTCACTGGCGTGTGAGGCTGGTTGGTGGGTGGACATTTCTCTCACTTAATGTCACTGTTTTTGAATTCTGTGTTGTTGAAATATTCAACGGTTTCCACGCCGGGTTCATGTTGCCATGGCAACTGATTGGATTAATTATTTATGTCATTAGAGGGGATCCCAGGACATGGTGCTGGTCTTCTGTGTACACATGGGTATGCAGGTGTATGCAGGTGTATGCAGGTGTACTCGTCTGAGGGAGACAGTTGGTTTGGGGTTAAACACAGCACTGGGGCCCTGTATGGGTATCTGTCACCTTGTGTGTAGTTGTTGGAGTATTCTTGTAGTTTCAACCAGAAATAATTACTGATACATTTGATCATCAAGTAATCAACTAAGAGAACTGATCATAGTGTTCAGGGAAGGTGGGGTAGCCTCGTGGTTACAGCATTCGCTCGTCATGTCGAAGACCGGGTTCAATTCCCCACATGGGTACACTTTGTGAAGCTCATGTTCTGCTGTCCCCCGTCGTGATATTTCTGCAATATTGCTAAAAGAGGCATAAAACCAAACTCACTCACTGATAGTGCAGACTGGTTTGTGTATACATTTCAAGGTAAAATTATGTTGTTATAGTAAGATCCCCTACCAATGTAAGTCTATAATGCTACCGACAATGATGTTTGACACAGACTGATATTGACATATTTCCAGGTTGTATTTATTATGGGAGCTATTCTCGGTACATTTAAACTTGTTCTGAGTACATTGTGTGTAGCGTGTCTATGGCCCCCATAATGTAGTGATGTTTTAGCACAGTACCATACACTCTCTATTTGGAGTAGCCTTGTGGTTAAAGTGTTTGTCACGTCGAAGACCCGGGTTCAATTCCCCATATTGGTACAATGTGTGCAGCCCATTTCTGGTGTCCCCGTTATGATATTGCTGGAATATTGCTAAAAGTGGCGTTAAACCAAACTCACTCACTTGTCCACTCTGTATCCCCTTCTACTTCCATGTCGCGCAGGACATTCAGAGCCCAAACTGCGTCCTGAATTGGTCACTTCTCCGAAGATTAAGTCTATTAACCTTCTGTTTGGTCTAGTTCACTAAACTAATAATAAAAGAAAACTCTACTAAAATGACACTTAGACCCAAGTAAGGGCAAGTAGACTAGTTTTGGTATCACCCAAATTGTTAAATAGATATTCTGATACCATTCAACCCCAGGGCAACTTTAATCATATGTATTGGCAACAGAACACTTATCAGTTATGATTTGCTATACATATTACTTTTAGCATAGTTAATATTACGTATACATTATTGACAGGGACATGAATAATATTCATGGGTAGACAAAAAGATTTCACCATTATTGTTATTTTCTATGAAAGTCATCATCACATGTTAAATTCTGCCGCTATTTCAATTTCTCATTCTCGACACTTCAGCCATCCAGAAATGTATTTACAATTGAGACATACACCATCATGGCAAAAATGTGGTGTTGGTACAGCCTCTCGTTATAAACCTACACGAAACAGTGTGCAGTGAAGCTTATTGATTTGCTGAATGAGATTATGTACAATAATTGAAAGTGTGATCTCCAATAGAGACTAAAACCAGTCTGGCAAGTTTTGTTGACAATAAGGGTTTATTTGACCCTACATGGAACATATTGCTTCAGGCAGTGCTGTAATAAAGGATGTCACACTTGACCTGTTATCTTGTACACACTGCAGTCCAGGGTTGCATCTTGCTAAGGATGCAGCATTTATAGCATTGATAGGATTGAATGAGCAAATTATTTCATCTCGACGCTCATGTTGTGTGACGAGTCACACACTAGAGAGGGCGGGAATATCTGCTGAGAGACGGAGTGAATAGAATCTCCTGTGGCTGATTGTAACATTGAGAGGTATATTTGTGTGAAACTTGTAGGGCTTTTGAAATTCAGATGATGTTGAGTTGGGAAAATGTCTAGGTCAGCGTGTACCTGTAACTCAGTTCGCAATGAATACATGTGTTGAGTGAACACCAAGTCGCCTCATATAATCGTAGGCTGCTCTTACTTTTCTAACCTGGAGTCCACAAGGGGAATAAACAAATGTTCATAATGATTTTTTTTAAAGCAATCCATGATTTAGGATGTTGTTTCATCAGACGATACTTAACCCAGAGTGAACTTTAACACAAATTATCCTTTGATATCAGTTGATCTGTTTTCTAATCTGTGTTCCCATGGATCTGGGACTAAAATAATTCAAGTTCTTATATCACCATGACAGTGTGTGTGTTAAGCATTGTGTACGGTTACGCTTGTAGATGATTATGAGGATGACAATTGTTTTGCACAAACTTGAATGCATTTAGGCACATTTGAAATAGACATCAAGTTTTAGATGTGCCTATATGTATTCTTGCCAAACCCTGCAATTTGTCCATAACAGGCTCATGATTCTACCTCCCATCAAGGGGACAAGAATATTTTTACTGCTTTGGACAAAGTTGGTCTTGCCATAAAGTCATGCGATTATACCCACCCATGTGGTATTAAAAGATTACGGCTGCTTAAATTTATTGAAATGTTAAAAAGTCTGGTTCAGGTTGTCAGGGAAGTTTGAGGTATTTTAGAGACACTTCAAACACTTCCATAAGACAAAGTAGTACAGAGGTGAGCTGACTTGTCTACTGGAATCAGTAGGATACTGATATAAGAACTGGCTTCATTCTTGTTCAGTGGTTAAATAATGTGTCAACCTGGAGATGTTTTTGAGCAAATAAGTTCCCTTGCATTCCATACTTACAGTACAAGTCTGACAGCAGACAGCAGAAGCAAGGCTAGGTCTAGGTGTGTTTGATGAGTTGTGCCTTGATGTCACCATACGTCGTCACGATTACACCATCTTTGTTCTGTTCCTGCTGCAGATGTTGTGTTATTTTCCCACAATAATACTCGTAATACATACAACTAAGTGAGTCATTATTACTCATCCTTGTCATTGTTGATTTCAGCCTGCCAGTAATGCAAACATTTCCTTTTCGTATAAGTTGGACGATTGGAAGTTGAAGGCTAATATTGTTGATTGATGTTTCATACACAATCTGAATTTAGCATAATAGCAACATATTCAAATTGTTGACTTGTATTGCAGGTGTCGTGTAGAGTGCGTGATGTGACGTTCAAGATGCTGCTGCGATGTCGTCGTCGACCATGTTGAGACAGCCAGCGACGTTGGTGGTGTTCTTCCTCTCCCTCGGCCTCCACCTCGCCACCAGCACCGCTTTCCTCTTCGACAGCAGAGGAAGTAAGTATGCACCCTCGCGCATTCCTCACGTTATCCATGAAATAACAATCATGTCTATAAGGGTTGGAAAGAATTAGCATGCATTTGACATTAATGGGGATTCAACATTAGGATGTGCTGGCTTGGAGTCAGTATACTGTCTCTGTGGGGTGTCCATGTTCAACTGCAGCAGGGCACCTCAGTGGGCTAGCACTATAAAACCAACATAAGTGGAGACCAGTACAAACGGACACACATGTTTGTCACTATGTGTGAAATTATAATACAATGTTAAACATCTTCAAGTCCAGACTGACAACCTACCTGTGACCTCTCTACTTTCCACCGCCTCAACTAGACATTGTCCAGTCTTCTTGATTGGTGTATATATATTTTTGTAAGCAGTCTGGGGATGAGTGAGAACCGCAAGAACCAGTGTTGTAAGTCATCTAGTATCCCCTGGGTTTTCGGGCGCCTTAGAAACATTCATAGTTTTTTCTCTAATCACATGGATAACTGTAAAACATCTCATTCGCTTATAAAACACAACTTTCTCTTAAAAACAAGCCATCATTTACAATGTCTGTGTGATGCTACACTCCCCGTTATAACGTGGGTAATCATGATAAACGTGGCCGTCCGAAAACCTATGACCCAACGATATAGCGATATTATTATTATTATTATTATTTCACCCCATTTCACCTCACCTAAAAAATAGAGTAAGTAAATGCTTTAGGCTGCAGTCAGCAAAGTTCAAGTTCCGTTACAACTGTCTGTGAATGACCTTGACCCTTGACTGACCGGGCAGTCATGCATGGCCAGCAATCAAACATGGGACAGTCGGACTCAGTGTTACTCAAGATACCATTAAATGAGAGGATGTCCATTGACTGTTGCAACAATGTTAATTTTCCTTCCTTTTGTTATGTAGCCAAGCAAGGAAATTATAACATTAACTGAATCATTATTTTCATCAATTCTTCACACGTTTTTTCTCACTCTGCTGCAGTAAACACTTATATTTAGGGCACTAATATTTTGTAAAGTTTACATACGTGATTGTTGTTCCCAGTTGTGCGACCGAAGAACCCGTATGGCTACATCGGCGACGTGCTGAACCTGACCTGCAACGTGACGGACCACCAGATCAACGGCAATGTGTCGGGGTTCATGTACTTCACAAAGCAGTTCCGTGATGGGGAGCGAGCCCTGCCGCTGCGCCACATCCAGATACTCAGCACGCGCAGCATCCGGCTGCAGTATCACGTGACATCCGGGGGGCAGCAGGGGACGTACGTCTGCCACCTCAACAACACCGCCGACGGAACCAGCATGGTGCTGGGCAGTCAGTACGTCACTGTGGACTGTAAGTAGCATCTATAAGCAGGTCACAATCTACACCTCTTGGGCAGTGGGGCAGCCAAGTAGTTAAAGTGTTCGCTCGTCACATGGAAGACCCCTGTTAGATTCCCAACATTGGTACAATGCATGAAGCCCATTTTCTGGTGTCTCCTGCTGTGATATAGCCAGAATATTACTAAAGGTGCATAAAATCATACTCACCCCAGCTATAGGGGCATGTGGACCCACCGATCTTGCAATTCTCTGTGAAGAGTCATGTCCCTTAGGCATGCCAGAATCTGCTAATTGCAGGTTCAGATAACTGAAATACTGTTCAAAGTAGCAATCCAGTTATAATATGTTGTAAGTTTGTAGGTTTTAAATCCATGGTGTTGTTGTTCAAGCTGATCTTAGTGCTAAGATGATCGTAACTCCCATACTTAACATAGACTTACGACAGTTGTAGCACTAGGGTTGTTTTGTACAATGGCACCCAGATTTGCTCCTTGAATCAATTTTGTTTGGCGGCACCTTGTATGCATGCTACTGGGTTTCACTGAAGCTTTCAGACATTAAGCTGATGTACTTAAATACTGTTCAACATCAAACATGTCACTAACACAGACGAAATGTGTTACGTGGACTCATTATGACTTTGTTTTTTGCAGACCGAGCCCACCCAGTGAGTGCCATCAACTGCTCGGTGTATAACTGGGAGAACATGACTTGCATGTGGGATCTGGGGAGGAAGTATGTGAACAACAACTTCAATGTTCAGCTTGTGTGGGCGATAATGTAAGTATATCCTTCGTGCTCGTATTCGTGCATGATGCATGGATTGTGTGAGGTTAGTGGACACGAGTGGGCATGGGTGTAGGGTCCAGCGTTTTAAATTATGTCTGCTTGTCTGGGACTAGTAAAAGTCAGGAAGGACTAGTACCATTTCCTTGCTGACCACCAGTTTTACTGTTAGGTTGATGGAAACCCTGCAGCAAATTTATTTTTGCGAAAAATGTGTGTTGGACATTGGGCAGGTGGTGTAGGATGCGTGCCGGGTGGTATAGGGTGGAACTTGGTGGTATAGGGTGTGACGGATTGGTATAGCGTGGGATTGGGTGATATAGGGTGGAACTGGGTGGTATAGGGTGAGACGAGGTGGTTAGGTTGGTATAGGATGGGACGGGGTGTGATGGGGTGGTGTAGCATGTGACAGGTGGTATAGGGTGGGATGGGGTGGTATAGCATGTGACAGGTGGTATAGGGTAGGATGGGGTGGCATAGGGTGTGACAGGTGGTATAGGGTGGGATGGGGTGGTGTAGCATGTGACAGGTGGTATAGGGTGGGATGGGGTGGTATAGCATGTGACAGGTGGTATAGGGTGTGACAGGTGGTATAGGGTGGGATGGGGTGGTATAGCATGTGACAGGTGGTTAGGGTGGGATGGGGTGGTATAGCATGTGACAGGTGGTATAGGGTGTGACAGGTGGTATAGGGTGTGACAGGTGGTATAGGGTGGGATGGGGTGGTATAGCATGTGACAGGTGGTATAGGGTGGGATGGGGTGGCATAGGGTGTGACAGGTGGTATAGGGTGGGATGGGGTGGCATAGCATGTGACAGGTGGTATAGGGTGGGATGGGGTGGTGAAGCATGTGACAGGTGGTATAGGGTGGGATGGGGTGGTATAGCATGTGACAGGTGGTTAGGGTGGGATGGGGTGGCATAGGGTGTGACAGGTGGTATAGGGTGGGATGGGGTGGCATAGGGTGTGACAGGTGGTATAGGGTGGGATGGGGTGGCATAGCATGTGACAGGTGGTATAGGGTGGGATGGGGTGGTATAACATGTGACAGGTGGTATAGGGTGGGATGGGGTGGCATAGGGTGTGACAGGTGGTATAGGGTGGGATGGGGTGGCATAGCATGTGACAGGTGGTATAGGGTGGGATGGGGTGGTGAAGCATGTGACAGGTGGTATAGGGTGGGATGGGGTGGTATAGCATGTGACAGGTGGTATAGGGTGGGATGGGGTGGTATAGCATGTGACAGGTGGTATAGGGTGGGATGGGGTGGTATAGCATGTGACAGGTGGTTAGGGTGGGATGGGGTGGTATAGCATGTGACAGGTGGTATAGGGTGGGATGGGGTGGTATAGGGTGTGACAGGTGGTATAGGGTGGGATGGGGTGGTATAGCATGTGACAGGTGGTATAGGGTGGGATGGGGTGGTATAGCATGTGACAGGTGGTATAGGGTGGGATGGGGTGGTATAGCATGTGACAGGTGGTATAGGGTGGGATGGGGTGGTATAGCATGTGACAGGTGGTTAGGGTGGGATGGGGTGGTATAGCATGTGACAGGTGGTATAGGGTGGGATGGGGTGGTATAGCATGGTATAGCATGTGACAGGTGGTATAGGGTGGGATGGGGTGGTATAGCATGTGACAGGTGGTTAGGATGGGATGGGGTGGTATAGCATGTGACAGGTGGTATAGGGTGGGATGGGGTGGCATAGGGTGTGACAGGTGGTTAGGGTGGGATGGGGTGGCATAGGGTGTGACAGGTGGTTAGGGTGGGATGGGGTGGTATAGCTTGTGACAGGTGGTTAGGGTGGGATGGGGTGGCATAGGGTGTGACAGGTGGTATAGGGTGGGATGGGGTGGTATAGCATGTGACAGGTGGTAAAGGGTGGGATGGGGTGGCATAGGGTGTGACAGGTGGTATAGGGTGGGATGGGGTGGTATAGCATGTGACAGGTGGTTAGGGTGGGATGGGGTGGTATAGCATGTGACAGGTGGTATAGGGTGGGATGGGGTGGTATAGCATGTGACAGGTGGTATAGGGTGGTATAGCGTGAGGCGAGGTGGTTAGGTTGGTATAGGATGGGACGGGGTGTGATGGGGTGGTGTAGCATGTGACAGGTGGTATAGGGTGGGATGGGGTGGTATAGCATGTGACAGGTGGGATGGGGTGGTATAGCATGTGACAGGTGGTATAGCGTGGGATGGGGTGGTATAGCATGTGACAGGTGGGATGGGGTGGTATAGCATGTGACAGGTGGTATAGCGTGGGATGGGGTGGTATAGCATGTGACAGGTGGTATAGCGTGGGATGGGGTGGTATAGCATGTGACAGGTGGTATAGCGTGGGATGGGGTGGTATAGCATGTGACAGGTGGTATAGCGTGGGATGGGGTGGTATAGCATGTGACAGGTGGTATAGCGTGGGATGGGGTGGTATAGCATGTGACAGGTGGTATAGCGTGGGATGGGGTGGTTAGGTTGGTATAGGGTGGGATGGGGTGGTGTAGCATGTGACAGGTGGTTAGGGTGGGACAGATAGCTGGGCTCCACCTAATGCCTGCATGACTTGAGGTGACATGTCTCTATGTGCACGTAGATTTATATAACCAACTGACACTAATATCAGTGTTTTGATGCAGCCAGTCATATGTATCATGGTGAAGGGTCAGGTGAAGTTTGTTTTGTTGCTGGGAAGCTGTGGCATGGGTTATCACATGACCCCGGAACTTTAACAAGCTCGATGTCGTGTTGTTGGCTTCAGTGAAACTTTATTTGCCTGAAGTTTATTGTGCTTTTATGCTATTTAGTGGTTATGAGTAGCACAAAATATATAGTGTGGTGTAATTATTTTTTTTACGTTAGATTTTCCTGTATTTTGTTTAAAGCATGAACAGTTTCTGTTCACAAATGTTCATCAGATGACAAGTACAGAGCTTGACAATGATCAGTGGTAGCAGACGTCCAGATAATCTGCGTAATTGTGTAAAATGCACAAAGTAATTCACCATTACCCATTAAAAAAAAACGTTATTGCCTTCAACTGCACATGGGGTTGGTCGGGTAGTCTAGTGGTTAAAGCGTTCGCTCGTCATACTGAAGCCCGAGGTTCGATTCCCGACATGGGTACAATGTGTGAAGCCCATTTCTGGTGTCCCCTGCCGTGATATTGCTGGAATATTGCTACAAGCGGCATAAAACCATACTCACTCACCGACTTCTATACAGAAAATATCTTCTGGATGCATAAACACTACTGCTGTTATATTGCACAAATTGTCACCAAGACAACATCAGAACTAGTTTTGAAAGTTGGTTTAATTGGTTTAAGAGAATCCAGCAGACTTGGCCAAACTGTAAAATATGTGTAATATGTTTACCCAAAGAAAACTATCAATATCCAGTGTGAATGGTAATATATGAGTAGGTACTTATCAGTATCTGGGAAACTTATTAGAAGCCTTTGGTAGACTGTAACAGGATCTGCTGACCCCAAATACTGGTGCAGGCTTCATGTGGTTCCTCCATTTTGCATGTCTAAGGGGTAGTTTAATACACTTTTACAGACCGTTTAAAGGCAGGTATGTATTTGGTACTGTTTAGCTGCTTGTAATTTGCGTCTTCAAAACGCTTGACCCTTGTGCCAGAGTTGAAAACTAACAAGTGTACAGTCAGTACATCTTTCTAATTCCTTCTTTTCGCAGCTTGTGTGTTGTTTTTCTGAACAAACCCATTCCTACCTTGCTTGTGTAGAGACTGACAACAGGCAGTATAGAGTTCTGTTAAGTTTGGTGTCAAGTGGTAGGTAATGTATGATATGGCCGGTTGGAGAACTGTACAGCCTCCACTTCCTACACACGTAGTACCCTTGTGTAGAGACTGACAACAGGCAGTATAGAGTTCTGTTAATGCAGTAGGTAATGTGTCATATGGCCAGTTGGAGAACTGTACAGCCATCACTCCCTCCACACGTAGTACCCTTGTGTAGAGACTGACAACAGGTAGTATAGAGCTCTGTTAAGTTTGGTGTCTAGCGGTAGGTAGTGTATGATATGGCGTTTTGGAGAAATGTACAGCCTTCACTCCCTCCACACATAGTACCCTTGTGTAGAGACTGACAACAGGCAGTATAGAGCTCTGTTAAGTTTGGTGTCTAGCGGTAGGTAGTGTATGATATGGCCAGTTGGAGAACTGTACAGCCTTCACTCCCTCCACACATAGTACCCTTGTGTAGAGACTGACAACAGGCAGTATAGAGCTCTGTTAAGTTTGGTGTCTAGCGGTAGGTAGTGTATGATATGGCCAGTTGGAGAACTGTACAGCCTTCACTCCCTCCACACGTAGTACCCTTGTGTAGAGACTGACAACAGGCAGTATAGAGCTCTGTTAATGCAGTAGGTAATGTGTCATATGGCCAGTTGGAGAACTGTACAGCCTTCACTCCCTCCACACGTAGTACCCTTGTGTAGAGACTGACAACAGGCAGTATAGAGCTCTGTTAATGCAGTAGGTAATGTGTCATATGGCCAGTTGGAGAACTGTACAGCCTTCACTCCCTCCACACATAGTACCCTTGTGTAGAGACTGACAACAGGCAGTATAGAGCTCTGTTAAGTTTGGTGTCTAGCGGTAGGTAGTGTATGATATGGCCAGTTGGAGAACTGTACAGCCTCCACTCCCTCCACACGTAGTACCCTTGTGTAGAGACTGACAACAGGTAGTATAGAGCTCTGTTAAGTTTGGTGTCTAGCGGTAGGTAGTGTATGATATGGCCAGTTGGAGAACTGTACAGCCTTCACTTCCTCCACATACAGTACCCTGCGTGGCCCACAGGTTGGGGTGTTGTCATCAAGTTTGAATCTCCAGTACCATGTGGGAACCAGGTTGGCTCTGGCTACCTTTGCATGTCATTAGAGGCAACTAAATGGATCGTTTGTTTGTTGTTTAACACCACACTCAGCAATATTCAACCTATATGTGGGTCTGTAAATAATCGAATGTGGACCAGACAATCCAGTGATTGATATCCTAAACATCGATCTACACAATTGGGATACGATGACATCCGTCAACCAATTCAGCAAGCCTGACCTCCCGATTCTGTTAGTCGCCTCTTACGACAAGCATGGGTTGCTGAAGGCCAATTCTAACGCAGATCTTTATGGGTCACTAAATGGATCAAGTGGTCAGACTCGATCGTGAACATATGAACAACAAAAATGCTAAATATTTCCAAGTTATACCTATCATATTGCTGAGAGATAAAACATGGTGGATGCCCATGATCATTATTGTAAGTGAGGAGTAGGTTGTTGCAGCAGAGAGGTAATGTAGCACTGGACATTGGAACTAGAATCACCCAGCTAAAACTCTGAAAACATGATCTTACAGCCAGTGAACTAAACATAACACTTAATGTATTTACAAGCTTAACACAGTTGCCCCCTGATGTGTACTATAACTTAATTGTCCGTGTTTTCTGTGATTAAGGTTCAGTGTGCTCCAACTTTTAAACCCAAATTATAGCTGCTGAATCTGCATTAATTAGTGTAATAATGTTTTAAACTTTCAGTTGAGCAAATTTCGGCTCAGTAATATTATACTGTCCTCATCACCTACCATATGTACATCTATGATTATTATTATTTTCTGTAATATTTTTGAATCAGAATTGTCTTGAGTCACTTGGTGCACTTTTCTTTCCAATGTTCCCCTACACTTCTATTGGTGGAAGGTAGCTTGTGCTTGTCGGAGCCTTGAGACTTGCTCCAGACATCTGTGACGCACAGTTGATAGTTTTTATTGTTACCTTGTTTCTTGTGTTGCAGTTGGACAATTTGAACATGCTAATTCTTATACTTACTGGTCTGGACCTTCTGTTTAACATAATCACGAGCATTATTTGTGTGTCATTATGTCATCATGTAGCTTAAATAAGTGAATGAATAATCATGTCATGTATAACATTTGCACATTAGCTGGCTATTATTCATTCTTTTGTCCACCCACACAGCCATCACCCACTCATAATCTATCCACCAACATCTATCCATCCATCAATTCAACCACCTACCCGCAGCCATCACCCACCCATCATCCATCCAACCACCCATCATTCACCAACATCTATCCATCCATCAATTCAACCACCTACCTGCAGCCATCACCCACCCATCATCCATCCAACCACCCATCATTCACCAACATCTATCCATCCATCAATTCAACCACCTACCTGCAGCCATCACCCACCCATCATCTCATTAACCACCCATCATTCATCAACATCTATCCATCCATCAATTCAACCACCTACCTGCAGCCATCACCCTACCATCATCCATCCAACCACCAATCATTCACCATCACCCATCCATCCAACAATTCAACCATCTGCCCGCAGCCATCACCCCCCCATTATCCATCCAACCACCCATCATTCACCATCACCCACCCATCATCTATCCAACCACCCTTCATTCACCATCATCCAACCATCCATCAATTTAACCACCTACCCACAGCCATCACCCACCCACCCACATATCCACCCACATATCCACCCACATATCCACCCACATACCCACCCATCGTCCATCTAACCATCCATCTGCCACTCATCCATCCATCTCTGTAGCATCACACTAACCCCTCTGTGGTTTGGTTGTTGACCACCAATTGTTTCTGTGTTACAGGGAGGGCCAGTTTGACTGCCCCCACCCCACAAAGACCTCCTGCATCTGGCGGCCAATGGACGGGCGTGACTCCTTCCAGGCCGGCAAGACATACTACATGACTGTGATCGTCACCACCAAGGACAAGGCCAACATTACAATGAGTGAAGCCCAGTCCGATGTGTTCACGGTAGAGACCAAGATGCTTGGTAAGTGTTCCTCTGACCTTTTTGTGAGAATCTGGCATGGTGTCAGCTTTGCGGTGTCAGCTTTGCGGTGTCAGCTTCGCGGTGTCAGCTTTGCGGTGTCAGCTTCGTGTGTGAGGAAGTCACTTGTGATGATGGTTAGATGTTTACAACCCACAAACATTTGTTTGGTGTTGACAAACCTAGAAACATCATCAGGTAAAAATGGGGTTCAAACCTAGGTACATGGGGACACAGCTCAATAGCAAATTTCAGTGGCTTAATGACTGGGCCACCTGTGCCCCCGATTGTGTGAGAAGTTTCTTTCATGCGTGGAGAAAATCATGTGTGGCCAAAGTCAACACATTCTTTCTTTGTAGACTTAACATAAATATCCATTTGAAAAGAAGCCACAATACACAGGGAGAGGAAATGATATGATATCGTGAATCTGGAATTGAAACACACATTCACAGTTTTCTGACACACCTGCACACCTCACTGCAGCTTAGACAACCGGGCCACCGATGCCCCCCCAGAATCCCTGACTGCCTCCATGGTCTAGTGGTAGAGCATCCGCCCGGAGAGCGAGGTCTGGGGTTCTGTACCTGGCTGTGTCATACCAAAAGACATTTAAAGATGGCACTTGTTATTACCCTGTCTGGCGCTCACCATTAACTGGCTAAAACAAAGGACTGGTCGGCTCAGAGTCAGTATACTAGTATACTATGTCTGACTGAGTAGGGTATCCATGTTAAACTGTGGCATGGTATCTCAGTGGGCTGGCACTATAAATGTGAACTATAACAAGCAGCCACACACACATGCATTGCACCTCCTGCAATAATCTTGGATTCGATGTTAAACCCCATTTCACCTCCCCCATACCAGAATCCCCTGAAATTGTGTTGATGTTGGGTTGATCTTGACTTGATCTTGAGTTCATGTTGGGTTCATGTTAGGTTGATGTTGAAGTGATGTTGGGTTGATGTTGAGTTGATGTTGCAGTGAAGCCGGCGGCGGTGTCCAGTCTGACGCTGCTGGACAAGAACAGCACGTGCCTGTCCCTGAAGTGGCACCACAGCAAGTCCTTCAGGAACATGATGTACCGGCTGCACGTGTGGCAGGGGGAGCAGGAACAGGTACTGCCCATCATGTCAGGGCTTACACAATGGATCACCTTCAGCTTGGCGTGCTTGATACGAAAACAATAAATTGTGTAGCTAATGTTTAGCAGTTAGTGCAATTGGTTTCGTGGGACAAAAAACAAAACAAAGTGCTGGATGTTTGGTATTTGCACAGCACCATCCATATGTGTTCTTTAGAGAAGACTTTGCTCTCTTTATAAGGGTTTGGCACTGGCAGGAGACTATAGTTACAAGTCATTTGATCAATATTATCTACAAAGTTAATAGTTACTTGAATGTTGTTTGATTTGGTAGTCGTGTCTTCAGTTTTCTGGTCCATCCAAGATAGGGTGGTCTCCATTCCAGGTTCATGTTATTTGGACTACACCGTTTCTGGAACATCTGTCAGAAGATTATCTTCCTGTGATTTCAGACCTACTACCAGACCCAGGAGAGGAGGAAGGTTATTTGTGGCCTTCACCCGGCCAAGGACTACGTGCTGCTGGTGTCGTGCATCCCCATCCCTGAAGGCCTGCGGGAGCCCCACGGCACATACAGTGAATTGAGCTCCATCATAGAGAAGACGCTGGAGGATGGTGAGAGATATGCACATTGTATAACACACCTTGTCTCACCATACATTAAAATACTAGCTTCTGATTGGCTAAGGAGCTAATTATTTTCCATGTAGCCTGCTCATACCATGATGAGAAATCAGTTGGAACACACTTTAGGTAATTTGCTTATCTCACATTAGTATCATTGAGGTGAAATGAACTGACGTTTATCTGAATGTAGTTCGGTTTAGGTTGTCTGGAAGCTGTAAAAATGGCTGAATCAAAGTGTTTTACTCGGTGAAACTTTGGACATATATTCTGGGTCTGTTTGAAAGAACTGATCCCTTGGGGCATAGGGTGTGATGCCTGATGGCTCGGGGTACATGGGCTCACACAAAGGGTACATCACACCATATAGGAATCCTCAAGATCGGTTGACAACATATAATATCACAGGGCTATGGACACCAGTGACAGAAAGCATGAGGAACACTGATCCTTGCCACTGGTGCATCAACACCCAGTTGGTTGGTTCTTACACCAAGCATGGGCTCCCCAGGACCTGTTGTAACCTGGACTAGCCACAGGACTGTACAAACTGAGGAATCACTGGTGCAGCAACACCCAATCCTCTTGTTGGTTCTTACACCAAGCATGGGCTACCCAGGACCTGTTGTAACCTGGACTAGCCACAGGACTCTACAGACTGAAGAATCACTGGTGCAGCAATACCCAATCCTCTTGTTGGTTCTTACACCAAGCATGGGCTACCCAGGACCTGTTGTAACCTGGACTAGCCACAGGACTGTACAGACTGAGGAATCACTGGTGCAGCCATGCCAAATCCTCTTGTTGGTTCTTACACCAAGCATGGGCTACCTGGGACCTGTTGTAACCTGGACTAGCCACAGGACTGTACAGACTGAGGAATTATAGAGTATCCAGTCTAAATAGCACTTTATTCAACTCTTACTTCACAGACCTCCTCCATGGTCTTGTGGTAGAGCGTCCGCCCGGAGAATGGAAGGTCCGGGGTTCGATCCCTGACCGCTTCATACCAAAAGACGTTAAAAGATGGTACTTGTTGTTACTCTGTCTGGCACTCGGCATTAAGCGGCTGAAACAAGGACTGGTCGGCTCGGAGTCAGTATACTGTGTCTGAGTGGGGTATTCATGTTAAACTGCGGCATGGTATCTCAGTGAGCTAGCACTATAAATCGGCATCAGTCCAGCCTAGTACAAGCAGCCACGCACACGTGCATGCACATCGCTATATAAGTGCAATAATCTTGGCCGAGACGTTAAACCCCATTTCACCTCACCTTACCTCTTACTACACATAGGGGCAGCGTTATTCATAGACACACAGTGACCAGGACGCAATATGTTCAGTGTTAACTGTTACTGTTAATGATATTGCCGAAGATGTCTAACCTGCTCAGTTTTTCATCTTTGCCTTGTAGAATCATATTCACTCACCATCGGTATTGTTATGGGCCAAATGCTAAGAGTTCTGTTTGTTTTTCAGTGCCAAGTGGGGTTCCTGGTATTGAGATCAGCAGCTTCAGATACCACAAGTGCAGCTCTCAGACCTCGGACTGTGAGGTCACCATCTACTGGCAGGTATGTAGGATATACTGTAAAACGTGAAATTAATGCATCGCCAAAAGAATGCGACTGCTGGCCCCTAGCCAAAACTGCGACTCAACATGAATGCGACACCCCTCTCCTTTCAAGCTCCAGTGGATTTATATATATCTACACAAAATATCCTCTGTCAGGTTTACAGGAGAATCCAACCTTGCATTAATCAGATCACACTCCAAATAGCACTGCTTATTAGCACTTAGTAGAGTACTTCGCTAAAACAATAAATGCGAGCAAAAACCACTCGCATTTTTCGCATTTAATTCATGCTCGCGTTAATTTCACGATTTACTGTAGTTTGTTTGCTTATTCAGTGCCACAATATTCTAGCCATATGATGTCAGTCTTCTTATTAGTTTGGACCAAACAAACCAATGATTGATATTATGAGTCCAATTCTTTTGAGGTCTGATGACAGGCAATATACCAAGTTACCAAACCACAGACCACCTCATCTCAATACTGATTCAATATTCATTTTACCCAACAGCCAGTTGTAGACGTGGAGTGTAATGGGGAGATAACTCAGTACCAGGTGACACAGATCGACACGGAGATAGGACAGATGCAGGAGTTTGAGGTGGAGGGATCGGACACTTCGATCAACCTCGGGATCAAGAAGGTCAGACAGTACTTGATCAGATTAAAAGCCAGAACTCGGGTCGGATATTCAGAACATTCCGCATCCATGGTGATTCCAGCATATCAGTACAGTAAGTTTATGATTTAAATGTGGGAAATATTTTTATTGGCTGCAAGAATAATAGCAACACAGTGGTATCTGTAAATAATTAAGGATAAAATACATTGGAAAAATAAAAAAATCATTAAACAAAATAAACTGAAAAGAGTTAGTAGTTGTCAGGATGTTTATTTATGATTTTAGAATTGTTATTCTCATTTGTACCACAAAGTTGTTCATGTTGTCCCATGACCTTTTTCAGAGTTGCCTCCCCCTTCTGACGTCTTGGTGGAGGCCGAGGGTTCTGTTCTGCACATCAGCTGGGGCCCCCCTAAACACTCCCAGGACTCCCCCGAGGGGCACACCCTAGGGTACACACTGTACTACTGTACTGGGTCCAAGTTCACTTTCAAATGCGTGGTGAGATTTCCATTTTATTTTTCAAGAGTGCAAACATTGTTATCATCTGGTAGAGAAATTTGAGTGATCTTGTAGTTTGAGACTTACCTTTTTTGGGTCATCAAGTTTTGCCTATGGAGACCCACAGACCAATGAGTGAGTGAGTTATTTAGGTTCAATCCCAAAGGAGGAAATCCCTAAGTGATGCAGGCCATAGATGCTGACATTCCAAGGGGATGTATAAGATCAGAACCAACAGTCTGTGGATCCTGGCTTTGACAAAGCAGCGTTGCTATGCACAGACACTTGCAGCTGAACTTGAAGGGTTTTGAGGAGGGTTGTGTACAGATGATGGCAATGAATCACCATCTCAGTAAGAGTCTTGTTTGTTCCAGGATAACATTCAATGGCTGCCCTTCACCACTGACCAAATGGCATTTGACTGGGCAGTGCCTGGTGGTAACCTTGACAATAAGATGATTGGCATCTCAGCAGAGAGGGAGGTAGCCAATGAGGATTTGAGCAGTGGCATTATGTGGAACACATGTGTATACCAGAAGCGAAGGAGTGAGTACAAGCCAGAAACTGACTGGTAGATTGTAGATTTTAAGGGTGACAAGTAAGAATTCCAAATCTTTAACATAAAAATAGGGAAATTCCCAGCAGGTTGTCAACTAAGAATAGATTTATAACAAAAAATTGCAAAAGTAATCTTGTTACAAGGCAATGAGGCAATGCTAAGAACCAGTCTGTTCAAGATAAGCTCCTTCTGTGCAAAGAGAACATAACAATTTTGGTGTCAAGTTGAAATAAACCAAAAACAACATTGATGTCAAATAGTGTAGTTTCGGACAAAATGTCCACACAACCTGCGATTGTATTTGGACGGTGTTTTCATCTTGCCCTTGTTTTTCAGAACCCTCCACTCCCAAAAATGTGCAATTTTCACCCGACCAGCCTGACAATGGCCTCCGTGTTGTGTGGGAGCGGTCAGACTGTACCCAGGACCCAGCATACACCACACACTTCCTGCTGTCTTACTGCACCACCAATAGTCAGGGAGGATGTGCAGGTAACCATGGAAATAGAAGTTGATATGTGATAGTGCCAGGCTTCAGTTAATACGTAGTTAGTTTGAAAAGACATGGTAACATGATTGTCTTGAAAAGGCCTGGAATTGAGAAAAAGCCTGGAAAATGACAAATTGTAGTTTTAACATTGTGCTTCGTTCTTGTGGAGACTTTGTATTATAGTATTAAATATCAGTTGAGAGTTACCTCCCTTCCTCCCTGTCTTAAGCAGAGAGGCAAGGTCATTTTCCTGTTATCTGTTGTTGTGTCTGAAATATGCATGCAATGGCAGAAGATAGTTCTTTCGGTTTCTTTATCATTAAGAAACCACCATTCATCCATCCATCTTCCCGAGGCAAGGGAGTTAACTGACTGTAAAAGTCCAGTTTCCACCCTTGCCCAACTAGGCTGGAATTCCTTGGCTCGATCATAGCGCCTCCACTGGCTATTATAAGTTATGTCCCTTCTATGTCCCTCCTATTGACCAATCAGATTCCACCTCTCATATCCCTTGCATTTGTTTGAAACAAAATGGTGGCACCCAGTGAAGACGCTCTGCATCAAATCACATGATCACCTTAATCAAAATATTGAAAAGATTTGGAAAATATCTATTGATGCTAAGTTGACATTACACATGCTTTGCAAATCCTGCAATCGACCAAAACCTGCTCGGCAGTTTACTAACCGGATGTCAATTTTGATTGGACTGCGGACTCGTTAGTCCAGCCTAAATATGACTTCATAATTCCAGGGTGGAAACTGGACTCTACAGTCAGTTAACTCCCTTGCCTCGAGAAGATGGCATCCATCAGAAACTGATAAACAGTCTCCTTATTCAGTGGTCTCATTACTCTGCCACTATTGGACATTTTAAAGACCCAAGATTTTGTTCAACAATCTGTATGTATGTTACAGGCCCCACAGTGAACCAGACTGTGTCAAACAGAGAAGTGAGTTATCTCCTCAAGGATCTGTCAGCAGGAGTGAAGTACAGGGTGACACTCCGAGCTGTGTCCAGGTCAGGAGAGGGGCCAGAGAGTGAACCCATCTTCCATACGGTGGTTAATAGTGGTAAGGAATAGCTTACAAGTCTGATATATTCAAGTGAGCTCTGCTGTTCTGTGTTATTGTCTCAAGGCTTTGAGAGTTCAAAGAGGGCAGTGTTTCGAGTTGAGGCAGGTTGGCCATGTTCCAGAGATATACAGCTGTGCGTGGCCTTTGTAGAACAAATTGCAGTTTAGCTAAGTTTGAAAAGATAGTGGCTGGATGGGTGACTTCACTTGGCAAACCTTCTTTCCAGGATTCTTGCGGACAAAATCAGCCTCTGCGTCATCTGGTCCAGATATACAGTTGTGTCTGCTGTGATTAAGCTTCATTATTGTGCAATCTATACTCACTAGTTGCAGAGTCTCCTTTAATTGTTTATTTCTTCCTTGTGAATTAAATATGTTTTCCGTTTTCTAGACCTGAACCCTGGTGAGATAGTCGGGGTGCTGTTTGCCTGTCTGTTTGTCCTGCTGCTGATCATCATCATCTTCATCCTCTGCATCAAGTGAGTTGTAGACACCTGTAGACACCTGTAAGGCTGTCGTAGACACCTGTAGACACCTGTAGGGCTGAGTCAAAGACACCTGTAGACACCTGTAGGGCTGAGTCAAAGACACCTGTAGACACCTGTAGGGCTGTTGTAGACACCTATAGACACCTGTAGGGCTGAGTCAAAGACACCTGTAGACACCTGTAGGGCTGAGTCGTAGACACCTGTAGACACTTGTAAGGCTGTCATAGACACCTGTAGACACCTATAGACACCTGTAGGGATGAGTCAAAGACACCTGTAGGGCTGAGTCAAAGACACCTGTAGGGCTGAGTAGTAGACACCTATAGACACCTGTAGGGCTGAGTCAAAGACACCTGTAGACACCTGTAGGGCTGAGTCGTAGACACCTGCAGGGCTGAGTAGTAGACATCTATAAACACCTGTAGGGCTGAGTCAAAGACACCTGTAGACACCTGTAGGGCTGAGTCGTAGACACCTGTAGGGCTGAGTCGTAGACACCTGTAGGGCTGAGTCAAAGACACCTATAGACACCTGTAGGGCTGAGTCAAAGACACCTGTAGACACTTGTAAGGCTGTCGTAGACACCTATAGACACCTGTAGGGCTGAGTCAAAGACACCTGTAGACACCTGTAGGGCTGAGTCATGGACACCTGTAGACACTTGTAAGGCTGTCATTAACCTGTAGACACCTATAGACACCTGTAGGGCTAAGTCAAAGACACCTATAGACACCTGTAGGGCTGAGTCGTAGACACCTGTAGACACCTGTAGGGCTGTTGTAGACACCTATAGACACCTGTAGGTCTGCGTCGTAGACACCTGTAGGGCTGATTTAAACAACTGCTTCACTGGCAATAATAATGTGTGGTACTAGTTGGTCATAATTTCCATATTTAGCCTAAAAGCAAAAGAACTGTTGGGTTGTTTGTTTAACCAAATGTGTTTCTGTTTTCAGGAAAGTACACAAAATGAAGAAAGGTTTCTACATGCATGTCAACATTCCGAGTTTGGCGACATTACCTCCGCTCAGAGAAGGCGTAAGTGGCCCTCCTTGTTTGTTGTTTGTTGCCAGACTCAGCAATATTCCAGCAACAGACGGCAGACTATATATATGTGCCAACTGATAATCATAAATTTAAAAATAAAGAAATGTCTTACAGTGAATTATGCTAGTTTGTAGGAGTTGATTCTAATGTTGATCAGGTTGTCACAATAGAGCTGTGGCTGTAAGGGGAGACAACTCTCCCCATGTATAAAACAGAGCATGCTACATTGATCATATTGTTAAACATCATTGAAATTGTGAAAGGAAAGTTTTGAAAACAAATTTTTGAAGTAAATGATATACTGGAACCGTGGTTGGATGTAGAATGAAAATGTAAGTTGTGCCTAATGTTGTGCAGGACCCCCTCCATGACGTGTCACACCACTACCCTGGGCGCCCCCTCCCCCAGGTGCCTCCCACCACCTCCCACACAGGACCTGATGATGGATACTCAAGTGCTGATGTAAGTATATATTGTTAAACTAATAATTAGGGTCCAAGAGGAATATTTTTATCTATGTGATAAGCATTAAATCAAATACGGCAAAATATTGTTGAAATCTACGGAGCCTACTTTTAATTCACGGAATTTGAGTAATCACTTGAACAATGATCCTTTGCAGTGGTGGCAGATGAAGTTTGACAGTGTAATCATCTATCATTTCTTTTTTACAACAAATCCATTTTGGAAGACTTAGCGTCTGCATTTTTATCTGGTCAGCATTTTAGCTCTTGTATTTGTAGTTATTAAATCATATTTCATGTCTTTTAACAGACTGATCCCAGTTTTGACCCACATCGATATGAGCCAATATCCAACCCAGGAAAAAACAACAACAACAACAACAACAACTCCACCAAGAGAAACGTGAGCGTCTCTTCTGAAACAGCGCTTCTGTCCAACATGGAACACAACAATGAGGATGAGGGCAAGTGTCAGCCGTACCAGGTCACACAGCTCAGTAAGATCACTGGGCCTGGTACCTCCTCCCCAGGGGGAAGGTCAGGTGTGAAACGGACCAGAAAACCCTATATTAAGAAAACAAGCTTGTCGGACCGGAGTGGAATTTCTGAAAGGGGAGATAACTCTGTGGAGAGTTACTTACAGGCGGACATGACTGGGGAGTCAACAGGTTCAAGATGTCTGCCGGACGCCAGGTGCAATCAGGGTCTTCCATTCAGTGAACAGAACAATGCCCCTCTTCATATTCCTCTACAGGAGGCTCGTGTTGGGTTTGTGTTGACCCCACCCCCTCAGACAGGTCCCCCTCCTCCCCCCGCCCCCCTCCCAGGGTTTGTGGGCCTTGTGGTGAATATCCCCTCACCACCCCCTAGTGACAATGCATCCTACATCACGGATGTGACTGCGTTAATGCGACCGTTTGACAATAGTTTAGAACACACTGCTGACACTCCCCAGTACAGTAAGATCGGGAGTGATGGTAGCTCATCCCCACCCCCCAATACAGGGTATGTGTCATATGATCAGGCTGAGGCGGTGGGCCGCACCCCCTTTCCAACGATGACCAGCACCCCCCAGGGGGATGCGCCCGTGGCGGTCAGGCCACTGAGTGAGTACATGAAGCATCTTCCCCTTAGCTACTACGAAGAGCCACAGCCAGATCAGGAGAATGGGCCGACTACAGAACTGTGATGTCAGATGGCATAGTGTTGGTTATATCAGTTGCTGGAGATGATCTGACCCCAGGACAAGGAGAGCCAATCAGAATCAAAAGTAGAGACATGTAGTAGCCAATCAGAGGATACAGAGTGAGAGAGCCAATCAAAAGAAGGCAAAGTGCTGGCAATTAGAAAGAAGTATTGTGAGACCAATGACAGAGCACTGATGATGAACAATGAGAAGAAATGAGAAGTGCTATGAGAATTATTATTATTATCATTATAATTATGATTATGAAAAGTTATTTATTTCCAGAAGGATGGATTCAACATGTGGAGAGAACGTGGTTTGCTCCATGTTAGTAATAATCCTTCCACAGGATCAAAGCACAGGGTGATAGGATGTCATTCCTGCATCAGCTTATTGACCAACTCCATCATGTGTTTCTGTAAGAACCATTTTATGACACTGAATATGAGTAAAAAACAGAACAGCTGTCATTTCATTGAGAATTTTGTTTCTTTCTCTCACAAATATTAAAAATGAATGTAATTGTGATAATTTTGACATTCCATTATCACTATATCAAGTGTCATCATTGCATGCACGGTTGCTGCACAGTGAGGTGCATCTTGAAGGAGTAGTTCTTGTCTATGAAATCTTGATTTCTGCATTTAGATGTGCAGGTGCATGCATGTGCATATGTGCATTTGACAGTCTGTGATTTCATGGTGTAATGCTCCCAGTAGCAGACAGGGTAATGTATACCAGAAGTTGAATAAAATGGTATGTTCTTAAGAAGACACAATAGGGGCATTTCTGTTACAACTCATTGGGTATCTGAAGAGAACAGTTTAGGTGGCATGACTTCTGAGATCAGGTGAAAGGGAGGGGTATTTCAGGTTTGACTTCTGTACATCAACTTGAGTTGATCATTGGGAGGCACAGAAGGTCTTACACTCCACAGCAATCTTGGCACTCTGACACACGTCTTTGTTGAAATACGGGACGTCAATCGCAGCTCTGCAGTACCTGTAGTTTAAAGGACCAGGGCCCTGGTGGTGTGGGTGCTTCCTGCCTGGCTCGCCTGGTCTTGGGTTTGAAGCTTGGATTCACCCCCAAACTGTTGGTCTGTCTGCACCTGACCTTCGGAAAGTGTTTGCTAAAGTAGTAAAAGTCTGGGAACTGCAGACGTTCTGAGCCATCTCACAGCCCCCTTATAAGTACAGGGGTCTACTGCAGTAAACAGCAGGAAGTTTGTTTGGCAGTATTATTTATTTAGGGAGTTGAGTAATTATGGTTGTTGCTATGCATGTCATCTGAGGGAAGAGGTTCTTGGTTATGTTTTAATAGTTGAGAACATGTGTTCCATTTTCGCAAATACTTTTTCTTCCAAAACATTATACCTCAGTGAGCAGTTATTGAGATCAGTTTGTCTGTGGACAAATAGTGTATTGTCAAGTTAGGAATTTTTTTGTCTCAAGGTAGGGATATTCTTTGGGCCATCAATTCCAAAAATTATATTATTCAATGTATAAGAGGAATAAAATATGTAATGTGGGGGTTAATCTACAGATAAGCTTTATTTAGAGGTTATAATTAAATTAATAATTAAAACAATGGGTTTAAAAAGAATTTGTGTCTTGTGCGGTACTTGTATAAGTGTATGATTATGAAGCTGTCAGATGAAGTGTTGAAGTATTCAACGTCTACATGACCAAATAATTCTACTTCCTTGTGTTATTGTTGTCAAAATGTCAGCAAGTATGTTTCATTCCTGTTTTAGATGTTTTTTAAGATATCTTGCCTCAAAGTATATATATTTTTTTTAATATATATTTTTTTGATATTTTATGTTTTAAGAATGGAAGATCTCCATACAGGTTGAGTATGCTTTCCACTTCATTCAGTCTGAGTTTCTTTGTCTTTTTGTAAAGATTTGTACATACGTACCTGTACATAATGCATTGCTCTTACTGATCAATTTTTCGGATCAAACAGATGACTCCACTCTTGTATATATGTAGCAATGTAATAGTGTACATTATGATAATTCATTTGTCAAAGAAGTGCTTTCGCTCAAGAATTTGATTCTTGAAGTTGGTATGTCTGTATATACAGTCCAAGGTGTATTTAATCTGTGTAAATGAAACTATAATGTAACACACTTCTTTTGTGTTATACACATGCAGTATTGCATTGACTTGTAGAAATATTGTGTGGCTTTTAGGCTTAAAAAATAAAAGAATTGGTTCTTGGGCAATGACTTTCAAAAAAATAGTGCGGGCAGGCAATGTTTTTTTGTTTTTTGTTTTTTGTATTTTTCAAACTAGTATGTAGCCAAATAAACAGTTGTGTACCATCAACCTGGGAAAGGGCCTCCCTACATAAATAAGCATACAAACTCCTATTGCTACCATTACCATGACAAGAGATGTGCAGTAAAGCAGTGCGCATGTAAGGGAAGAACATTGCATGCCATGTTGGATTGCATTATTTTTAAGTATTAGGATTTTTACATTTTTAAAAAAAATGGAAATAAAAATTAAACGTGCGGCAGACATTATGATGCGGGCGGTGCCTGAGAACCAAGACTATTATTCTTTTTAGCCTGAGTAGGGTCATTTTCCCTTTTACAATACCAGCTGACCAGTCGTCTAAGGCAGTGGTGTCTGCTGTGCTGAGTTGCATCCCTTAGATGTGTCCTGGTTATGATCATGGGTTTGAATCCCACATTCACGATGAATTTTGGTGTGTCGGCACCATCCTGTCGGTTTCACCTAAATGGTAAACATTTTCAGCCGGGATCGCTTCATGCTTTTATCCCATGTTAAACTGACACGACGTGATATAACTGCAATTCTGTTCAAGCGTTGACACAACTCACTGTTAAGCCTGGACCAGGGGAAGTTGATCCCCTTGTTATATGACTAGGTCTCCAAAGGGCATTGACATGGTCTATGGAAGGTTCCTGGAACAGTGATGTCCGAGTGATTGATGGGGAAGTTAATCTCACAGCTGTACCCTGAGTGAAGTGTGTCATTGTTTCGCGTCCTATCATCCACTTTGTCTATAACAACTCTTAGTGACTGTGATATTCCTGTCCATGACATGAAACTGTACACTCACTCACATATTACTAAGCTCACCTGCAAATCACAAGGCCTCTCATGTTACAAATGTCAACATGTCCAGGCATCGATCAGTCTAAGTTTAAGACTTGGAGCCTGGTCCTCCCTTCTTCCTTGAACTTCTAGGAATAGTTGCCAAGTCCTTGGCGCTGAAATTTGCAGTGCAGAGTTGGTTCCCTTGGGCGTATCAGAAACTTATCCTGGATTGGATCACTAATTCACTGTGATAATGTTTCTAGGTTTGTCAGCACCTGGCTAATGCTAGTGGGTTTTAACCAAAGTGGTCAATGTTCAAGGTCTGTATTGGGGCGGTGGGGTAGCCTAGTGGTTAAGGCATTTCCCACGCCGAAGACCCAGGTTTGATTCCCCACCTGGGTACAATGTGTGAAGCCCATTTCTGGTGGTCCCTGCCATGATATTGCAGGAATATTGCTAAAAGTGGCATAAAACCGAAGTCACTCACTCACTCTCTTAAAATCTGCATCACTTCAAGCTTTCCTCCCACAGTAAGCTGGCACGCCGTGATATAACTGGAACACTGTTGAAGGCGGCATTAAACCCAACACAGTCAGTCCTGTAGTAGTTTTATCACCTCCATCTCCTGACCCCAAATATCTTGCCAGGCTTCATGCTGTCACTCTGCTTCTGACATCCATGACCTGTAGAACATGACACAGCTCCATGTGATCATCATTCCAGTGCAATAGTTCTGAATGTGGGACATGCTCCCAGTCCTAGGTGTCTCCACGCACAGATCATGCACTGTTTGTCATGTTGCAATGCCTGTTGATCCATCCCTTTATCAAGTGTTCAAATTGCTGCAGAATTCTTATAGTATTAAGTGTGAAATGCTTAGGCATGAAAATCAAATGTTGACAAAACATATATGGCAAAAGTGTTTCTTTGCAACGATACATATTTTTTGAAATGTCAATGCTAATGCTTGGAGTAGAGCTAAGTAATTGTTTTAAATCAGTGAATGCTTTGGTGGCTTGATGGAAGGGGAGGTAGCTTTCCCTGTAGAGTTGTCTCCCTTGACATGCTCATGCCCAAGCTCCTCACAGTGATAGCCGATTCGATGGGCTCTCTATACTATCGCTGCCACCAGTCAAAGGTCCCCACTGTGATAGGCGGCCACAACCATTCTTGGAGTTGTACTCACAACTGACTGAACTTTATGTTCACAATCGAGATATGACTGTCATTATGCTGAATACTCTTACCCCTGCTCAATTATTTTCTTTGTCAGTTTGGGGGGCACGGGTGTCCCAGTTGTCTAAGGTGCCGCGATTCGCTGTGCAGAGTTGCTTCCCTTAGGCACACCAGAAACCTATGATCCTGGTTCGCCCCAATTATGTTTCTAGATTTGTCAGCACCATACCCGTGCTCGTGGGTTTCACTGAAGTGGTAAACGTCTGAGACCTGCATCACTTCGGGCTTTCCTCCCACATTAAGCTGACACATTGCGATATAACTGGAATACTGTTAAAAGCGGCATTAAACCCAACTCACTCACTCACTTTGTCAGTTTGAATTTGTTTCATTACAACTCTCATGTAACTGGTATATTAATGTAATGGAGAATTTCGTTGATTTTCCATTTGTCTGCAAGCTCGAACCAATCTGATTAAACAAACAAAAAGGTAAATTCACCTTGCAAATCTGAACAGTCATAAACCTTTTCAAAATTCGCTATGATGTCAATCCCAAAGACATTAACAAAAATATAAACGTTACTACATTTGGGGTTAGAGGGCAAATTTCAAGATTCTTGTAATAGCCGTGCCCACACTGGTGGCAGCAATGTTACTGAGAGTGTAACGAAGGTGTCACACGTGGGAAGGAGCTTGGCTCATGCCATTCGTTCTGTGACACAACGGCCATGATTGTCTAAACCAGAACTAAGCTTGTGGTACTGAAGCAGTAACGACTTGTCCTCAGTTGCTTCGGATTCTTCTACCATTGGCTGCTGGCAGGAATCCTTTTCAGATTTTGTTTACAACAATTTTAACTTTTTCTTTATTTGATTAAATTTTGACTATTCTTGTAAGCATGAAGAAGGATAGCAGGTTTAAGTTTACACAATTTATGTATCCTGTATTCCAATCCATGACAATTGGCTAGTGTAGACAATTACTGACTGGATTGTGTTAAATGACAAAATAGTGCATGTTCACATCAGTCTGTGTTAGGGGCGGTGGGGTAGCCTAGTGGTTAAAGCATTTGCTCGTCACACCAAAGACCTGCGTTTGATTCCCCACATAGGTAGAATGTGTGAAGCTAATTTATGCTATCCACCGCCATCATATTGCTGAAATATTGCTAAATGTGGCGTAAAACCATACTCACTCACTCCCTCAGTCTGTGTTATAGCATGGACATTGAGATTGTTTACTTTTATGTTCATTTCAACATTCCTAGACCAATGGCCTACAATTCTGATTCTCTAGTTGAAATAAAGAAAATGTAGTCTTTTTCTTTTAGTTTTGTTAACAAATCAAACTTTATGCTTGATGTTTGTCATCCCAAACTGCCAACTTACAACTTTATTCATGCTTTTGATAAGATTTCTTAACACAAGTTTCACATTTTCATATTTTTCTATGCTGATAATGAGGTTGAATCTAATTGAAGAAACTGGTTCCAAAAATTACTCATTTTCTGCTACATTTTCAGCGTTAATTTTTTCTTCAGCTGGTATTTCAGCCTTTTCTTGCTTTCCTCTGGTTGTGATCTGTACATACAAAGGTTGTGAACATTAAACTCTGTTGCGATCATGACAATGAATTCCTGTTGTCTGTCTGTCTGTCTGTCTGCTGGTTGTGATGATGCTCATGTTTGTGTGGTCCCATCACTTTTATATATCATTGTTGAATAAACCTTCAAGACAATCTCCACTTGTGTTGTTTGTCTGATGACCTGTGCTGTATAAACACAACACACATCATTGGTCCAACTGAAAGAGGCAACTTAGCAAGGTTATAACATACTTGTACGTCAAGTGCAGGGTTGATTGAAAAGTTTAAGCCTCACTTAGAAGGAATTGTGTAATAGTGAAATCTTTTTGTTGTGGATGTTCCATAGAGGTTGCCCACACTGACTTGAGTCAGCTGAGCAAATTCTTTCACTTTGGCAAGTCAGTAAACTAAGCCAGGGTCTGTGACCTTTGAAAAACTTCAGGAACATGCAGTGATCAAGTCAGGAACAAGCATTTCTTTGTTTCTGGTTCTGTGTGAGGTTAGAACTTATCAATAAACCCTCATATTCGGGACCAAGATGAGCTTATGCCATACCGTAGCATCCATCCGTCTGTCATCCGTACATGAACAATTTTTTCAAACAACTTCTTCTTTTGAACTACTAACTGGAAATTAACGAAATTTGACTGAAAGCATCCCTAGGTGGTGGGGGTTAAAAATTGTACAAATGGTAGCACTGACCCCCCAGGGAACTGGGGGCAGGGGCCAAATAGTGGTAATTTGGCTATATTGCTTTAAACAACTTCTTCTCTGGAACTAAGAGATAGCTATCAACCGTATTTCGTTGGAAGTATTCTCCAGTGGTGAGGATTCAAAATTGTACAAGGGGCTGAAGGGTGGTCCTAGATGGGGTTTATCACAGGGGTTTCACAGCAGGAGACTGTGTGTTGTTGATGACAGTTTGTGACATGGTCCTAGATGGGGTTTATCACAGGGGTTTCACAGCAGGAGACTGTGTGTTGTTGATAACAGTTTGTGACATGGTCCTAGATGGGGTTTATCATAGGGGTTTCACAGCAGGAGACTGTGTGTTGTTGATGACAGTTTGTGACATGGTCCTAGATGGGGTTTATCACAGGGGTTTCACAGCAGGAGACTGTGTGTTGTTGATAACAGTTTGTGACATGGTCCTAGATGGGGTTTATCATAGGGGTTTCACAGCAGGAGACTGTGTGTTGTTGATGACAGTTTGTGTCATGGTCCTAGATGGGGTTTATCACAGGGGTTTCACAGCAGGAGAAAGTGTGTTGTTGATGACAGTTTGTGACATGGTCCTAGATGGGGTTTATCATAGAGGTTTCACAGCAGGTGACTGTGTGTTGTTGATGACAGTTTGTGACAGGGTCCTAGATGGGGTTTATCACAGGGGTTCAACAGTGACCTGGTGGTTCTGTAATCCTTGACACTGTTCTCAAAGTGATTTTAGTGCTAGGATTTCTGTAGGTTTTTTTTAAGCTAAGGGAGTTACAGTCACCTTAGCATCTGGTGTCAGTGCTGGGAATTTGTAAAACAATAATAATCTGTTCCTGCAAAAATCATTTGTCATCAGATTCTACCCCAAAATAAATCAGTCACTGGACACACTGGATGTTCTGCAAGTTAATGGGATGTGGGTACCAAAACACTGTCTCCTTTCAGAGAATAATATTGTATATTTTTAACCACTGACTGAAGAAATATTCTATCACAAACAAACTCCCCAGACCCTCAGAGAATATTACACGGTTGGTCCCTTAGAGCTAAAATTAAAAAAGGGACACAGTCATGAAAACAAGGAAATCATGTACAGTTTCAAATGTACAGGTGTGTAACAACAGAGCTGTCTGCATTGACCATAACAGTATGTTTGTGTAACATAGGGACACACAGCACTATACATGGGGATCTCAGTGGGGAAGTACCGGCCCACGGCAACACCATGGAGCTATTGATCTGGACAATGTCATTGTGCTTCTATGAAAGGAATGTTGAGACAGGAACACTGAGAGAGAGCTTTAACCAATATAGCTCGTCATGACGTGACGTTACATGACAACTTTCCTGGAAGCTGATAACCATGTACTGACTACACGCAGAGAAGTATTGCATTCACCTCATGGTAAATGACATTTCTTGAAAAATCACAGCATGTACTGATATTAACCAAATCATTTTAACGTAATCATTATTAAGTTAACAATTATTGTTTGTGTCATTCAAATATAGAGTATATTAACCAAAGTTTGTCTTTGTCTCAATACATTTGAGTGTTAAAACTGAATTCAGCCAACATTCTGAACGGTAGGTTTATCAGTTGTTTGGTTTTATGATTTATTTATAAGGTAATGAAACTAACCTCCATTGGTTTGAACTCATTCAGTGCGTGTACATTGGTTGCCTTACAACAAATAATGAAATCTGTTTTCTGTTATTCAATCTTTTATGCTATGTTATCTTTGAACAACTGCATGTTGTGAATGTGCTTTCTTTGTTGTGTTTTTCATCAATAGTATCAGGTGTGGACAGGAGACGAGAGTTCAATATGGGAACAAGTTTGTGTGGACATTCAGCAGTTGTGTGTGTATCGTGCAACACTGGAGGATAGTTTCACAGACAAGGTATGTTGAAAGTAGCGTAGACTAACATGTAGTCTCAGAAAATATATATTTTTGATTGGAACAAGCTACGCCATTTAAATTGAACTGAACCTTTTCAAAATCAAGACTTGCTTCAATTAGAACTTTAATAGTGTTATATTAAGGGCAAGGCTGAAAGTAAAAGTATGTTTGAGTCAGAGTGAGTCCTGGTATGTTGTGGTCAGAGTGAGTCCTGGTATGTTGGGGTCAGAGTGAGTCCTGGTATGTTGGGGTCAGAGTGAGTCCTGGTATGTTGGGGTCAGAGTGAGTCCTGGTATGTTGGGATCAGAGTGAGTCCTGGTATGTTGGGGTCAGAGTGAGTCCTGGTATGTTGGGGTCACAATGAGTCCTGGTATGTTGGGGTCAGAGTGAGTCCTGGTGTGTTGGGGTCAGAGTGAGTCCTGGTATGTTTGGGTCAGAGTGAGTCCTGGTATGTTGGGGTAAGAGTGAGTCCTGGTATGTTGGGGTCAGAGTGAGTCCTGGTATGTTGGGGTCGGAGTGAGTCCTGGTATGTTGGGGTCAGAGTGAGTCTTGGTATGTTGGGATCGGAGTGAGTCCTGGTATGTTGGGGTCACAATGAGTCCTGGTATGTTTGGGTTAGAGTGAGTCCTGGTATGTTGGGGTCAGAGTGAGTCCTGGTATGTTGGGGTCGGAGTGAGTCCTGGTATGTTGGGGTCAGAGTGAGTCCTGGTGTGTTGGGGTATGAGTGAGTCCTGGTATGTTGCTGTCAGAGTGAGTCCTGGTATGTTGGGGTCGGAGTTGGTCCTGGTATGTTGGGGTTGGAGTGAGTCCTGGTATGTTGGGGTCAGAGTGAGTCCTGGTATGTTGGGGTCGGAGTGAGTCTTGGTATGTTGGGGTCGGAGTGAGTCCTGGTATGTTGGGGTCACAATGAGTCCTGGTATGTTTGGGTTAGAGTGAGTCCTGGTATGTTGGGGTCAGAGTGAGTCTTGGTATGTTGGGGTCGGAGTGAGTCCTGGTATGTTGGGGTCACAATGAGTCCTGGAATGTTTGGGTTAGAGTGAGTCCTGGTATGTTGGGGTCAGAGTGAGTCCTGGTATGTTGGGGTCAGAGTGAGTCCTGGTATGTTGCTGTCAGAGTGAGTCCTGGTATGTTGGGGTCAGAGTGAGTCCTGGTATGTTGGGGTCACAATGAGTCCTGGTATGTTGGGGTCAGAGTGAGTCCTGGTGTGTTGGGGTCAGAGTGAGTCCTGGTATGTTTGGGTCAGAGTGAGTCCTGGTATGTTGGGGTAAGAGTGAGTCTTGGTATGTTGTTGTCAGAGTGAGTCCTGGTATGTTGGGGTCGGAGTTGGTCCTGGTATCTTGGGGTTGGAGTTAGTCCTGGTATGTTGGGGTCAGAGTGAGTCCTGGTATGTTGGGGTCAGAGTGAGTCCTGGTATGTTTGGGTCAGAGTGAGTCCTTGTATGTTGGGGTCAGAGTGAGCCCTTGTATGTTGGGGTCAGAGTGAGTCCTTGTATGTTTGGGTCAGGGTGAGTCCTTGTATGTTGGGGTCAGGGTGAGTCCTTGTATGTTTGGGTCAGAGTGAGTCCTGGTATGTTGGGGTCAGAGTGAGTCCTGGTATGTTGGGGTCAGAGTGAGTCCTGGTATGTTGGGGTAAGAGTGAGTCCTGGTATGCTTGGGTCAGAGTGAGTCCTGGTATGCTGGGGTCAGAGTGAGTCCTGGTATGTTGGGGTCAGAGTGAGTCCTGGTATGTTTGGGTCGGAGTGAGTCCTGGTATGTTCGGGTCAGAGTGAGTCCTGGTGTGTTGGGGTAAGAGTGAGTCCTGGTATGTTGGGGTCGGAGTTGGTCCTGGTATGTTGGGGTTGGAGTGAGTCCTGGTATGTTGGGGTCAGAGTGAGTCCTGGTATGTTGGGGTCAGAGTGAGTCCTGGTATGTTTGGGTCAGAGTGAGTCCTGGTATGTTGGGGTCAGGGTGAGTCCTTGTATGTTGGGGTCAGGGTGAGTCCTTGTATGTTGGGGTCAGGGTGAGTCCTTGTATGTTGGGGTCAGGGTGAGTCCTTGTATGTTTGGGTCAGAGTGAGTCCTGGTATGTTGGGGTCAGAGTGAGTCCTGGTATGTTGGGGTCGGAGTGAGTCCTGGTATGTTGGGGTTAGAGTGAGTCCTGGTATGCTGGGGTCAGAGTGAGTCCTGGTATGCTGGGGTCGGAGTGAGTCCTGGTATGTTGCTGTCAGAGTGAGTCCTGGTATGTTGGGGTCGGAGTGAGTCCTGGTATGTTGGGGTCAGAGTGAGTCCTAGTGTGTTGGGGTATGAGTGAGTCCTGGTATGTTGCTGTCAGAGTGAGTCCTGGTATGTTGGGGTCGGAGTTGGTCCTGGTATGTTGGGGTTGGAGTGAGTCCTGGTATGTTGGGGTCAGAGTGAGTCTTGGTATGTTGGGGTCGGAGTGAGTCCTGGTATGTTGGGGTCACAATGAGTCCTGGTATGTTTGGGTTAGAGTGAGTCCTGGTATGTTGGGGTCAGAGTGAGTCCTGGTATGTTGGGGTCAGAGTGAGTCCTGGTATGTTGCTGTCAGAGTGAGTCCTGGTTTGTTGGGGTCAGAGTGAGTCCTGGTATGTTGGGGTCACAATGAGTCCTGGTATGTTGGGGTCAGAGTGAGCCCTGGTGTGTTGGGGTCAGAGTGAGTCCTTGTATGTTGGGGTCAGAGTGAGTCCTGGTATGTTGGGGTAAGAGTGAGTCCTGGTATGTTGTTGTCAGAGTGAGTCCAGGTATGTTGGGGTCGGAGTTGGTCCTGGTATCTTGGGGTTGGAGTTAGTCCTGGTATGTTGGGGTCAGAGTGAGTCCTGGTATGTTGGGGTCAGAGTGAGTCCTGGTATGTTTGGGTCAGAGTGAGTCCTTGTATGTTGGGGTCAGAGTGAGTCCTTGTATGTTGGGGTCAGAGTGAGTCCTTGTATGTTTGGGTCAGGGTGAGTCCTTGTATGTTGGGGTCAGGGTGAGTCCTTGTATGTTTGGGTCAGAGTGAGTCCTGGTAGGTTGGGGTTGGAGTGAGTCCTGGTATGTTGGGGTCAGAGTGAGTCCTGGTATGTTGGGGTCAGAGTGAGTCCTGGTATGTTTGGGTCAGAGTGAGTCCTGGTATGCTGGGGTCAGAGTGAGTCCTGGTCTGTTGGGGTCAGAGTGAGTCCTGGTATGTTGGGGTCGGAGTGAGTCCTGGTATGTTTGGGTCAGAGTGAGTCCTGGTGTGTTGGGGTAAGAGTGAGTCCTGGTACGTTGGGGTCGGAGTTGGTCCTGGTATGTTGGGGTCGGAGTGAGTCCTGGTATGTTGGGGTCAGAGTGAGTCCTGGTATGTTGGGGTCAGAGTGAGTCCTGGTATGTTTGGGTCAGAGTGAGTCCTGGTATGTTGGGGTCAGGGTGAGTCCTTGTATGTTGGGGTCAGAGTGAGTCCTTGTATGTTGGGGTCAGGGTGAGTCCTTGTATGTTGGGGTCAGGGTGAGTCCTTGTATGTTTGGGTCAGAGTGAGTCCTGGTATGTTGGGGTCAGAGTGAGTCCTGGTATGTTGGGGTCGGAGTGAGTCCTGGTATGTTGGGGTTAGAGTGAGTCCTGGTATGCTGGGGTCAGAGTGAGTCCTGGTATGCTGGGGTCAGAGTGAGTCCTGGTATGTTTGGGTCGGAGTGAGTCCTGGTATGTTTGGGTTAGAGTGAGTCCTGGTATGTTGGGGTCGGAGTGAGTCCTGGTATGTTGGGGTCAGAATGAGTCCTGGTATGTTTGGGTTAGAGTGAGTCCTGGTATGTTGGGGTCAGAGTGAGTCCTTGTATGTTGGGGTCAGAGTGAGTCCTTGTATGTTGGGGTCAGAGTGAGTCCTGGTATGTTGGGGTCAGAGTGAGCCCTGGTATGCTGGATTTTGGACTTTTCTTTGAGACCTTTTCTCAGTCAATGCTTAAAAAAACACAACATTATTTTTAAGAACATCGAGCATGCCAAGCATACAGTTCTATTTTACTACAACCTGATGACAAATTATTCATTTTGAAACTTTTAGGGAACATGCTATTATTATCCCCCGCAGAACGAAGTTGGCGGGGGATATAGAAACGGACTCCGTTTCGTTTCCGGAGCATTACTCATAAACCGTTCAATATTTTTTCATCAAACTTTGCACGTCTGTCAGGTACATGCTGAACTGATGCCTTTTGCTATTGAGCAATTTTAGAAATTTTTATTTTTTACGTTTCCATGGCAACAAGATGGACTTAGGTTCTGTGAGGGTAGGGTTCGTTTCTGGAGCATAACTCATAAACCATTCAATATTTTTTCATCAAACTTTGCAGGTCTGTCAGGTACATGCTGAACTGGTGCCTTTAGCTATTGAGAAATTTTAGAATTTTTTATTTTTTACGTTTCCAAAACGTTTAAAAAAGGTTAGGGTTTGTTTAGATTCAATTATGTCATAAATTCTGCAACAGGGGCGGGGGATATAGCCACGTTCAAGTGGCAAACTCTTGTTTTAATAATTCCAGGCCCCGCTGAATATCAAATGGTCGGGCCCAAAGCAATACCGCTAATTTTGTCCAGTGGTAGTTTTCAACGTCTTGGAAAAAGCAACATATGTGGCAGGGCTGCATTGTGGGATGGAGTTTGCAATTTTAATCACTGGAAGAACATCATTAAGAGAGGGGAGACTATGCTTGTCTGTTACCTAGTTTCAGTATTTGTCTGGATGCGGAAATGAATGCTTTGTGTAAAACTTTGTTTAATTAATTAGGGTAATCATCAAACTTTAGATTGGTATACCGCATAAAATGTCAGTTTGCAAATGAATGATTTTCGTCAGGAGTTGAGTTCCCTTTCAGTTAGTCAATGTTGTTTTATGTTAGAGCTTTATCGCAGTAGCCTGTGTCTGGGCCAGGAAAATCAGTGGTTGATTGAGCGATGATCCACATCATCAGGGCATGACAACAAACATTCTGCCAGGTCAAACATTGTAGCCATGCTTGACAGTCTGCCAGGTCAAACATTGTAGCCATCCTTGAGAGTCTGCCAGGTCAAACATTGTTGCCATCCTTGAGAGTCTGCCAGGTCAAACATTGTCGCAATCCTTGATAGTCTGCCAGGTCAAACATTGTCGCCATCCTTGAGAGTCTGCCAGGTCAAACATTGTCGCCATCCTTGAGAGTCTGCCAGGTCAAACATTGTCGCCATCCTTGAGAGTCTGCCAGGTCAAACATTGTAGCCATCCTTGAGAGTCTGCCAGGTCAAATATTGTAGCCATCCTTGAGAGTCTGCCGGGTCAAACATTGTAGCCATCCTTGAGAGTCTGCCAGGTCAAACATTGTAGCCATCCTTGAGAGTCTGCCGGGTCAAACATTGTATCCATCCTTGATAGTCTGCCAGGTCAAACATTGTATTCATCCTTGATAGTCTGCCGGGTCAAACATTGTAGCCATCCTTGAGAGTCTGCCAGGTCAAACATTGTAGCCATGCTTGATAGTCTGCCAGGTCAAACATTGTATCCATCCTGGAGAGTCTGCCAGGTCAAACATTGTACCCATCCTTGATAGTCTGCCAGGTCAAACATTGTCACCATCCTTGAGAGTCTGCCAGGTCAAACATTGTAGCCATCCATGAGAGTCTGCCAGGTCAAACATTGTAGCCATCCTTGAGAGTCTGCCAGGTCAAACATTGTTGCCATCCTTGAGAGTCTGCCAGGTCAAACATTGTAGCCATGCTTGATAGTCTGCCAGGTCAAACATTGTCGCCATCCTTGAGAGTCTGCCAGGTCAAACATAGTAGCCATCCTTGAGAGTCTGCCAGGTCAAACATTGTATCCATCCTTGATAGTCTGCCAGGTCAAACATTGGCGCCATCCTTGAGAGTCTGCTGGTCAAACATTGTAGACATCCTTGATAGTCTGAGTGGGGTATCCATGTTAAACTGCAGTATTGTATCTCATTGGACTTGCACAATTAGACACAGACACACATGCATGCACGTATCTATATAAGTGCAATAATCTTGAATGTAATGTAAAACTGCATTTCACCTCACCTGGGACCCCTGTCTGCTGTTGTAGCCTCACCTGTATTGTGTGGAGACCCCTGTCTGCTGTTGTAGCCTCACCTGTATTGGGCTGGGTCCTGGATACACCATCTACAATGAGGGTTCTGGTGCTGCTTCTCTGTGTCTGGTGCAGCTACAGTCAGCAGGGGACAGAATGGTCCACCTCCAGCCCAGGGGAGACTAGATCAGGTAAGTGTGGTGTCATGTGACATGGCCCAGTACACAAGTATATATTATGATATGGTCATTGTGTGTACTTTTTAGATATAATGCATACAGTTGTTTATGTGTTGTTTAATGCCACACTCAAATTCTGACACGCGATCTTTACAGAGCTAGAAGCTCAAGTACAACTACTTGGATCTACCTAATGTATGTACCCATGTCATATAGGACATTGGGTAATAATTGTGACAATATCAGCCAGTTAAAATATACAGAGGTAAAAAGGATTACTCATAAATACTACAGCCTGAAGTTTAATGCTGTGTTCAACAAGACATGTACATGGGCATTTTGTTAGTATCTGGTGTGTCCTTAACTGCACAGCCAAATAATCCCTGGATTACTTCATAAAATATCTCATATCAAATGCAAACTTTCCCTTCTATCTGGTCGGCATTGGTCGTCATTGGTTACAATCCCAAATTTGCCCTGATGTTTCTAGGTTTGTCAGCACCATTCCCTTGCTCGTGGGTTTCACAAAAATGGTAACCGTGTAACACCTACATCACTTTGGGCTTTCCTCCCCCATTAAGCTAGAGCACCATGATATGACTGGAATACTGTTCAGATAAAAGCAACAAAATAAATTCCGTAATCATAGGAAATCTCAGCTGAAAACAGAGCAATGGTAGGTTGTACAGCTTTTGATTATTGCATATTTCGCATTCCCTGGTTGCCTGTGAAGATCCAGGTTAGAATAAATCTTCAGCAACCCATGCTTGTCCCTAGAGGTGACTTACTGGATCGATTGGTCCGGCTCGTTGACTTGATCAATTCGTGTCATCGTATCCTAATTTAGTAGATTCATGCTCTTGTCAATCCCTTGATTGTCTGGTCCAGACTCGATTATTTTCACACCGCCGTCATAGAGCTGGAACATTGCTGAGTGCGGTATTAAATAACAATAATGAAATCAAATCCTTCCCAGGAAAACCCAAGCTTGTGGATGCATTCAGCTGTTGTGTGGACAACTGGGAGAGCATGCTATGTACCTGGGAGCTTGGTCAGAACCTCATCTTCAATGATTCAGTCACAGTTCGGCTCAAGTGGGCAATAATGTAAGTACAGCTTCATCTCAGCTTTCTGTGACTGATCATAGGCAACAAAGGGCAAAAGGAAGGAACACACTACTTGTTTATTTACCCGACCTCCTGAACTTTAGACTTGGTAACCTCTCAGAGATCCTGTATCTGGTTTCTGATCTCCTGGAGTGAAACTCGGTCACCTCTCAGAGATCCTGTATCTGGTTTCTGATCTCCTGGAGTGAAACTCGGTCACCTCTCAGAGATCCTGTATCTGGTTTCTGATCTCCTGAAGTGAAGACTCGGTCACCTCTCAGAGATCCTGTATCTGGATTCTGATCTCCTGAAGTGAAGACTCGGTCACCTCTCAGAGATCATGTATCTGGATTCTGATCTCCTGAAGTGAAGACTCGGTCACCTCTCAGAGATCATGTATCTGGTTTCTGATCTCCTGAAGTGAAGACTTGTCACCTCTCAGAGATCATGTATCTGGTTTCTGATCTCCTGAAGTGAAGACTCGGTCACCTCTCAGAGATCATGTATCTGGTTTCTGATCTCCTGAAGTGAAGACTTGTCACCTCTCAGAGATCATGTATCTGGTTTCTGATCTCCTGAAGTGAAGACTCAGTCACCTCTCAGAGATCATGTATCTGGTTTCTGATCTCCTGAAGTGAAGACTTGTCACCTCTCAGAGATCATGTATCTGGTTTCTGATCTCCTGAAGTGAAGACTCAGTCACCTCTCAGAGATCATGTATCTGGTTTCTGATCTCCTGAAGTGAAGACTTGGTCACCTCTCAGAGATCATGTATGTCCATGGATTCTGATCTCCTAAAAGGAAGACTCGGTCACCTCTCAGAGATCATGTATGTCCATGGATTCTGATCTCCTGAAGTGAAGACTCGGTCACCTCTCAGAGATCATGTATGTCCGTGGATTCTGATCTCCTAAAAGGAAGACTTGGTCACCTCTCAGAGATCATGTATGTCCGTGGATTCTGATCTCCTGAAGTGAAGACTTGGTCACCTCTCAGAGATCATGTATGTCCGTGGATTCTGATCTCCTGAAGTGAAGACTCGGTCACCTCTCAGAGATCATGTATGTCCGTGGATTCTGATCTCCTAAAAGGAAGATTTGGTCACCACTCAGAGATCATGTATGTCCGTGGATTCTGATCTCTTGAAGTAAAGACTTGGTCACCTCTCAGAGATCATGTATGTCCATGGATTCTGATCTCCTGAAGTGAAGACTCGGTCACCTCTCAGAGATCATGTATGTCCGTGGATTCTGATCTCCTAAAAGGAAGACTTGGTCACCTCTCAGAGATCATGTATGTCCGTGGATTCTGATCTCCTGAAGTGAAGACTTGGTCACCTCTCAGAGATCATGTATGTCCGTGGATTCTGATCTCCTGAAGTGAAGACTCGGTCACCTCTCAGAGATCATGTATGTCCGTGGATTCTGATCTCCTAAAAGGAAGATTTGGTCACCACTCAGAGATCATGTATGTCCGTGGATTCTGATCTCTTGAAGTAAAGACTTGGTCACCTCTCAGAGATCATGTATGTCCATGGATTCTGATCTCTTGAAGTAAAGACTCGGTCACCTCTCAGAGATCATGTATGTCCATGGATTCTGATCTCTTGAAGTAAAGACTTGGTCACCTCTCAGAGATTATGTATGTCCGTGGATTCTGATCTCCTGAAGTGAAGACTTGGTCACCTCTCAGAGATCATGTATGTCCGTGGATTCTGATCTCCTGAAGTGAAGACTCGGTCACCTCTCAGAGATCATGTATGTCCGTGGATTCTGATCTCCTAAAAGGAAGACTTGGTCACCACTCAGAGATCATGTATGTCCGTGGATTCTGATCTCTTGAAGTAAAGACTTGGTCACCTCTCAGAGATCATGTATGTCCGTGGATTCTGATCTCTTGAAGTAAAGACTCGGTCACCTCTCAGAGATCATGTATGTCCATGGATTCTGATCTCTTGAAGTAAAGACTTGGTCACCTCTCAGAGATCATGTATGTCCGTGGATTCTGATCTCTTGAAGTAAAGTCGTCACGATATGGCTGAAATACTGCCGATGTGACGTTAAATCTTAACTCACTCACTCTTGAAGTAAAGACTTGGTGGCCTCTCAGAGATCATGTATGCATCTGGCTTCTGATCTTACTAAGTGCATACTCAGACTTTTTTCAAAGATTATGCAATGCTGAAAATGGCACTCATTACAATTATCATTGATGCTATTCTATTTGTATAAGATGTCATAAAGTTTATAGTCATATTTATATTTCATATTGTATTTTCCATAATTCATGTATTCTAATTCTCTTTTGTCACAATTTTGAATTCAAATTTCATATCCTAATTCTGTTTATACTAGAGGTACAACTAGATTTCACATTTAATCATCTTTTATAGGTTCTACTAGATTCCACATTTGATCATTCAAACTAGATTCCACATTTGATCGTTCTGTTTATAGGTTCTACAAGATTCCACTTTTGATTATTCTGTTTTTAGGTTCTACTAGATTCCACATTTGATCATTCTAACTGTTTATAGGTTTTACTAGATTCCACATTTGATCATTCTAACTGTTTATAGGTTCTACTAGATTCCACATTTGATCATTCTAACTGTTTATAGGTTCTACTAGATTCCACATTTGATCATTCTAACTGTTTATAGGTTCTACTAGATTCCACATTTGATCATTCTAACTGTTTATAGGTTCTACTAGATTCCACATTTGATCATTCTAACTGTTTATAGGTTCTACAAGATTCCATATTATTTAATATTTGATCATCTTTAACTGCAGGGATTTATCCAGGAGTTTCAGCAAGTTTCATGTGGTAGGCAAATTGGTAATAATATTATTGTGAACAAACATGTTTTACAAGTCATTAAATTCTTATGAATCCTGTACCTCTATTACATCATTGCCGAATTCCTGTATTTTGGCTGCAATCACACTAAACTAAAGTCCTCATCACTGTCTACTATACAATAATTGGTTGGACGCGCAATATCACCAAACAGCCCACAGCGCTCTCATTCGTGAAGGCAGGAAACAACTCACTTCTTTCCTGTGTGTGCTAGAGTCAACAATGCCTCTCCTACTGTTCTTCTCTTGCACTTAGTAGTAACAGTTTTTAAAACTTCTACTATAAAAATAGTAGTCTTATTGTGTTGGTGTTTTTTGATGGCGTCATCTCCTCATTCAGCATGTCACAATGTGGCCGCCATACGATTACAAGCGACCTTCATACAGCCTGTTGAAGCCTTTGGTGAATCTCACCGAGTCTCTCACTATAGGGCCATGAGGAAGGACGTGGACAAGAGAAAGTTGGTGATATAATGTCTCAATCTGATATGTCATCTACACCACCGCCTGATCAACCGACATTCCTATCAGTCTGTTGAGTGAGTGAGTGAGTGAGTTGGTTTAACGCTGCCTTTAACAGTATTACAGTTATAACACGGCGTGTCAGCTTAATGTGGGAGGAAAGCCTGAAGTATGCAGGTCTCAGATGTTTACCACTCTGGTGAAAGCCACAAGCACGGGTATGTTACTGACAAACCTAGAAACATAATCGAGGCGAACTAGGATTTGAACCCAAGATCATAGGTTTCTGGAGTGCCCAAGGGACGCAACACTGCACAGCGAATTGCGGCGCCTTAGAATCCTCTGGCCCAGAGGCCACACGGTGGCATGTTCCTGTCAGAGCTACATGTACGTCCGTCTTCTTCTGCCAGCGCTACAGCCACACGGCCACCAGATGGGGTTATATAACCCTACCATCTGTCCAACTGACCCCACAGGATGCTCGCCCGTCACGGTCACCAGGGGTCTCCCACGTCTCTTGAAGATGTCTATTATCAGGTTGAAAATTTCCCACCGTGGGAATTTGGTACTCCTCTTTCTTTCGTGGATCTTCTGAACTCCCTGTACCATTTCATGCAGCACCTGCCTCCCCGTACATAGCAGTCTAGTCCTCAAAGGACGGAATATGCGGGTTGCCATGCCCCTGTTGCATCAACATTTATCAGACTTTGTCGTTGCTGAGCTACACACATGGGATTATCGATCAAGCCACGGACAATCTACATAAACTTCAGCATGACGGAAGACTCCCGAATTTGAAGGAGTTATACCGGACGCATGACTTGCCATTCCCTGATTAAATGGTTTCTATGATGACCCTCTCAAGCTGGTCAAAAATCACAACATGAGATTACCCTTACCTGACTAGTCACGTTAATGGTCTATCAACTGTCAACAGATATTCACTGGAAATTGGTGCTTATATCATTTGGTTTGTGGCTGGAGTCTGTCATGCCATATCGCCTTTCGCAATCATCCCATGACGATGTCCCGGCACATATCCCCCTTATCTATCCGTGTAGATCAAGTGTTAAGAACAGGAACTGCTTACCTTGCAAGTTTAGACGTCTTCTCAAATCATCTGGATGCAACATCAGCAGCTCCTGTCACAGATCAGATCTAGGGCTGTTTTAATTCAGGCCAAGAAGATGGTGATATTTACTAATCAAATTGGGAAGATTGTTGATGAGGTCAGACAAGACACAGCTGAGTGTGTCTACCATCAACTTAGGGGTCAAAGCTCATGCATCATCCAAACGACCAAGAGACCAATCCAGAGATACTTCCTTAGGTGCATCAACCAGGAAGTTTGTTCCACGAATCTTTTCAATCTTTCCAACAAAAGATCATTGCATCGGGAGGTTGCAGGGACAGTGGATGACTCTTCCTCGCTCCCCTTTCAGTCACAAACCCTATTGATTTGACTATGTCTACAGATTACGATCTACGACTACTGCCCTGCAACCAAACACCGACCATGGGTCCAGTGGAGGGACGTCTGTTTTTTATGCCACCTAGACATATCTCACGTCTACAAGTTACACTTCTGTACCCGTCCACTTCTTGTGTCCAGAACCCGGGGTCGCAGATTCCCTCTGGAAAGAACAAAACTAAGTGCAGCAGATCTTGCAATCAACACATTGCTGGACAAATGAGGAATTTGTGTACTCAAAGACACGTAAGCAAGGGATTTTATTCACCAGTATTCTTGGTAACGAAACAAAATACCACCGAAATGATTATCGATCTCAAGAAGCTGAACAAATTCTTCCTGATCCCTTCTTCAAAATTCCACAAAGGGAGAGTGGCTTTTCAGTATTGATCTACAACATGCTTACTCAACATACCAATCGATCAGTCGTCACGAAATCATCTCTTTTGCAGTAAATGGGCATGTTATGAGTTCAGGGTTCTCCCGTTCAGGATCTCAATTGTGCTGTAGTTGTTCACCAGAATAACGGCACCTAGTGATCACTTTTGCCCATCTTCATCTGGTTTACCTACATGGATATTTAGATGATTTCCTGGCAGCAGACCAGGACAAGTCTCAATTGTGTCAGAATCAAACTTTTCTGTCGGAACACACACCCTTTCAGGACCTCATTTACATCAGAGCCTGTTTCCTTCCTCACAAGGGCATTGTCTGTCCACCAGAAGATCATTTTGTTCCATGCTCCTCATGATCAACTAACCCAGCCGATCAGATGTTGGATGTCCCTCTTCTGAAGGCAAACCTCTCTCCAGGATCTGACTTCCAGAGGAAGGTTACAAGCCTGGATGTCCTCTACAAGCCTGGATCAATGATCTTCAGGATCAGTTCCTGAACACCTGGGTTCCTATACCGAACACCTTCCAACACCTCCTCCTTTGGTGGACTCATCGTCATCATGTCATGAAGACTGTTATAGGATAGTGTTCTGTCCATGAGATAAGGGCACTGGCCCCACAAGTCTTGCGTCATAGACTTCGGTTTCCTTGGAAGAAGACGTTGCAGGCTGACAATGGGGATCTTAGAACACCTTCACTAGCCTTCATCTACGTGGCATACAGCCTGATTTTCAGGGAATCTATTCTCTAGGCCCTGTTGTTGTGGCTCAGGCAATTACCAGACAATTCCCTTTTACGGAAAAAGAGTGGGGTGGGGCCATATGAACTGCAAGGGCGTCCTAGGGCAGAAATGACGCCATTTAGACCGGAAGTGACGTCAAAACCGGAAGTTAAAGTTAGAATTAAACATAATGATATCCAAGAGAGTACGAGGATAATCATTAAAAGGTATATCAGCAATATAACGGTTGTTTTAGAGAGAGTATCACATATTGACTGATTATTCCACTTCACAATTTTCAAGTCCTCTCGAAGTCATTCAATGGATGTCAACTCTTTGGGATCTGAAGCAGATTTATATGATGAAATTACAGGAGGTTTATAGGGATTGCTGTCAACTATACAGGGAGTGTACTGGAGGCAGAACCCGTCTTCCCTCTGGCATATTCTGGTAATGATGTAATAGAGGTAGAGGATTCGTCAGAATTATGAAACAATAGTTATCATTTTTAATAATTCTAAGAATAATACCTCTATTAAATCAGAAATACTCCCTCCCACCTCCCCCATCATCTGTCTCTAGTTGATTAATGTTTGGAAAGAAGTGAGGTTTATCCCTCCTTCACGCACGAGAGTGCTGTTGGGTGCTACTGCAGGTACAGCTAATTATTGTATAGCTGACAGTGAAGAGGACTTATGTAGAAATTCTGAAAGTTCAGTTTAGCATGATTGCAGCCAAAATACATGGTAATGATGTAATAATAGAGGTAGTATTCTTAGAATTATTAACAATGATAATCATTGTTTGATTTTCCCTAACTACGGTGGTATTATCACATTGCACTTAATGATGTAAAACTAAATATAATACCTTTTCCTTTTTTGGTCCTGTTAAGTGAAATATATTTCACATTTATAAATATTTATAAACCTCAGAGTGTTCATTTGTATTGATCGTTAGGTTTCTTCAAACTTGAGAAAGACCCACATGAGGTTTTACTTGCGTAGAAAGCCCGGGACTTACTGTGGAAGACCCGGGGACTTGATTTTCCTCGTTATAAAAAGTTACATATTTCAGATCAAGTCCCTGGGTCTTCCACAGTAAGTCCCCAGGACTTCCATGCCCTTTATTTTTTAAAAAACCCACAATACTAGATTTTCTTCACTTTAATTGAAGTTGACATTTACAATGATATTCTTTGCAGGCCCCCGGGCCGTTCTTCGTCACAGTCATCTGCATTTTTAGTTTTCGTTTGTGTGAGAAATAAATCATCACCTTCCTCTCTCTCCCACATCTTGCCACTAAATGAAACTCGACTGTAAGCTGTCCACATTATGACGGAGACGCTCACGGGCAATGCGTGCGTGCACGACCAGCACGTGCATGACACCTGTAGTCGTCACTCAACATAACTCACGGATGCGTTTATAGTCTCGTTATATCGCATATATAGATCCTCGTTATTGCGTTTCTCAATTAGAATTAACTTTGTCGGTTTATAAGTCAGATAAAACACTTATCCTCGGTTTTGGTTGAAAATGTAAACCCGCCTGGTCGGAAAGATCCTGCGGGCCCTTAGGATCGTCTCTCCCAGGCGGGTTTACATTTTCAACCAAAACCAAGGAACGTGTTTTATCCTTCACTTAAAACTATTCTAACCATAATTGGTCAGTGTTTTTATTCCCACTTTGAAATATTTCCTTTGACCTTGGTTCAATTATCAGCCTCTGACAATACCCTGAAATGTTGATAAGTTACACTAGAACTTACAGCAGTTGGTAACACATTAAGTTAAACCCACAGTATTATCACTCATCACTAGTTTAGTCCTCAGTGTTCTATGATTAACTCCTATGCTTGAGGTAGATATAACAGACGTTTGATGAGTAGTGTTGATGCTCTAGGCACAGGTCTGGGAAACCAAGGTATGTTCTACTTACCATGTACCTCTTCATCTGCTTACATCTGGTGTATGGCTTCATCTTTTACTTGGTGGTGCACAAGAAATTAACATTCGCATATTTTCTTTCACATTTTACGCAATGCATCTCGGGGCACGAGTGGTCCAGTCATCTAAAGTGCCTCAATTCGCTGTGCAGATTTGCGGCCCTTGAGTGTGTCAGAAATACAGGACTGTGGGTTCGAATCCTGCTTCACATTCTTTATGCTTTTTGGTTTGTCAGCACCATACCCGTACTAAAGGATTAAATGTCTTAAGACCTTCATAACATCCCACATCAAGCTGTTACAACAAAGGCATTCAAAGCTGCATTAAACCCAACTCATTCATGCACCTGGTTTTGATCAACTTAGTGGTTGGTGTTCATTTTCTTAAAGTCATCAGGAGGGATGATGGTGAGAGAGAGGGAGAGAGGGAGAGGGAGAGGGAGAGGGAGAGGAGGCTATTGAAAGATGGTAGGGTTAAGAGCCATTGAGGGGGAGGAGGCTATTGAAAGATGGTAGGGTTAAGAGCTATTGAGGGGGAGGAGGCCATTGAAAAATGGTAGGGTTAAGAGCCATTGAGGGGTAGGAGGCTATTGAAAGATGGTAGGGTTAAGAGCTATTGAGGGGGAGGAGGCTATTGAAAGATGGTAGGGTTAAGAGCCATTGAGGGGGAGGAGGCTATTGAAAGATGGTAGGGTTAAGAGCCATTGAGGGGGAGGAGGCTATTGAAAGATGGTAGGGTTAAGAGCTATTGAGGGAGAGGAGGCTATTGAAAGATGGTAGGGTTAAGAGCTATTGAGGGGGAGGAGGCTATTGAAAGATGGTAGGGTTAAGAGCTATTGAGGGGGAGGAGGCTATTGAAAGATGGTAGGGTTAAGAGCCATTGAGGGGGAGGAGGCTATTGAAAGATGGTAGGGTTAAGAGCTATTGAGGGAGAGGAGGCTATTGAAAGATGGTAGGGTTAAGAGCTATTGAGGGGGAGGAGGCTATTGAAAGATGGTAGGGTTAAGAGCTATTGAGGGGGAGGAGGCTACTGAAAGATGGTAGGGTTAAGAGCTATTTGCGTCATTTTCACTATTGAAAACAGTTTAACACCAACATCGAAAACAGTTGCAATATCAACAAACCATCTCTCCATCGAGCGGCCATTTCACAAACGGGCTTCAGTGTAATATGCCTCGTGTAACAAAAACGCAGGTCACAATACAGTCTTGTCTTTCAGTATGACTCCATGACTACCTTGCATGATCCCAAGCACTACAAACTTTCACACCATAAATTTCATTGAACACCTCCTCTTCAGCTTCGTCACAGCTTTTTCATCTTCATTCCAAACACATCACTCATTTCTAGGAAGGTTGGATGCCTAGGTATGGTAGATGTTTGGTATCCCGACATCCCATGATATGGCCATTACCTAACATTCTTAACTCCTGGCAAGGATATATTTGGAATATTTAACTGTGTGCGACCTTGTATTTGTTTAATCAGTTTTGCATCAATACCACCGAGGGATAACAATACATGGTCTGTGAGAAATCAAAGATGGGGTACCTGCCAGATTCTCTGCAGTGAAACCATTCCTGCTTTTAATATCATTGGTTAAACATTTACCAGGCAAATCTAACAGCTTTAGGCTACTTCCTCATGTTGAATCCTTTAATTATTTTCGACTCCGTGGGGATTCCGGGTCATTCTGATCACTAATACCTCATGCTTGTCATCAGAGACATGATGCCCTAAAGCCATGGATTGTGGTTCTTGCTAAGCTTTCAGTCACTAGTTTACCATATCCTGCCTTGATCAGTTACAGGCCACTGTAATATAGCGGGAATATTGATGACAGAGGTATTAAACAACATTCACCCACCCACGTATAAACAAAATATGACCCTTTGGGACCCTAGATAGATTGGTAGAACAAGCGTCCTGGTTGAATGAGGCAACGGAATGGATTGGATGGTCAGAATCGCTGTCCTGGGACCGGTTGTTTGAGGCAAATGACTGGATCAGATGGTCAGACTCGGTGTCCTGGTTGTATGAGGCAACTGAATGGATCGGATGGTCAGACTCAGTGTCCTGGTTGTGTGAGGCAACGGAATGGATCGGATGGTCAGGCTCGGTGTCTTGGTTTTATGAGGCAACTGACTGGATCGGATGGTCAGACTCAGTGTCCTGGTTGTATGAGGCAAATGACTGGATCAGATTGTCAGACTTGCTGTCCTGGTTGTAGGAAGCAACTGACTGGATTGGATGGTCAGGCTCGGTGTCCTGGAAGATTGCATGTTATTCTATCACGTAGGCATGGAACATCGTTCATGATATCAATCAGTGGTGTATCTGGTCCAGACTTGATTATGTATATGACACTGTCATAGCTGTCATAACAAGTGTGGCGTTAAACAAACAACATATGTGTTTTTGGTATGTTTAATAATCAGCAGGCATCAGCTATGGGGGAAACATTGACGAGGGGGAGAGTTTTTCTCAGGGTATCACTGTTTGCCCTGTTTAGTTTCTTTGCAGCAAATGATTAAACATCAAGCACTGGGTCATACTTATCTATAAGACGACACAGTTAATCACCAATGTCCCACAAAATAGGAAAACTTTCCTGAATCACAACAGTTGTGTTTCAAATCATGTTCCCCTGCCTGTGGAATATTTAGTTTCTTCTGCTCCATGCTGCTAACTATCATGCCTTGAGGATGTCTGCTGGGCCGTAATAAGATAATCAACTTGTTGCAGATTCAGTATTTCTGCAATAGCTTAATTTTACTTTTTATATGAAAATATTTGGGTCTATTGGCAATTTATTTGCTAGGTACACTTATTTACCAGTATGCAAATCACTCACCTTGACAACATTTATGCAACAATGTATCATCACTAGGTGTGATTAATAGCACACATGTGAATACAACTACAGGAAAAATATATTTTAACATGTTATTGTGCTATACTTTGTGCAATTGAAAAACAAATAGTCAGATCTTCAGCCCAAGTTCCAGTGTGCTGAATCTGAAACAAATAAACAGCCTATCATTAAAAGAATTTACTTCTATTGACTTTAAACTTATTATATTTTACTTTTAGCCCACAATTCCCAGCTTATTTCAGCCATAGACTTGCAGGCATCTTGGCTGTGCCAGCAGCCTTCCTTATTTGTTCAAGTCTCACAAGGTTTTAAAGCAATGAGATCGTAATTGGCCATTTTGCTTGACTCTAAGATGAAAGCTTTACTAACACCTTTGTTTCACTGCAATGAGTTTTTTTAAAATATATAGTGTGCTTAATAATGAAATATCATGCATACAGTTCAATCATTTATATTCATCTGCTTCAAATTAAGAATAACAATAAATGTGTCTGCCTAATTCAATATTCATTGTAGTGTTTGTCATCATAAACTGAATATCTAATAATATTATCTTAAACTGTATTTTGCTTTATAGTTGAAAAAATAAATCATTCGTAACTATCCTCTGCATATTGTTATTAATCAATCCTTTCACTGATGGCCACAGTTCTTGCCATAATTCATTCACTCACAATTAGTTCTAACAACCATCTACAATCTTCAAATTAACTCGCCTCTTTTCATTCATCCCTCCCCTTTCCCATCCATCACTCCATTCCCTCACTCCCCTTTCCTATCCCTCCCTCCCCTATCCTTCATCCTTCGCTTTCCTGTCCATCCATACCCCTGCTTCCCTATCCATCCATCCCCCTCCTTTCCTATCCATCCATCTTCCTCCTTTCCTATCTCCCATCCCTCGCTTTCCTATCCATCCTTCCCTCTCCTTTCCTATCCATCCATCCCCTATCCCTCATTTTTCTATCCCTCCCTCCTTATCCCTCACTTTCCTATCCATCCATCCCCTATACCTCATCCCTCGCTTTCCTATCAATCCATCCCCTATACCTCATCCCTCGCTTTCCTATCAATCGATCCCCTATACCTCATCCCTCGCTTTCCTATCCATCCATCCCCTATACCTCATCCCTCGCTTTCCTATCAATCCATCCCCTATACCTCATCCCTCGCTTTCCTATCCATCCATCCCCTATACCTCATCCCTCGCTTTCCTATCCATCCATCCTCTATACCTCATCCCTCCCTTTCCTATCATCCATCCCCTATACCTCATCCCTCACTTTCCTCTCCATCCATCCCCTATACCTCATCCCTCGCTTTCCTATCCATCCATCCCATATACCTCATCCCTTGCTTTCCTATCCATCCATCCCCTATACCTCATCCCTCGCTTTCCTATCCATCCATCCCCTATACCTCATCCCTCGCTTTCCTATCAATCCATCCCCTATACCTCATCCCTCGCTTTCCTATCCATCCATCCCCTATACCTCATCCCTCGCTTTCCTATCCATCCATCCTCTATACCTCATCACTCGCTTTCCTATCCATCCATCCTCTATACCTCATCCCTTGCTTTCCTATCCATCCATCCTCTATACCTCATCCCTCGCTTTCCTTTCCATCCATCCTCTATACCTCATCACTCGCTTTCCTATCAATCCATCCCCTATACCTCATCCCTTGCTTTCCTATCCATCCATCCCCTATACCTCATCCCTCGCTTTCCTATCAATCCATCCCCTATACCTCATCCCTTGCTTTCCTATCCATCCATCCCCTATACCTCATCCCTCGCTTTCCTATCCATCCATCCTCCTCTTTTCTTATCCCTCCCTCCCCTTTCCTATGCCTCCCTCCCCAACTTTCCGGTCAATCCCTCCCTCCCCTTTCCTATCCATCCATCCTCTCCATCCCTTCTTTACCCTCCCCCACCTTTCCTATCCATCCATCCCTCCCTCCCCTTTCCTATCCCTCCCCCACCTTTCCTATCCATCCATCCTCTCCATCCCTTCTTTCCCATCTATCCATTCCTTCCATCCATCCATCCATCCCCTTTCCTATCCCTCCCCTACCTTTCCTATCCATCCATCCTCTCCATCCCTTGTTTCCCATCTATCCATCTATCCACAGTCATCCAGCTGGTCACCTCCTGAGGTGTGTGTGTTTCAGGGATGCGTTGTCTAGCTGCAGTCACCAGACTAAGACTTCTTGTCGCTGGAAGTCCAACGATGGCAGGGACACCTACAAGTCTGGGATGATCTACTACATGGAGGTTGTCGTGGCAACTGTAGGCAAGGCCAATGAAGCTCTGCTGGAAACTCAGAACTTTACCATCGACACTAACATGCTTGGTATGAAGACAGCACTTACGTTTAGAATAAATGTGGCTTGGGGTAGTTGTTGCAGGGTTTTATGGGACGTAGAAATGTGCATACAGTATGCACAACTGCACAACTTGGATGCAGATAATGAATAAACAGCATCACAAGGGCCTCACAAAGGAAATATCCAACATTTTACCACGAATTTGGAAATAATCGATTCTGATTGGTCAATCGGAGGTTGATTATAGATCTTAATAAACCCCCTATGATTGAAACAGCCGGTTTGATGGCCTCATCACCACGATGATAATATTCATAGATTACCAGTAGAGCTTATTTTAGTCATTGTTGGTAGGCATATTTAAATGATTATATCTACAATTATAGATTACAAAATACAAAGTTGCAATATTTCATAGATATCCCTGAATCTTTTCAGTCATAGTCTTAGCCAGAGTGAGTGAGTGAGTGAGTGAGTGAGTGAGTGAGTGAGTGAGTTAATATTTAACGTCACATCGGCAATATTTCAGCCATATCATGACGAGAAGTTATACATTAAAACACATTTATTTAGATTTAATAAATAACAAGTATTTGTCAAAGAGTGACGAAATATCCCCCGCCATATACACCATAGTACCAAATATGAAGACAATCCAGCGATTAGTTCTTGAGATATCGCGGCAACACCGTTTTCCAACTCTAAAAGCAGATTTGTCTGCTGTGACCTTGAAAATGGGATCAAGGTCACCAAAACCGACTGGTGTCTGCGGAGTCTGTATATACACCATAGTTCCAAATATGAAGACAATCCAGTGTTTAGTTCTTGAGATATCGCGGCAACACCGTTTTCCAACTCTAAAAGCAGATTTGTCTGCTGTGACCTTGAAAATGGGATCAAGGTCACCAAAACCGACTGGTGTCTGCGGAGTCTGTACATACACCATAGTTCCAAATATGAAGACAATCCAGTGTTTAGTTCTTGAGATATCGCGGCAACAAACAGGTGGGACGTACGGACGGACGGACGGACGGACGTACGGACGGTCGTGAATACTATATCCCCCGCTTCGCGCTTTCGCGCGGCGGGGGATAAAAACCAGATGGACAGTAAAATAACTAGAATATATTTAAAACTAGCATACAGCCATAAAAAGATATATGTAACAATACATAATAAAAAAGGGCTATAGATCGCCAGCAGCTGAAGGTAGATCACCATGCCAGGGTCCATGGGGACTTACAGTACCTTTGCTACCTCCATGGAGAGTCTTAGCCAGAGGCAGTGGGGTAGCCTAGTGGTTAAAGTGTTTGCTCGCATGCCAAAGACCTGGGTTCAATTCCACACAGGGGTACGTGTGAAGCCCATTACTGGTGTCTCCCGCTGTCATATTGCTTGAATATGGCTAACACTGGGGTAACAGCATACTCACTCACAGTCTTAGACTGGGAAACATTTTGTTAACTACAGTGCCAATAAATGGTTCCTAAAAAAAAACTTTTAAACTTGTGCCAAGGCTCTGCAGCTCAGTTTAACAAATATTACATTCATCTCAACAGCTTGAAAAATTAGAATATCAACAAAGTTCAAACAAGGAAAATCATCATAGTCTAAGGTATTTACACTCAATTGTCAAGCTATGTTTTGTTAATGTGTTTGTTAGAAAATATAAATTTGTAACTATTATTAAAGACAACAGTTCCAAATAGATCTACCTGGTATTCATAGACCGCCTCCGTGGTCTAGTGGTAGAGCGTCCGCCCGGAGAGCGGAAGGTCTGGGGTTCGATCCCCGGCCGCGTCATACCAAAAGACCTTAAAAGATGGTACTTGTTGTTACCCTGTCTGGCGCTCGGCATTAAGGGGCTAAAACAAGGACTGGTTGGCTTGGAGTCAGTATACTGTGTCTGAGTGGGGTATTCATGTTCAACTGCGGCATGGTATCTCAGTGAGCTAGCACTATAAATCGGCATCAGTCCGGACTAGTACAAGCAGCCACACAAACACATACACGTACATGCACGTTGCTATATAAGTGCAATAATCTTGGACGCAACATTAAACCTAATTACACCTCACCTCACCTAGTATTCATAAACTTCGGTCAAGTTTGTTTTCAACAAGTTTGATATTTTGTATATTTTGAAAATACATAATCTTAATTTCAGTGGAACCCTGATGTCATAACTTCTCCTTGATTTTGCCCTCCAATATCTCCCAGTACACTGCCATGAAACAAGGCATCACATTATATTGTGTCGTCCGACTGAGATTACGAAGTAGAACAGCATTCACAAATAAAGCCTAGGTTATTATGACAGTTCACCTGACACTCTGAATTAACTACTAATGTCAAAAATACTTCCCAAAAGTCAAGGAATTACCAAAAATGCAATTCCATTATGAACAAAATCTCATTAAAATCAGATCTAAGTTCTCGCTGCCGCTAAACAAAGATCTGAGGACATCCCATTACGGGTCACGTCAGAACGACCTTTCGCAAACTTTGACCTACCACTGAAACGAATAACAAAAAGTCGATATCAGCCAATGAGAAAGCAGCTTTCTCGAGCTTTACGGCACTCGTTTGAACTTTGCGATTTCCATTTCAGACTACGCTTGAAAAATATGTTGGCACAGTTCTCGATTAAAATTTTGAAAACAAACAAACATTTCGGAATGTCTAATATATGGTTGAGATTGTATGGCAGTTCTTCCCACGTACTATGCAATGCCTCCTCCGTTTAAATGTTTATCCCACGGAAGCGAGAGACAGACGATAATTTTGACGGAATCAGACTGACGGGCTGTAACTGTCATTCGGAATATCCCGTTTAAACGTTTTTCGAGGTTGCATGATAAGAAAACACATTCCGACTGTCACTTTCATGATCTGGTAAGTGATGCTTTGATTGGTCGGATGAAAGGTCGTTCTGACGTGACCCGTAATGGGATGTCCTCAGATCTTTGTTTAGCGATAGCGAGAACTAAGATCTGATTTTAATGAGATTGTTATGAACAGTGATAGTTTGCTGTTATTGACTATTAACATGAAATATGGATATTACATCACTGAACCAATGTGCTGATGCTGCAGTGAGGCCGGCGCCAGTGGACAGCCTGACCGTGGTGGACCGGAACACAACCTGTCTGTCCCTCCAGTGGCAACACAGCAAGGGGGAAGACCGGACCATTCTGTACACGCTGCATGTGAGGCAGGGTTCTCAGCTACAGGTGATGCATCCTGGATACATTCGGGGAAGAAGTTGTCAGTGCTATTTTCAACCCCACCAAAACAAAGTTAAAACCGTTCAGTACATCTTTCTGAAACTTTGCATACACGCAAGGCATGTGTTGAAACAGTGCCTTTTGCTATTCAGGAATTAAAACAATATATTAAAACATATGTTTCTGAAGCAAGAAGTCTGACACGCTCAGATGTGGGTTCATTTTCAGGAGCTTGACTCATGAAGAATTCATTCATGATACTTTGTATTCCCTTCAGGCAATGACCACCTCTGTGGTCTAGTGGTAGAGCGTCCCCCCGGAGAGCAGAAGGTCCAGGGTTCGATCCCCGACCGCGTCATACCAAAAGACGTTAAATGATGGTACTTGTTGTTACCCTGTCTGGGGCCCGGCATTAAGGGGCTAAAACAAGGACTGGTTGGGTCGGAGTCAGTATACTGTGTCTGAGTGGGGTATTTATGTTAAACTGCGGCATGGTATCTCAGTGAGCTAGCAGTATAAATCGGCATCAGTCCGGACTAGTACAAGCAGCCACACACACACATACACGTGCATGCACGTCGCTATATAAGTGCAATAATCTTGGACACGACGTTAAACCCCATTTCACCTAACCTCACCCTTCAGGCAAGTGCTGATTTTTTTTGTAAGCTTATTTTTCTTATGGCAACAAGTTGGATATGTTCAAATGAGGACAAATGAGGTTTCTGGTGACAAACTCATAAACCTTGCATTTTTTCTCAATAAACTGTTCCTATCTATCACGTCACTGACACCTGGTGCTTTTTGTTTTCAGAGAAATGTAAGCTTATTAACAGTTATAAGTTGGGAGGTAAGGTGAAATGTTGTTTAACATCATGTCCAAGATTATTGCACTTATATAGTGACGTGCATGCATGTGAGTGTGTGTGTGTGTGTGTGTGTGTGTGTGTGTGTGTGTGTGTGTGTGTCTTCTTGTACTAGTATGGACTGATGACGATTTTATAGTGCTAGCCCACTGAGATACCATGCTGCAGTTTAGCATGAATACCCCCCTCAGACACAGTATACTGACTCAGAGCCGACCAGTCCTTGTTTGAGCCCCTTAATGCCAAGTGCCAGGCAGGGTAACAACAAATACCATCTTTTAACGTCTCTTGGTATGACGCGGCTGGGGATCGAACACCGGACCTTCTACCACTAGACCAAAGAGGCGGCCAACATTCATAAGCAAGCAAGGCAGATGGGGATATGGTTGACTGCTTGTTACTTTTTTTATGGCTTTTCCTGGACATTGAGTTAGGAAGCCAGTCTCATTAAAATCAAATCTTAGTTCTTACTAGCGCTAAACAAAGATCTGAGGACATCCCATTACGGGTCACGTCAGAACAACCATTTTCGCGAATTTTGACCAACCAATGAAATGACTGACAAGAAATCGACATTAGCCAATCAGAAGGCAGCTTTCTCGAGCTTTACGACACTAGTTTCAAACTGGTGACTACGCTTCGAAACATATTTTGACGTATTTTTGATTAAACAAAATTAAAACTGATAAGAAGAACATTCTGGAATGGCTTTTTAGATGGCCTAGATTGTATGGATATAATCATAAAACCCGTAACTGTCGTTCAGAATACCCCATGTTAAATATCTAGTGGTTGCATGTTTAGAAAACACATTCCGACTGTCACTTTCATGATCTGGTAAGCGAAGCTCTGATTGGTTGGATGAAAGGTCGTTCTTGACCCATAATGGGATGTCCTCAGATCATTGTTTAGCGGTAGCTAGAACTAAGATCTGATTTTAATGAGATTGGATAGGAAGCCAAACTCAAGAGTCTCACTGGTTGAGCAAAGCATCATATATGATAATGTACATCCAGTAAACTTTTTTAATTTTCAGATTTACAATTACACTGACATCAGCACTGTTACTACATGTGGGCTGCATCCAGGCAGGACGTACACTCTGCTGGTGTCATGCATCCCCATCCCTTATACCTACAGCCAGCCCCATGGCTTCTACAGTGAGTGGACCTCCGTTGTAGCCAGGACCATGGAAGATGGTGAGTTGATCAATCATACATTGTACTACTGTATTTCCTAGCCATCTCCCTGTATGACACACCGTCTGTTGTGTAACGCCGCACTCAGCAATATTCCATCTATATGGCACTGGTCTGTAATTAATCGAGTCTGGACCAGACAATCCAGTGATTGATATCATGAGCATCGATCCACGCAATTGGGATACGATGACATGCATCAACCAAGTCAGCGAGTCTGACCACCCGATCCTGTTAGTCTTTCGACAAACCTAGTCACCTCTTACAGCAAGCATGGGTTGATGGGTACAACGTGTCAAGCCCATTTCTAGTGTCCCCGCTGTGATATTGCTTGAATATAATAGCGGCATAACGTCATACTCACTCACTCACTCTGCCATACTAAGAGCCCACTGGTGGGCCCAAGACAGATCAATCACAAAACATATCTATTTTTATCTTGTGTTCTGTTCTCCCAGTCTCCTGAAATCCATTCTTGACAAACATGTTTTTATATAAATGAATTATTCTAAATATGTTGAAAGTTAACAACTTGTACCAAATCCTTTTCATGTTATGTGAATAAAATATACAAAGCTCAAATCAATCCGACATATTGTGTGTCATCATGCCCTAAAGGTATGACCGGTGAGGAGCCAGGTAAGAATGGGTTGGATGGTCAGGTTCGGTGACTCGGTTGATGCATGTCATCGTACCTCAATGCTTAGATTGATGCTAATGATGTCAATCACTAGATTGTCTGGTCCAGACTCGATTATTTACAGAACGCTGTCACATAGCTGGAATATTCCTGTGTGCTGTGTTAAACAACAAACAAACAAAAACTGATGGTATGGATCCTCACGCATTCAGTCACTGGTTTGCTTGGTCCAGACTTAATTTAGTTTGCCATTATAAAGATGACTGTGAACAACATTTAACATTGGCTGTAGTATTAGACTGCTGCATTTGTTCTTCAGTGCCGAGTGGGGTTCCTGGTATTGAGATCAGCAGCTTCAGATACCACAAGTGCAGCTCTCAGACCTCGGACTGTGAGGTCACCATCTACTGGCAGGTATGTACAAGGTGTATCTGGACCAAAAGGTAACAAACCTGTTAAATCTATATATGATATCTAAACCCTTTCACAAAGTCACTATACCTGTGATCAATGGCTGAAACACTGTGATGTGACTGAAATACTCACTCACTCACTCACTCACTCACTCATAAATCTCTACTAATCCGCTGTCTTACTGACCCAACAGCCAGTTCCAGACGTGGAGTGTAATGGGGAGATAACTCAGTACCAGGTGACACAGATCGACACGGAGATAGGACAGAAGCAGGAGTTTGAGGTGGAGGGATCGGACACATCGATCAACCTCGGGATCAAGAAGGTCAGACAGTACTTGATCAGATTAAAAGCCAGAACTCGGGTCGGATATTCAGAGCAATCCGCATCCATGGAGATTCCAGCATATCAGTACAGTAAGTAAATAATTTTGCAAGATTTTCGGGAAATTTTGTTGCAAATTGTAGAGTCACATTTACTAAAATCCGCAAACAAGATCTTCAATAACAATTAATAATTTTCTGACAAAGGCACTTGTTTGATCAATATATTTGATAATAATGTTCCATCTATCATCGAGCCAATGCATCTCTCTTCCCTCTGTGCTGTAATATTGTTCGTTTGTTTGTTTGTTATTTAACGCCACACTCAGCAATATTCAAGCTATATGATGGCCGTCTCTAAATAATCCAGTGATTGCATCTACATGCATCAACCAAGTCAGCGAGCCTGACCACCCGATCTCGTTAATCGCCTATTACGACAAGCACAGTCGCCTGTCACGGCAAGCATGGGTTGCTGAAGACCTATTCTTCACAGGTCTGCTGCAATATCATGACCAGGTAATCAGTAAATGTCAGAACATATGTGTTACTTTATTATAACAGCTTGTATTTACACCATGTATAACTTGGTGCCATTGGGTTCATGTTCCCTCATGACCTATTGCAGAGTTGCCTCCCCCTTCTGACGTCCTGGTGGAGGCCGAGGGTTCTGTTCTGAACATCAGCTGGGGCCCCCCTGAACACTCCCAAGACTCCCCCAAGGGCCACACCCTAGGGTACACACTCTACTACTGTACTAGATCCAAGTCCACTTTCAAATGCAGGGTAAGAACTGAATAAAAAGCTACTCATCATAGCTGTTGGTAAATATTGTGGTTCGGTCACTGTGCCCAGTGAAGGGACTGGTCATTTACAATAGAGAGAGAACATGACACAGCAAATGAGGTGGGTCGCCAAAATGTATCACTAAACATAATTTAGGGTTTAGGGACTAGTCATTTATTATAGGGAGGGGGAGGGGGGGCATGACAAATGTTACAAAAAATAGTTGGGGGTGTGGAGGGAGGGGGTTGGGGAGAATAATACAGCCCTAAAACCAATCCCCCTACCCCATAATAAATGATCAGTCCCTGAGGTAAACCAGCATGTCAAGAATACCAAGGATGTTACTGGTGTTCACAACTCAAGAGCTATCTTATTATGCCTTGTAATCAGCCAGTGATCTCCAATGAACACTTTGGGGGCACGGGTGGCCGATTCATCTAAGGTACCGTAATTACCTGCGCAGAATTGTGTCCCTTGGGCACACCAGAAACCTACGTTTGTGAGTTCAAATCCTGGTTCTCCCCAATTATGTTTCAAGGTTTGTCGTGCTCTCGCGTTTCAAGAAAGTGGTAAACACCCGAGACCTGCATCCCTTCGGGCTTTCCTCCCATATTGAGCTGACACCCTGTGATATAACTGGAGTACTGTTAAAAGCTGGCTGAAACCCAACTCACTCACTCCATTAACAATTTGTATAGCACCATAATTAACTGTATTAATGATTTTAAAATTATTTTTTAAATTAATACATTATCCTCACAAAACAAAAATAATGGGATATGGGTTTAGCCAGACATCGTACAAGATATCTCTTTCAAATCTACCGGTATATGCACACATCATAAATACCTGGGCAACACACTTTGTGAATTTAGTGGCAAAACTCTTTTTACGATTCTCTGTGTACTTGGGAAAAAACTTCCAAACAGTTGTTTTAGGATGTAGGTCAACCCTCAGATCCCCTTCTCACTTTCCAGCCCCAAGTCACAAAACCTCCAAATATATTTATGAATTACCCGACTAGATCTAGGCTCTGATAATATGGTGATGATCATGTTATCTGAGAAACAAATGATGGGTAGCTGGAGGCATGATCTGATCTGTCTAATGGCTCCAGGTAACACTAAGGGATTCTTCTTGACATACACCATGATTAGGACTGGGATGAGTCCAGATTTACTATCCTGTACCCATCCCCCTATTACCCGAAAGATAGGTACAAAATGACTGGGAATAGTTTGACCGAACTCCTGTCAAAATGTATTTAGATACACGTATAAACCGATCTGATCATGCATACACTGAAGTTGAGTGAAGTTTTATCTTTATGCAAACATATAAAGTCAGAAGGAATGGGTGCATAGTCAGAATGACACATCCTACATTTTCTTTTTCATTTATTACTCCATGATAATTTTATTACAAAAGATAACAGCCATATATATATATATATATATACAAATTCCCCTATATGCCCCTGTGGCGTAACGTATTGTATACAGTATGAAAACAAAACATACTTACATAAGTTCCATGGATATTTGTGAACTTTATTTCCAGGACCCTATTCAGTTGCTCCACCTCCCCATCAATCAAACATCCTTCCAGTGGGAGGTGCCTGATGGTAACCCTGACAACAAGATGATTGGCATATCTGCAGAGATGGAGATATCCACTCAGAATTACAGCAGTGGCTTGTCATGGAATGAGTGTGTGTACAACAAGAGGCCGAGTGAGTGCTGGAAACCATGTCTAATACAGATGGAATGAAAATGTGCAAATATTTATATTCATATTATGCATTGAAGTATTTTTAGAAGTTCCTGATTCTGTGGATCCTGTTGATATCATGTTCAAGTGAATGTTACTTATGTCCCAATCTAGCTACCGTATATCATTTTCTGTGGCCTTTAAAGCATCCAGTTTGGACCAACCACACTTCTTTGATCTGATTTGTGTTTGTTTGTTTGTTGTTTAATGCCGCCTCAGCAATATTCGAGCTATATGACAGTGATCTGTAAATAATCTGGACCAGACAATCCAGTGATTGACATCATGAGCATTGATCCATGCAATTGGGATCGATGACATGCATCGACCAAGTCAGCAAGCCTGACCACCCGATCCCATTAGTTGCGTCTTACGACAAGCAAAGTTGCCTTTGACGGTTGCTGAAGACCTATTCTACCTCAGGTTTTCACGAGTCTCTCTGATCTGAAAGTTATTTCCTCTGAGCAATTCTGGATATGAGTTGTAGCTCCAACTAGATACTGTCAATAAATCGGGCCTATCATGGAAATTATACTTGTACATTCCAAACCTTGAGCTTTAAAAATCAAAGTGGCCTTTAATGTATCATGCAAACCTATCTCTACCTTCCATTATTTTTCAGATCTTCATCCTCCACAAAACGTCCGCTTTTCACGCAAACAGCCTCACAATGGCCTTCGAGCTGACTGGGACACGTTTGACCCCGCAGACGGCCCTGTGTGTATCAGCCACTTTGTGTTGTCTTTCTGTGTCTCCTACAGTCAGGCTGAATGTGCAGGTAGGTGCAGCATGTTTTATTGGCACCCATATTATTTCATGATTTCAGAAGGGGTGGTTGGGTAGCCCAGTGGTTAAAGCCTTTGCTCGTCACGCCAAAGACCCGGGTTCGATTCCTGACATGGGTACAATGTGTGAAGCCCATTTCTGGTGTCCCCCGCTGTGATATTGCAAGAATATTTCTAAAAGCAGCGTTAATGACAACCATTTCTTGACATAAACATAAATATGGTGTGATCTTTGCAGGCCCCACAGTGAACCAGAATTTGTCAAACTATCCATATGTATTTTATGGCCCAACTGTGAACCAGCTGTCTAACAATCAATATGAATTTTACTGTTCCCACAATGAACTAGACTTTGTCTAAAATTTCACTGGCCCAACTGTGAACCAACTGTCTAACAATCAATATGAATTTTACTGTTCCCACAGTAAACTAGACTTTGTCTAAAATTTCACTGACCCAACTGTGAATCAACTGTCTAATAATTAATATGAATTTTACTATACCCACAGAGAACCAGACTTTACCTAAAATTTCACTGGCCCAACTGTCTAACAATCAATATGTACATTGTATGTTACTGTTCCCACAATGAACCAGACTTTACCTAAAATTTCACTGGCCCAACTGTCTAACAATCAATATGTACATTGTATGTTACTGTTCCCATAATGAACTAGACTTTGTCTAAAAATTTCACTGGCCCAGGAGAGAACCCAACTGTCCAACAATCTGTATGTAATTTTACATCCTTGTATTTTAGTTCCTTGGGTGATTGATGTTTGACGGTATTTTCAGGGCCATCAGTGCAGGTCAATGTGTCCAACAAAGATGTGACTCACGTCATCCAGGGTCTGTCAGCAGGAGTGAAGTACAGGGTGACACTCCGAGCTGTGTCCAGGTCAGGGGAGGGGCCAGAGAGTGAAGCCATCATCAAAGAGGTGACAGAAGGTAGGGGGATGTCACCATGTTATCCAGTTACCATGACTCTGTTTATCATATGGGGGCGGTCGGGCAGCCTAGTGGTTAAAGCGTTCGCCCGTCACGCCGAAGACTCGGGGTCGATTCCCGACATGGGTACAATGTGCGAAGCCCATTTCTGGTGTCCCCCCGCCGTGATATTGCTGGAATATTGCTAAAAGCGGCGTAAAACCATACTCACTCATTGTTTATCCTATGTAATAAATAGAGGTTATCACGCGAGTGTGTTTGGGGATGGTAAATATCCTGCATTAGGAATAAACATTGTATTTAGCGAGCCTTGGCGAGCTAAATACATAGTGTTTATTCCTAATACAGGATATTTACCATCCCCAAACACACAAGCGTGATAACCTCTTTATCATATAATGTCATTCTTTAATTCTGTGCTTTAAAATCGCTTTCCCTCTCTCACAAACACTACCGAAACATTGCGAGTTTTCCTGGAATGCGCGCATTAATATTTATTACGTCACAGGGTAAGTGATTAGTCAGTCGGACAGTAGCCAATATAGTTCCAACTGAAATCTGTTTCTTATACAGTGGCAAAGCAACTTATACGCAAAACAACAGTTGTTTTTAATTGCCTTTCGCGGCAATCCATCGGTCTGTCCGCTAGAGTAACTGCCCTTTGTCAAAGGGAAGCTATTCTAACTCTAGTCTATGAGACGTCACGGCCACGGTCAGATGTTGTTGACAGTCCGTCTGTCCTTTCATAACGTTAAGAAGTGTAGTCAGATGTACACACAGCAACAAAACAAAACAAGATAACAGTTCAAACATATTTCGGCCGAATCCAACCATTTTGATTTGTGGAGAAGGTTTCAAGCCACAGAGGTCTACAAGCACAGATATGGCTACTGATCCCGCTTGGCTAGGCGTCGTGCCCTCGCAAAATTGTTTCGAAAATATATATCTCGAAAGTTGCCAAAACTTATAAAATGCCTTAGCTACGTCACAGTTAGACACTGATTTTCAGTATATTAGACTCTTCGTTTGATAATGATAGCAATTACCCCTGTAGTTTATCCAGATTCACGATGGTTAATTCTGACTCGATCGACGAATGACGAGGGCGACGCCATGTTTGTTTATAAACAGTGAAAGTAGTCCTACTTGACCTTTGATATTTGCATCTCTATCCGCATATGACCCCAACGGATATCGTTTTTATCCGTTGGCTTTATCCTGCCGAGAAACCTACCCATTATATGATAACAATGAATATCAACATCTTTATTTACACTGTTAAGATGTTTCTTTACTAATACTGTAGCTAGCACCTATAGCAAGTTAACACCTTTATCAGTAATTTCATATAGTTTGTCAGGTGAACATTGTGTGTAGTGATAAGGAAATAAGTGCAATAATATCAGGTATATAATAAAGTCGGTTAGCTGTGTATTGTGAGAAGTGATGTGGAAAATAGTACAACTATATTGATATCAGTAATAAAGTTTGTCAGGTGTGCATTGTGATAAGTGCTAAGGAATTTGTACAACAATATCAGTTATCTAGGCCTTTAGAAAATTGACAAAGGGGGTGCTCATAAAAAACATACACAAGCTCAACTTGCTGTCAAAGATTGAGCAGGAGGGAAGAAAATTAGCATTGATGAAACTCAATGAAGTTTTTTATTATAGTTACCAAGCAGTTATATTCCTCTTCTATACTGCAGTGCTTTCTGAATAAATAGGTGTAATATACACAAGAAAATAAGGACATACGCAAATTTTCGAACTTATTACGGGGCACTTATAGATTACTTACAGACTGGTGAAGAAGTTGCAAGGTCATAGGGCAGTTATAGGAGCAGTCCTAATACTGCTGCAGTTTTCTAGCTGTACAGAAACCCATAATCTGACACTGGTAACTGTTTATATTTTCAGCTCCACAGTTTACGTGGGTGGTGGTGCTGGTTGTGGTGCTAGTCCTTGTCCTGTTGGTATTTGTCCTGTGTGTGTGCTGCTGGTGAGTAGGGGACTACCGGGGCCTGATCCCGTCCCCTTATATGGAGCTCAGTGATGTGACAGAGACACAGAGAAGGAGTAGTAACAGATATGTTTGTAGGGGTCGGTGAAAGGTGTATGAGAGACAGAGAGGTATAATAACAGATATGTTTGTAGGGATCTGTGAAAGGAGTATGAGAGACAGAGGTATAATAACAGATATGTTTGTAGGGATCTGTGAAGGGAGTAGGAGAGACATAGAGGTATAGTAACAGATATATTTGTAGGGATCTGTGAAAGGAGTATGAGAGACAGAGGTATAGTAACAGATATGTTTGTAGGGATCTGTGAAGGTAGTAGGAGAGACAGAGAGGTATAATAACAGATATATATGTAGGGGTCGGTGAAAGGAGTATGAGAAACAGAGGTATAATAACAGATATGTTTGTAGGGATCTGTGAAAGGAGTATGAGAGACAGAGGTATAGTAACAGATATGTTTGTAGGGATCTGTGAAAGGAGTATGAGAGACAGAGGTATAATAACAGATATATTTGTAGGGATCGGTGAAAGGAGTATGAGAGACAGAGGTATAGTAACAGATATGTTTGTAGGGATCTGTGAAAGGAGTACGAGAGACAGAGGTATAATAACAGATATATTTGTAGCGATCTGTGAAAGAAGTATGAGAGACAGAGAGGTATAATAACAGATATATTTGTAGCGATCTGTGAAAGGAGTATGAGAGACAGAGGTATAATAACAGATACATTTGTAGCGATCTGTGAAAGAAGTATGAGAGACAGAGAGGTATAGTAACAGATATATTTGTAGTGATCTGTGAATGGAGTATGAGAGACATAGAGGTATAATAACAGATAAGTTTGTAGGGATCTGTGAAAGGAGTATGAGAGACAGAGGTATAGTAACAGATATGTTTGTAGTGATCGATGACCTTGTGTATGGAGATGTGACAAGGACAGAATGAGCGCGTCTATATTTGAAGGACTACACAAATTTGTTTGTACATATGTAGTTTATACAACACACTTTTGTCGACCTTGACATGTTTAAAGCCAGTCTGTGTTTGTCTACAGGAAGGTGCACAAGCTGACAAAGGAAGAATTCTACTTGCCTGTCACGATGCCTAAGTTTCCCGCTTCACAGGTGTGTATGTTAATGTTCATGTGGCACTGACACAACCATCGAAAAAAGAGGACGGGGCAAGACAAGGTCTTGTTATTTCCTGGTGAATCAGACCGCCTCCGTGGTCTAGTGGTAGAGCGTCCGCCCGGAGAGCGGAAGGTCCGGGGTTCGATCCCCGACCGCGTCATACCAAAAGACGTTAAAAGATGGTACTTGACGGTACCCTGTCTGGCGCTTGGCATTAAGGGGCTAAAACAAAGACTTGTCGGCTCGGAGTCAGTATACTGTGTCTGAGTGGGGTATTCATGTTCAACTGCGGCATGGTATCTCAGTGAGCTAGCACTATAAATCGGCATCAGTCCGGACTAGTACAAGCAGCCTCACAAACACACACACGTACATGCACGTCGCTATATAAGTGCAATAATCTTGGACGCGACGTTAAACCCAATTTCACCTCACCTCCTGGTGAATCATGGAGGGTGATGATCTTTTACTGCAAAATGTCTCAACCAATATCCATTTATGTCAAGTGTTTGTTATTCCAGTGCTCAGTACACACCAAGCAAAGTCTGTCACTAAACGAAGCTGCAGCCACGCATCTCTCTTCATTTTTTACCTTTGTCTTTGTTGTCTGAATCACCCTTATATTTTGTGTCTGTTTTACAGATTACTCGAAGTAATGGCCAAAATAACAACAATAATTCCACCAAGAAAACTGTGAGTGTCTCTTCTGAATCGGCGCTTCTGTCCAACATAGAACATAAGCATGAAGCCAATTGCCAGCCTTACCAGGTCCCACAGTTAAGCAGTGCCTACAGTGAGAGTAGTTCTACATCTGGGCCAACATCTTCAGGGAAGGCCAACAGGAAGCTCCACAGGAGAGACCAGGGAAGTTCCTCAGATGCAAGTGAAACATTGTCCTCAAAGGGAAATGACTCTGTAGAAACCTACTTAATGGCAGATTTGCCAAGCATGTGTACAAATTCAGATAACCAATTGGTCAGTATGAGCGATCTGGATTTGACATTCTCTGGACAGAACAATGCTCAACTGTATGTGCCCAGACAGGAGGTTCAGCTCGGGTTTGTGTTTGCTTCATCCTCAGCTTCATGCCATGGCCCCCTCACTCACTCACAGAGCCCTTTTGCCACACACCTGCCATCACTCACTTGCCTTCCCACTGGCCCACTTACACAATCTCAAGCCCCTCCTACTGTTGCCACGCCCCAACTGTCAAACCCTGCCCTGCCTTTTGCCCCACCCACACAGTCACAAGCCCCTCCTACTGTTGCCACGCCCTATTTGTCAAACCCTGCCCTGCCCTTTGCCCCACCCACACAGTCACAAGCCCCTCCTACTGTTGCCATGCCACAACTGTCAAACCCCGCCCTTCCCTTTGCCCCACCCACACAGTCACAAGCCCCTCCTACTATCACCACACCTCTACTGGCCTATCTTCCCTCTGCCACACCCATACCATCATGTACCCCTGTCCCAACTCACAGTACAGGGTATGTGTCCTATGAAGAAGCTCTGAATCTGGGGCAAGACAAGATATTGTCATGAATCTTAATATTGACTGCCATTCCTGGACATGTCACCCATCTTACTGGTTGCCGAAAGACGAAGACTGTTTGTGAAAATGAAACAATCATAATTTTATCTTCTGTGCCTAAGAGAAACTACTCTTCCCAAGGATCACTTCTTTAAAAAGTAATATATCAAACTGTGTGCATCTGTTAAAATAACCAAAGGAAATATTTCGTGAAGACATGTTTAATGAACAAAAATCCATGTGTCAAACTCCCAACAAACAACATCCAACCAATATTCAGATCACCCATCAACTGATATCTTTGACCAAAACTGAAACATAAAAAAATTACGAAAACAAATTCATTGTCCAAAAGAAACATCTCTCAGTAGTGTATGTGATCATTGTGATGCGATTACAGCCTGGCACTCAATAAGTGTCTGGATGGCTGCCTTGGAAGATTGTTCCACTCTTCAGGAAGAAGTTCCTGTAGATTTGCCGGAGGGACTGGGTGTCCTGTGAAAGCTATCTGCAGCTTGTTCCACATGTGTTCCATTGGGTTGTGGTCTGGTGACTGGGTTGACCACTCCATAAGCGCCAACTTTGCTAGCACAATGATGTAGTGTCTTATCATCCATGAGGATGAAGTCTGGTCCCTTTGTACCCCCATACCCATTCAGAATGTCATCCCTGTAGCGCACACCCGTAATCGCGCCCTGCTGTAGGACATGGACATCGGTTCTTCCATCTCTACTGATCCCACCCCAAATCATCTTTGAGCCCCTCTCATATTCGGCTACATTGAAATCCTGGAATCCTGGAATCACACTGTGGTTGACACCAAAGACGTTTGCAACGTGACGTTGTGTTGACCCAGTTTCAAGCATGCCTTTGTATCTGGCTACTTCTTCGGTTGTCAGTGCTTAAGTGCATTCAGTTGTTATTATCGGGCACGACAAAGTCTGGACAGTATCTCGATTCATCTGGATTCATCTGTGTTGCAATCCTCAGAAGGAAGTGTTGTTGTGCTCTCTGATAATGACGTGCAATGATTTTGTCACGATACATCCAAAAACAGGTTTTCCAGGACCTCTTGCACCTTGTGCCCATGACTGCACGCCTCTGTACGTTCATCATGAAACTGAGGTCCCAAAAGGGGTTACCCTGCGATGATCAGTGTCTACTGTGATATTTCAATCTTCATTTGTTGGATATTTTGAGATCAACAAAACATGATCCTTAGCAAACTTTGAGTGCTATAGTTCAGAGTGTCTGCAGTGTTAAACATTAAATAAATTCCAAGTCTAATATGCTCACTGTGATCGGAGACAGAATACAAATTGAGCAACTGTCGATGAGTTTAATAGCCAAAGTCAATACTATCAGCTATATCATGCATTGTTGATATATGGGGGAATAATTCTTCCAGTTTTTCTGCAAAATATTAACATCAGGGCATGGTCTAAATGCCACTTATGATATAAATTCATATTCTCTTTATTATTAACTACATCCATACAAAAAAAATCATTTTTGAAATATTACCATCTGTCATGGACTGTTTTGTCTCATATGGTCGGGCAGGCAAGAGTTTTCAATGATGCCACCTGCCACACTCCTTTCAGAGGCAAAACTCAAAACTGGAAATTTGTTTGAAACACTCTATGTTTTAAGAAATGTCAACAAGACTGATATGAAAGCTATGCTTGTGATGAGGACCCTACTAGATGAGTGAGTGAGTGAGTGAGTGAGTGAGTGAGTGAGTGAGTGAGTTGGGTTTAATGCCGCTTTTAACATTATTCCAGTTATATCACGGCGTGTCAGCTTAATGTGGGAGGAAAGCCTGAAGTGATGCAGGTCTCAGACGTTTACCACTTCGGTGAAACCCACGAGCACGGGTATGGTGCTGACAAACCTAGAAATATAATTGGAGCGAACCGGAATTCGAACCAACAATCATAGGTTTCCAGCGTACCCTTTTGACACAACTTACACAGCAAATCCAGCGCCTGAGACAACTGGGCCACCCGTGCCCCCTTCTAATTTCCAGTGTAATCAATGTCCATTTTTCTCTTGCTTTTTACCAGACCCTACATTCATCCCCAGTTTTGGGGTCGTAGACGTTTACCACTTCGATGAAACCCACGGGTATGGTACAAACCTAGAAACATAATCGGGGCGAATCGGGATTCGAACCTACAATCATAGGTTTCTTGCATGCCCAAGGGACACAACTCTGCACAGCGAATCGTGGCGCCTTGGACGACTGGGCCACCCGTGCCCCCTACTAAATGAACAGGAAGACAAGAATTGCATACATATAAAAATCATATATCGATAAAAGCTATTTGGAAGAATGTAATTTGAGTTTTGCCTCCCAACATTATATCACTGCCGTTAAGCCATGATACATCTCATCTCCAGATACCATTCTTAGATTGATGGTATTGGAGAATTTATGAGTGCTTCCGGTGAATCTGTCTTTCACTTTACTATTTTATTGCTCATTGGGCATTTCCACTTTTGTTGGCAACTGATTGGTTGTTGCAGAAGTAACTTCACCCTAAGTATTTCTGAGCCTTGTAAAGTCACAGTGTATCATTCACAAACTAGATATTTGATCTTGCTGTAATATGTACGACAATCACATGATACTTGTATAGCTAGCTCATCACTGATACATAATGCCTTGTAGCTGACATCATTATTTAATCTATTGAATGTGCAGTTTATCATTATTTATCTGACTTCCAAGACTGTGACATCTTTCTTAGATAGTAGGGCTGGGACGAGTCCAAATTTACTAACCGGGTACCTGTCCCCCTATTACCCGGGTACCCGACCCCCTATTACCTGACCCTACCCAGGTACCCACTGTTGGTCTCAAGTTGGGTACAAATGTTGAATTGGGAACTGTTTTACTGTAGCCCTGGCAAAAAGTATTTAGATATGGTACAAAACGATCTGATCGTGCATACACTGAAGTTGACTGAAGCTTTAACTTTTCTCAAAGTAAAGTCAGAAGGAATGTGTGCGTTGTCAGAAAGAAATGCAAACATTAGCGACTTGTACTGGTGTAACCATGGAATTTTATTGATAGTCATTAAACAATTCATCACATGCCTACCTAACCTACTCGGGATCCACGAGACCCGAGTACCCAAGTTACCCGTCCTAGCCCTATTAGACAGCAATATATCTTAGATATTAATATATTGACAAAAGCTTTCTTAGACAGTAATATACTGACTAAGGATACTGGCTAAAACTGTGAACTATGTATTTATTGACTGAGCAGTGTCAATGCATTACCTCCCTATCATGGCTGATCAAGTGTGGTGGGCATTGACGAGGACAATCTCTCTACACCTACCATTGGGTTTTTGTCTATTATTTGCCAACCACCGGAAAAGTAAATGAGCTCAAACATCAAAACCATTTGAATAATATTCAAAAATAATTAGCGAAATCCAAAGGACTGTGGATGGATTTTTTTCAATTTAATGAAAATAATTTATGTTTTTTTGCTGATTCTAGAAACACAATTGATGACCTTTACTGATATACAAAAATTGTTTCTAGTATCTTTGATACCTTTCACACACTGCCGCCAAATGCAGTATATTTCCCTAAAAACCTTTTCTTCTCCAGGTCCCTGTTGGAAACTGACAATTTTGAACCAATGCTTGCCGATTTGAAATTCTTGAATATGAAACTCGGAAACTCCAACTTGAGAGTAATTATGAAACAGAAGGCAAGACAAATTGGTTTTGCATGTTTTCTTGAGTAAATAGCCAACAACCACACATTGTTTAAGGTTGATTTCAGGTCAGTTCCCTAAATACCAACAGAAATGTTTATAAATATTGTTTAAAAAAAATCATGAATAGTTTTATTTTGTTAGATATGTATATCAACCAACATTTCATGAATATTTTTGTAATAACACTGGACCAGAACAAATTTGATAAATTACATGTACTTTTCTTACCATCTTTCTTTTCACTTAAATATAATATGACAACAATTATTTCTATATCATGTTGTCATGATGTAGTCATGACGTCAAACACTGGATTGTCTGGACCGGATTCGATTTATTACAGACCGCCGTCATATAGCTAGAATATTGCTGAGTGCGACGTTAAATAACAAACAAACAAACAGGAGTGATCACTTTCTGAGGATGTCCACCAGTCTGTATTGAGAGTATTTCTAAAGTCTATATTATTTAATCTTATTGTCCAAATAAAAAGTGAGTGAGTGAGTGTGGTTTAACGCCGCTTTTAATAGTATTCCAGTTATATCACGGCGTGTCAGCTTTATGTGTGAGGAAAGCCCGAAGTGATGCAGGTCGTAGACGTTTACCACTTCGATGAAACCCACGGGTATGGTACAAACCTAGAAACATAATCGGGGCGATCGGGATTCAAACCCACAATCATAGGTTTCTGGCGTGCCCAAGGGACACAACTCTGCACAGCGAATCGTGGCACCTAAGACGACTGGGCCACCAGTGCCCTGTCCAAATGAAACAGTAATGGAGGTTGTGTGCATTAGTAGCAACCATGCCAATTTCATACTTTACTCCAGAGCCATGTTGAAGATTGTGTTTGTTTGTTTGTTATTTAACACCACACTCAGCAATATTGCCTTTTACGGCAAGCATGGATTGCTGAAGACCTTTTCTAACCTGGATGTACACGGGTGGCATGTTGAAGATAATCCATCATGTTAATAGCTCCACATAGTACTGGTAGTGTTTAACTTTTTTAAACTATATGTGGATGAAATGTTTATCTGTAAGAAACATCATAATATATATATGTTAGCCGTACGTTAGCAATGGGGATGCAATACAGGGGACCCGTGAACATCCGGGGTCAAATAGGTCTTCAGCAACCCATACTTGCCGTACAAAGAGACTATGCTTGTCGTAAGAGGCAACTAACGGGATCGGGTGGTCAGGCTCGCTGACTTGGTTGGTGCATGTTATCGTATCCCAATTGCATGGATCGGTGCTCATGATATCAATCACTGGATTGTCTGGTCCAGACTCGATTATTTACAGACCGCTGTCATATAGCTGGAATATTGCTGAGTGTGGCATTAAACAACAAACAAACAAACTAAAAAAAGCAATACAGGGACATCACTGAAGTTCAAGGAACATTGAGGCACTATATTCCCTTGTGCCTTTGCCGTAAACAACACGCAGCCTCACATAAAATAGGAATTTTTCCAATTCCCTTTTTGGTCCAGACTCGATTATTCACAGACCATGTCATCCAGTCGGAATATTGCTGATTGCGGCTTTAAACAACAAACAAACAAAAACCACAAACTTCCATACAGAACAGATCGAGTTGTGCAGTGATACAACACAGGCGTCCTCAACAGGGGATACGACAGTTATACACTGAGTCATAGTAGCATCACCATAGAGTGAGTGAGTGAGTGAGGTTTTATGCTGCTTTTAGCAATATTCCAGCAATATCACGGCGGCGGACACCAGAAATGGGCTTCACACATCGTACCCATGTCGGGAATCGAATCCGGGTCTTCGGCGTGACTAGCGAACACTTTAACAATTAGGCTACCCGACCGCCCCCACCAGTCATGTAATTGTGACGCTGTATGTATGAATGCACACATTTCCACACAAACAAACTCGCAATATTTAGATACTATTTGTGAGAGATGAAAATACTTATTTTCATGACAGAATAATGACATTTTATGATAAAGAGGTTATCACACTTGTGAGTGAGTGAGTATGGTATTACGCCGCTTTTAAGCAAAATTCCAGCAATACCACAGCGGGGGACACCAGAAATTGGCTTTACACATTTCCTTGTTTACACACTTGTGTGTTTTGGTGTGGTAAATATTCTGTATGAGGAATAAACATTACATTTAGCAAACCTGGGCAGGATATTTACCATTCCAAAACACACAATTACCGTATTCGACGTAATAAGCGCCCCGCTCTAATAAGCGCCCAAGGCGATATTTGCTAATATATTGGCTAGTGAACAATCCCAATTAGCAGCCCTTCCGATTGGTCAATGTACAAAATACTTATTTATTTGCGTATAATACGCAACCGTGTGTTATATGCACTCTTAATTATGGGCATTTAAATTCTGGAAAAATATATCTGTATGTAAACATTTCAGGCTGTCAGCATAAACCACGAAATTTATCTTTCAACTGGTTTTTTTTCCCCAAAATAATATTCTAATAAGAGACCCCTATTTCTAATTTTGAATGCGCCCTGGGCGCTTATTACGTTGAATACGGTAAACTGTGGCTGGTTTCTCTGGGAGCATCACTATAAAACTAGCATAAGCAGCCACACACTCAGCGATAGAAATTGGCACAAGTCCTCTTTTCCTTGCCAAACTGCCCACTTGTTAAGGAAAAGTAGAAATTTGGCATTTTTTAGGGTTATGCTATATGTTATCATTATAAAGACTAGCAGACTAAAAATTTAAGTTTCTATGGCTTCTCGCCTCGCACCTCGCCATACAAGTTAAAGAATCTTGAACATGCCATTAAACCTCATTTCCCCTCACCTCAAACCACTACTAAAGGGTTTTCAAATAAAGTCTACAACATACATGCATTTTCAAACTTATATTCTTATTTCCAGTGAGTGAGTTGTGTTTAACGCCACTTTTAACAGTATGCCAGTTATATCGCAACGTGTCAGCTTAATGTGGGAGGAAAGCCCAAAGTGATGCAGGTCTCAGACGTTTACCACTTCGGTGAAACCCACAAGCACGGGGATGATGCTGACAAACCTAGAAACATAATCAAGTCGAACCGAAATTCGAACCAACAATCATAGGTTTCCAGCGTACCCTTTTGACACAACTTACACAGCAAATCCAGCGCCTGAGACAACTGGGCCACCCGTGCCCCCTTCTAATTTCCAGTGCAATCAATGTCCATTTTTCTCTTGCTTTTTACCAGACCCTTCCTTTAATCCCCAGTTTTGCTGCTTGCTACATGCCGGCTGTGGAATCCGGGCTGCACACAGGGTGCCTCAGACATGCCACACACTGACAACAGAAACTCTAATTATCCATACTTTACAGAAACAAAACAGGGCAATTCATTGATATGGAATAAAATGATGTAAAACAAAATACTGGAAACTGTGACTGGTGATCTCATTGTATGATACCATAAAAAAAATTAAAAATAATAATAAAAATAATTATTATCATCATCATCATCACAATGATGACGATGATGATGATGATGATGATGATAATAAAAATTGTCTACATCTAATTATTTACCAACTTTTAATCAGTTGCAAGAATATATACTTATATATATATACTTAACATTTATGATGGTTTAACAAAATGATTAAAGCTTTAGCCTTCCCAAACTGAAAGTGAAATCATGGGATAAATACCACTGGTTGTTTTTAGAATAAGTACGTGGGAGTTTAGCTGTGTGCCATGGGCTGCCATTCTTACACACCTCTGACCTTAAATCCCGACTATTTGACTTCTTGAGTAATGGCTAGTATATCATCACAAAGAATAAGTTACAGCGAACACTTTCACCAACAGACAGCATAGCGTCAGAGCGGCAATAAACGTTCACACACATGGCATATTTGATCATGACAACAGGGCAGAGGGGGATACCATTGATCAATACAAAACCCTAAATGGAAAAATCTGAATCACTGAATCTCAATGTTAAGAAAGGAACACCATACCTGATGTAACTCTGACCCAGATAACAGTCATAACAAGACAACTTGCATGGTTGTTGGATGTTACGGTGTATTTCGAGGGCATCCCACATGGTAAACATATTTTTTGCATATATCTTGATTTACATGCTAATCAAAATAATATCAAGTGTTTGTTTATTTAGTCTAATTCCCCAAAGCACTATAACTTTGTATGATACTTGCCATTACAGTGCTTTGACTATACTATTTAAAAAGTTGTTGATCTTACCGATTCTACAAGGGCTGGGACAGGTAACTAAGGTACCCGGGTTGGATGGGTACTGAGTAGGACCCAGGTACCCACAGGACTACCCAAACCCGTGGTTAGTCACGTGATATATTGTTTAATGACCAAAAATATCTAGAACTCTATGGTTACACTACAAGTCACTAATGTTCGCTTTTCTTTCTGACTAAGCACCATTCCTTCTGACCTTTATATGTTTGAATAAAAATAAAACTTCAGTCAACTTCAGTGTATGCATGACCAGATGGTTTTATATGTGTATTTCAATACTTTTCACCAGGGCTAAGGTCAAACTATTCCCAATCAGACATTTTGTACCCAACTCTTGAGACATATAGCGGGTACCCGGGTAGGGTCGGGTAATAGCGGGGTGGGTACCCGGGTGGTAACTTTAGACTCGCCCCAGCCCTAGATTCACATATATTATTGATTTGAGTCTTAAATGGATGAGGGGTGCTGTAGTCCTGTGATCTAGTCCCAGACATGTCTGTTATGTCCATCACTGGATTGTGTGCAACATGCTCATGAGCTTCACCAAATCACTTCCGGCTTTCCGCCAACACAAACTGACACACAGTCACGAAGGAAACATTTTTTTAATTTTAGGTTTCACAGATTTATTACATTCCACACAAGTTCAGTTGAAATATAAATAAGAATAAATGTCATTTATTTATTTATTTATTTATTTATTTATTTATTTATTTATTTATTTATTTATTTATTTATTTATTTATTTATTTATTTATTTATTTATTTATTTATTTATTTATTTATTTATTTATTTATTTATTTATTTATTTATTTATTTATTTATTTATTTATTTATAGGAAAGTCATTCTGCTGTGGAGTTAAAACTGCAGCTGGCCTCTTGCCCTTGCCAAACTGCCCAAATAGTTAAAGTATCCTAAGGACCATGCGCAACATCAAAGTGGTATTCAAATGTTGAAGACACCACTTGTATATCTCCCAGGTAACCCTCCCTCCCTCCCCCCCCCCCTCTCTCTCTCTCCCTCTCTTTCTCTCTCCTATTACAGGGGTCTGGAATTGTTTGACTATGCAGTATTAGAAATTGGCACTAGTCCTATAGTCCTTGCCACACTGACCAATAGTTAAGGTATCATAAGGACGAGCTGAAATTTGCCCTTTTTTGCTATATGTTATCATTATAAGGACTAGTGGACTAAAATGGTTAGTTTCTATCACTGCATACTTTCCTCATACCCTATTGAGCTCAGATAATAATACCAATAATAAGGAAGTTGGAAGTTTCTTTTCAGGAAACCTTCACAATGTACATTTGCCTCATGTCGAAACGAATTCTGTTGGAACTTATCCATGGAATAAATTTACAGATAACCTCTTTTTCTTATTTCAATAATTTATTCATGTGTTTCATTGTTATTATCAATAGTATCAGTCCATTGCTTTCAGTCCAGAAGGAGGATGGAAAATGCTAAAAAAGAAGACAGATAACATCAGGACGCACAACCCTTAGTGGCTTTAGTACCTGCTGAGATTGTCTAACGGTGTGTGGACTATAACAGTAAGCAGGTAGAAGGAACTATTACTCTAAATCAGCATGTTACAATCACTATGTATAAAGGCTGTGGAGACTGACGATCTTCAGGCCCTGCTTGGGACCACAGCTGTGCTGCTGTTGTAGCATCACCTGTATTGTGCTTGGACCACTGTCTGCTGTTGTAGCCTCACCTGTATTACGCTGGGACAATTGTCTGCTGTTGTTGCCTCACCTGTATTGTGCTGGGACCACTGTCTGCTGTTGTATCCTCACCTGTATTGCCTGGGACCACTGTCTGCTGTTGTAGCCTCACCTGTATTGTGCTGGGACCACTGTCTGCTGTTGTAGCCTCACCTGTATTACGCTGGGACAATTGTCTGCTGTTGTTGCCTCACCTGTATTGTGCTGGGACCACTGTCTGCTGTTGTATCCTCACCTGTATTGCCTGGGACCACTGTCTGCTGTTGTAGCCTCACCTGTATTGCCTGGGACCACTGTCTGCTGTTGTAGTCTCACCTGTATTGTGCTGGGACCACTGTCTGCTGTTGTAGCCTCACCTGTATTGGGTTGGGATCACTGTCTGCTGTTGTAGCCTCATCTGTATTGTGCGGAGACCCCTGTCTGCTGTTGTAGCCTCATCTGTATTGTGCTGGGACCACTGTCTGCTGTTGTAGCCTCACCTGTATTGGGTTGGGATCACTGTCTGCTGTTGTAGCCTCATCTGTATTGTGCGGAGACCCCTGTCTGCTGTTGTAGCCACACCTGTATTGGGCTGGGACCACTGTCTGCTGTTGTAGCCTCACCTGTATTACGCTGGGACAATTGTCTGCTGTTGTTGCCTCACCTGTATTGTGCTGGGACCACTGTCTGCTGTTGTATCCTCACCTGTATTGCCTGGGACCACTGTCTGCTGTTGTAGCCTCACCTGTATTGCCTGGGACCACTGTCTGCTGTTGTAGTCTCACCTGTATTACGCTGGGACAATTGTCTGCTGTTGTAGCCTCATCTGTATTGTGCGGAGACCCCTGTCTGCTGTTGTAGCCTCACCTGTATTGGGTTGGGATCACTGTCTGCTGTTGTAGCCTCACCTGTATTGGGCTGGGACCCCTGTCTGCTGTTGTAGCCACACCTGTTTTGTGCTGGGACCACCGTCTGCTGTTGTAGAAACACCTGTATTGGGCTGGGACCAGTGTCTGCTGTTGTAGCCTCACCTGTATTGTGCTGGGACCCCTGTCTGCTGTTGTAGCCTCACCTGTATTGGGCTGGGACCAGTGTCTGCTGTTGTAGCCACACCTGTATTGTGCTGGGACCACCGTCTGCTGTTGTAGAAACACCTGTATTGGGCTGGGACCAGTGTCTGCTGTTGTAGCCTCACCTGTATTGTGCTGGGACCACCGTCTGCTGTTGTAGAAACACCTGTATTGGGCTGGGACCAGTGTCTGCTGTTGTAGCCTCACCTGTATTGTGCTGGGACCCCTGTCTGCTGTTGTAGCCACACCTGTATTGTGCTGGGACCACCGTCTGCTGTTGTAGAAACACCTGTATTGGGCTGGGACCAGTGTCTGCTGTTGTAGCCTCACCTGTAGAGTTCTTGGTCCTGGATACACCATCTACAATGAGGGCTCTGGTGCTGCTGCTTCTCTGTGTCTGGTGCAGCTACAGTCATCAGGGGACAGATGGGTTCACCTCCAGCCCAGGGCAGACTGGATCAGGTGAGTAAGACAATAAAGACATGCCTTTGAAGGGATAAGTCAAGGGCTGTGAATGGGGTATTTGGTAGCAAATCATAACATCGGTTTCATGGAGCAGGCAGTTGGGAATAATGAGATTGGACATGGGGGCTGAATGATAGCTTGGAAAAGGTGAGGTGAAATGGGGTGTAACATCACATTCAAGATTATTGCACTTATATAGGAACGTGCATGAATGTGTGTGTGTGGCTGCTTGTGCTAGTCTAGACCAATGTCAAACTTATAGTGTTAGCACACTGAGATACCATGCCACAGTTTAACATGAATACCCCACTCAGACACAGTATACTGACTCTGAGCCAACCAATCCTTGTTTTAGCCTCTTAATGCCGAGGGCCAGACAATAAGAAAAGGAGATAGTAATGTAGGCTATGGGGATTGAATATTAGCTTAAACATAGAGAATATGAGGTAGGATAAACATTGTTTTTCGTGCATACTTATCACTTGTTTCCTGTAATCAGTGTATATTTGTCCTTGTAAACAGTATATATAAATATATATGGTATATGTTGACCTCTAGAAGTTATGATTCATTGTGTTGTTGACATTGACTAATGGAGAGTTTAAATTGGGAAATAGTTAACAGGACACAATGACATGGAATGATGCAGCTGTGACTGTTTGTTAGCTGAACATTAACCTGGACTGACTCATAACAAATTATAAACAATATGTACACTGTATATCTGAATCCTGGCTTCCATTTCATGAACTACCGTATTCGACGTAATAAGCACCCTGCTCTAATAAGCGCCCACGGCGATATTTGCTGATATATTGGCTGGTGAACAATCCCAATTAGCACCCCTTCCGATTGATCAATGTACACAAGACTTATTTATTCGCGTATAATAAGCACTCATGTGTTATATGCACCCTTAATTATGTGCAATTAAATTCTGGAAAAAAATATCTGTCGTACATAAATATTTTAGGCTGTCAGCATAAACCACAAAATTTATCTTTCAACTCAGTTTTTTTCACTAAAACAATAATCCAATAAGAGCCCCCGATTTCTAATTTTGAGAGCGCCATGGGCGCTTACTATGTCGAATATGTTTCTTATTTGTTGTGAACGAGATGACAGTATGATGAAGGAGTAGTTTGGAAATGACATGAAGGCTTACTGAATCTATCAGGCTTATTGTGTGTCGATTAGAGGTTAATTTCTAGTAAGATGTCTGAAGAAAAGGTGGTGGGGGGAGGGCCTGCACCCTTATCCCAACACATCTCCCTTCCCAAGTCCCAAGCACATGCTCACCAGCAGTTAAGGTAAACTGTTAGGTGTTGGATGGCACAATTTGTTGTGTGTTTAATGTGGGTGCCCCACATCCGATATGCTTGACCAAAACATTCAAACACTCTATTGTTTAAGTTTATCAAGTTTTATTGAGCTGAACTGAAGTGAACTGAAAAATCTGGATGAAAACGGGTTAATGTACCGTATTCGACGTAATAAGCGCCTATGGCACTCTCAAAATTAGAAATAGGGGGCTCTTATTAGAATATAATTTTGGTGGATAAAAAAAAGAGTTGAAAGATTGTAAATTTTGTGGTTTATGCTGACAGCCTGAAATTATATAAAAGAAGAATCTGTGCGTTTTATATAAGATAGATATATTTTCGAGAATTTAATTGCCATAGTTACGAGTGCGTATTATACACGAATAAATAAGTCTTGTGCACATTGATCAATTGGAAAGGGTGCTAATTGGGATTGTTCACTAGCCAATATATTAGCAAATATCGCCATGGGCGCTTATTAGAGCGGGGTGCTTATTACATCGAATACGGTAATAATTATATATCATGTCCCTATGTTGTTTTCATGGTACCTGGGGGGCAGTAGGGTAGCCTAGTGGTTAAAGCGTTCACTGTCAAGCTGAAGGCCCGAGTTCAATTCCCAACATGGGTAAAATATGTGAAGCCCATTTCTTGTGTCCCCGTCGTGATATTGCTGGAATATTGCTAAAAGCTGCGTAAAACAGTACTCACTCACTCACTCACTCACTCACTCATTTATGGTACCTCAGTAGACAAAAAGACTGCAATACTGATATGTTCGCACAGGCAATATTGTGTTCAATACATTTGACAATTTTAACCAAGTAAATTTACCACTAGTAGGGCATATCCTATCATAAAGAATCCAGCAATTTTCATTCAAGTTGACCATCATCTAAGAGGATGAATCATTAACATTGCTGCAACCTTTAAGCATCAGATCTGGGCCAGGTAAACCACAGGTTGATACATGAGTAGAAGCCCTTGCCACTGATGTGATGACACACATTCAGCAGGGTCATACAGTATAACTCCCACTTTAGTAGACTCGTCAAACAAGCAGGGTACGTTCAGGGGACCTCCAATCTCATTAAAATCAGATCTTAGTTCTCGCTGCCGCTAAACAAAGATCTGAGGACATCCCATTACGGGTCACGTCAGAATGACCTTTCTCGAATTTTGACTGACCAATGGAATGACTGACAAGAAATCGACATTAGCCAATCAGAAGGCAGCTTTCTCGAGCTTACGACACTAGTTAACTGGCGACTACGCTTCGAAACATATTTTGACGTATTCTCGATTAAAAAAATTAAAACTGATAAGAAGAACACTCTGGAATGGCTTATAGATGTCCTAGATTGTATGGATATAATCATAAAACCCGTAACTGTCGTTCGGAATACCCCGTGTCAAATATTTCGTGGTTGCATGATTAGAAAACACGTTCCGACTGTCACTTTCATGATCTGGTAAGCAATGCTCTGATTGGTCGGATGAAAGGTCGTTCTGACGTGACCCCTAATGGGATGTCCTCAGATCTTTGTTTAGCGGTAGCGAGTACAAAGATTGGATTTTAATGAGATTGGGGGACCTCCTCCTCACCAGAATCATAACTAGAGACCCATTATCTCCGGTTTATTGCTGTGTATAAGGCGAGTTTTTCGTACCTTAGAAATGTCAACTGAAGGCTTTTGTTTAATATCAACACACATGAGGCCTTAGTTTACTTCAAACTTTATAAACCCTGATAAATCCTAAACCATAGAGGGTTTAAATGTTCTGGTGAGGTATGTTCTTCACATGGGCCTCTTAAAGTGCACAATATGCCATCATGCAACAACTTGTTCTAGTGCATACATTTGGGATTTTGGTTACTGTTTCAATCCATGTACGAGTATTTCCTGGTAGAAGAGGATGGAGAGATGCAAGGGTGCCCCACCATGTCACTGAGTCGGACCTGATCCATTTACTCACCCCATACAACACGTCATGTTACTGGGGAGGTATCATAACCCAGAGTCTCCATGATGGGAGCAAAGATGTAGCCATGCATTGATGTTGAAGGAACAGTGGCAGTATCAGCGTCAGGAGATGTCAGGGTTCTTAACCATGTCCATGGGCCTGACCACCCGATCCATTTAATCAACTCGTACTACAAGAATTGGTTACTGGGGACCCAATATAACCCAAATCCATGTATTTCCTGATGTTGAAGGAACAATGGCAGTATCAGGGTTGGGAGATGGTGGAATTCCCCACCATGTCCATGGGCCTGACCACCCGATCCATTCAGTCACCTCGTACGACAAGTATTAGCTACTGGAGACCTATAATATCCCAAATCCATGTATTTCCTGATGTTGAAGGAACGCTAGCAGTATCTGGGTCGGGAGATGTCGGGGTTCCCAACCAACAGCCTCTGATACTGGGATGTAACTACACTGTGAGACCAGGGGAGAATGTGACAGAGTTCCGCTGGAGCAGGGTGGACGGCGGCACCACAGTGGACATCGTCAGGGGCACAGTGGATCCACCCACAGCTACATTTTTAGATTCCTGGCAGGACAAGGCATGGTTTACTGGTGACTACACATCCTCTCTGAACATCATGTTGAAAGTCTTTCAGGTGAGGCCCAGCTATGCTGGGTCATACAGGTGTACAGTGGGTGGAGCATCTGGTGCTGCTGATGAAGTGGAGGTCACTGCTTCCATACTGAGTAAGTATTGCAACAGTCTGTTTGGTTTTAACTTCATTTTGAGAGCATGTTGCTAATGCCACTGTCAGCAATATTGTGTTATGGATAACAACATCTTTATTATACTGTGATAACTATCAAAGTGTAGTAAAGAAGTTGTTATGCATAAAACAAACTTGTTTAATACCATATACGACGTAATAAGCGCCCAGGGTGCTCTCAAAATTAGAAATAGGGGGCTCTTATTAGAATATTATTTTGGTGAAAAATTGAAAGATCGTAAATTTTGTGGTTTATGCTGACAGCCTGAAATGTTTATATACGACACATGTATATTTTTCCAGAAATTAATTTCCCATGATTAAGGATGCATACAACACATGTATTATACACAAATAAATAAGTCTTGTGTACATTGATCAATCGGAAGGGGTTCTAATTGGGATTGTTCACTAGCCAATATATTAGCAAATATCGCCCTTGACACTTATTAGAGTGGGGCGCTTATTATGCTTATTACGTTGCATATGGTATATCAATAACATCCAGTAAACAATAAAGGCTGGACCGGCAAATCATTGACTGATGGGAGGAAATCACAAAGTGACCAAAGTTTTCATCTGGTGAAACCCCAGGTTGTTTAACTGCACCATGCATGATATAAATCTGGAAAGCTGACAACTAAGGGACATAACTCTGCACACACAGATGTTGGGCCTCAGATCACTCGGCCACAGAGCGTCTACTACTTTATTTGGTAACCAGTTGAGCACAACCCCAACGTGGGACTAAAGTTCACTTCTCCTGTCTCTGTCACAGGTCACATCACTGACGCAGGTCATACATGTTGTTTTCACCAATGGTGACAACTGGATGTTATCACAAATTTATGGCACTGATCAGTGACAAAGTTTTTAAAGTGAAACAGTTTTTGAACAGTTACCTGGGGCTTAGTAATTTGCAATCTAACACTCTTACAATTACTCGATCCCCATTCACTCTTATTATGATACATGGTTTAACAGTACCATACTCAAGCTCATGGTTTAACAGTACCATACTCAAGCTCATGGTTTAACAGTACCATACTCAAGCTCATGGTTTATAATGGAAGTCATGTACAGTATTTAAACAATTTACTCACAAGATAGTTTTGGGGCACACATGGTCCAGCTGTCTTTGGAATCCACAAGTCAATTTGCAGAATTGCGTTCCTTTGACATTACAGAATCGGATGATCATTGGTTCAAATCCTAGGTTCGCCTGGATATTATCTCTGGTTTGTCAGCACTGCATCTGTACTCATGGGTATCCATGAAGTGGTAAACCTGCTTCCGACTCTCCACAGCTTTAAAAACCAATCACCACTTCATTCCACACTTTACTTCTTTATTCGTAATGTAAACGCCAGGTATAACTTGAATACTGTTAAAAGCGGCGTTAAACACAACTCACTCACTATTCCTAATGTTTATATATAAAATAATGGATGAGTTGAGCCTCTTAACTAAGCTTCAAAAGAATATATTAGTAAAAGATGAAATACCATGCAGAAGTTTACGTAAAACATCGTCATGGTCTGTACACTTGATTAAGATGTTTGCATTCCCATCAGCTGAATTATTTCATCTTTTCCAGTAATAAACATGCATCAGGATGTGAACAGTCAGTTTAACATGAGGTCAACCATGAAGGATATGTAGCCACTACTAAATACAGGGTAGAATAGGTCTTCAGCAACCGAGCTTGCCGTAAAAGGTGACTATGCTTGTCGTAAAAGGCGACCACCGGGATCGGGTGGTCAGGCTCGCTGACTTGGTTGATGCATGTCATCGATCCCAATTGCGTGGATCGATGCTCATGATATTAATCACTGGATTATTTACAGACCGCCGTCATATAGCTGGAATATTGCTGAGTGTGGCGTTTAATAAACAACACAACCAACAAACCAACTAAATACAGTATCTATTGGGACATTGACCTGCATACATTTGTTTTAGAATTCACTTCAAGATTTTTTGCACTTAATGAGGTATAAATATGTGTGCACACTTGGTACTTCTTCCTAGCTGAAGGCAATGATACAAAGTCAGTGACATCTTTCAGTACAATAACACGAATGGTAGCCCTGCCTGCTTTATTATCAGCCCATCTTCCCGAGGCAAGAGCGTCCACTACCCTTTTTATCAAAGTCTTGTTTCCACCCTTGCCACATCAAGCCCACTTTCCTGTGCTAAATATGACTGGACTATCACACATATCGATAGTCCAATCAGAGAACATTTTACAAAATCAACATCCACGACTGGTACACCTTCATATGAAAGTGATTTACCACTCCCTGTCTTTGTTGACACAAACATTTTTCTTTTTCATCTTTTAAACCCCCCAATGATTGCTTATGTTTTTGTGTCACAGATGAAATTGCGAATGTTTTCGTTATCTGTTCGACGAGGTCAGAGCCTATGTAGTCGCCATTTTTGTGAAGCTATACGAGATAAGAACTGAGATCTGATTGGACATCACGTTTTCATTGCATCATTGCCAGGTGGCGCCAGAGTGGAGCCAAGTAAAGTAGCTTGATGTGGCAAGGGTGGACACAAGGCTTTGATATAGGCTGGTGGACATGCCTGCCTCGGGAAGATGTTATCAGCCAGTCAGGAAACAGTTGTCGCTAGTGGCCTAATTGTTTCAGGTTTTTGGAAACATAAAAACAAAAAATTGCTTGGTTACCAAATCAAATACCATGAAATGACTTGATGTTTAATGCCACATTCAGCAATAATCCAATTATATGATGATGGCCTGTAAATGATCAAGTTTTGATCAGACCACGGACGTACATACAATATATGTATATACGTCTTTGATCAGACAAACCAGTGACCAGCCCATGCTGCCAGGACACTATGCCACACAATCAAGCAGGTCAAGGATCCTGACCACTGGATCCATATACTCACCTCTTACAACCAGCATAGGTAGCTGGTGATCTACTCTAACTGGGATCCCAGCAGGGTGGTAATACACAGTTCATATAAGTTGTGATGGATAGTGGGGCTTATCAAGACATTACATGATGAGGTGAGGTGAAATGGGGTTTAACGTCGCGTCCAAGATTATTGCACTTATATAGTGACGTGCATTGTTCGGATTGATGCCGATTTGTAGTGCTAACCCCCTGAGATACCATGCCGCAGTTTAACATGAATACCCCACACAGTATACTGACTCCGAGCAGACCAGTCCTTGTTTTAGCCCCTTAATGTCGAGCGCCAGACAGGGTTACAACAAGTACCATCTTTTAACGTCTTTTGGTATGACGCAGCCGGGGATCGAACCCCGGACCTTCCGCTCTCCGGGCAGACGCTCTACCATTAGACCACGGAGGCGGTCACATTACATGGGATTTTGAGATAAGGATATAATAATGCAGTGACTTCCATGATTCAGCAGTATTACATCTTCCTGAAACAGGGACTTAACTGACTCTTAAAGTCGTTTCCACCATTGCCGAACTAGGCTGGAATTTTGGGGCTCAATTGTAGCTTCACCAGCAGCTATTACGAGTTATGTCCCTTCTATGTCACTCCTATTGACCAATCAGATTCCACCTCTCATATCACTTGCATTTGCTTCAAACAATGGTAGTGCCCAGATGATCAGGGCATTGTTCCACAAAGCGATCTTAGCGCTATGACTATCGAAAGCCAGTGTTAAAGTATGGGAGTTACGATCACCTTAGCGCTAAGATGGCTTTGTGGATCGGGGCCCTGATCGATAATAAAGATCCTAATTGTACTCCTAATATGAGGATTACCTCGGGAAGTGTATCAAATCACTAGATTAAAATAATGAAAAGATTTGAAAAATATCTGTCAACACCCATGTGATGGTACACATGCCTTGCAAATCCTGCAGTTGACCGAAATCTGCACAGCAGTCGCCTTATTCTTTGTTAACCGGATGTCAGTTTCGTTACGCGATTCTGATTGGACTATGCATAGACTCGTTAGGCCAGCCAACATGTAACTCAGAAATTCCAGCCCATGTTGGCAACTGGACTTTTATGGTCATGTAACTCCCTTGCTTCAGGAAGATGTAGTATTATTGCATGAAAATTACTGACATGTTAATATTCTTGATACTTAAGCTTGTAAACATAATTGCATGCCTGAGTCGTGTTCAGCCTGTTGTATAGTAATGGAGCCCCAAGTTTTATTCCTCACATTAGTATAATTCTGCGATCTGGTTGGGGTATATCTTTGACATGAATAATAATTACCACTAACATACAGAATTGCTAAAAAATACATGATTGACAGTGTGTCCAGGAAAAGAGGTAAAGCGAAGAACATATTATTCAGTGGATCTCAGAAACTGTTTTTAGCGCATAGTCTTATATTGTTTGTGTTCATAATTTTGTTTGAATTAGCATGGCGATGAAAAGTATTCTTCATTAAAATATGCAAAAAGACAAACACACACTTGAGAAAAACATTATCTAGAATTTCAAAACTCATCACACAGCTCAACGGTCCCCTCTGTGTTTTCTCTAAATGCTCGTGCAGGTCATCCCAACTTGACCATTAGCATGCAGCTGGTAATAGGAACATTTCACCGGAGTTCACCCTCAGTAGATGGAACAAGCTGCTACCTGACACAAATCATGTACAACTAATAGACACGTGAGACAAGACATGCTGTTTACAATGTAAATACTGATTTTCAGAATGGAAATCTGATTCACAAGGATCTTGAAGTATTTCAGGCCAGTTAAAGTCATGATACAAGATACCCTTTGTGCACTTTGTGAAAGCTGTGTAATTAAGCATAATGTGGGTCAGTCCCTCACAGAGTAAAGTACAGGAACAGCATGACATGTCCACCTGCTCGTTATCCAAGGTCCTTGTCCTTTAACAGCCTGCTCTCATTTTCTATTTTCATCATATCGGTCTTACAAAATACATTTTGCACCCATTCATGCGTCATTTTATCCTCTAATCGAAGACATCCTTCCGCTTGATTGTCGGTGAGGTATTTTTATGACCTATATAAGTGAAATACATACATATGTTAGTAGACAGCTGTCAATCTGTCAGTATTCTGAAGGGGAAGGGTCATCTCTGTGTTGTCAGGGAGGGGCTGGACTGAAGTCGCTGGGTCACATCTCACCATGGGACACTGCAATGTAGCTGTTTCATCTACATCAATTAACATGACAACAGTGCCACTTTGATAGATTTGTTTCGTATCTACACTTTTGAATGAGTGTAACCATCTTACTGCATTTATGAAAAATTCAAGGCCTTAAGTTAGAGGTACCAGTATTCATTTTCCAACAAAAATGGAAACTACAAATAAATAACCTACAATCACTGTAAGCACTCTGACGATGACATCCAGATAAATGTGTTCTAATTAAAGGACTCAATGTGAGTGAGTGAGTGAGTGAGTGAGTGAGTGAGTGAGTGAGTGAGTGAGTGAGTATGGTTTTACACCGCTTTTAGCAATGTTTCAGCAATATCACGGCGGGGAATACCACAGAAAATGGGATTCACACATTGTACCCATGTGGGGAATCGAACCCGGGTCTTTGGCATTATGAGCCAACGCTTTAACCACTAGGCTACCCCTACGCCCCAAATCAACATGAATGAAAAATCTAAATTTAAAACTCTAAATGAGAAATTTGAAGTCTTTTGGACAAATATCTTTGAAGCAGCTTCTCTGTGGAACGAGGTATGTAGGTATGTAGCTCCATCAGCAATCACCAGGGGAGTTGGAATTTGGCACATAAAAATACTCTATTATCAGGTTTATTACCAATGTGCATTCATCAGAAAATCACCAATACATTTGTTATGCGGGCAACTGTGTATTACTTTTCTACAATATATTACCTTTTGGATCTATCCAAGGTTTGAAAATGTTTCAATCAGCAGCTTTGATGATTATCACCCTTAGTTTCTCTCAGTTAGTGTCCATCTGTTAATGAGAGCCCTGGATGAATAGAACACTCTGGGTGATGAGTGAACTGACTCAGCAGTCTCAACTGGCTCGGGGAAGCTCGGGAGGTGTGAGGATGTGTATTCAGTCAATCACACACAGAATCAATTAGCTAAAAATCCCATTCATTCTGAAGCTAGGAGCCAGTGAAACACCACGACTAAGCTGATTGATGCTGGGGTCATGAAGTTGCATCACCATCATCTTGATTCAAGCCATTTGAGTATTATGCTAAATGTCAAAAACCTTACAGCACTCCTATGCAGCTTGGGCTGTATACTCCCAAGGGAGTTGAGAATGATAACTGGAATGCAAACAGATCCACTGTTCAGGGAACAAATAAAATCATATTTGAGCAGATATTAGTACCTGGATACCTGCAAGTCTAAATAATAACAACAACAACAACAACAACAACAAAAACAACAACAACAACAACAAATGTCACGCATGCATCCCAAGTACCAAGTTGTCCGACTCCCCATTGTTCTCGGTGCCTTAGGTTTCGTACCTCCCAATCTGTTGACTGACATTGGGAGAGTACCTGGGTTTGCTACCAGGAATACAGCCCTTCTGACAATCTGGGTAATGCAGAAAGCTGCAGTGTTGGGGAGTCTTCACATTCTCTGGAAGGTTCTGGGTGGGTTTGACTAGGCAGCGCTTCCTGGGTGAAGTCCCATTCGCTGTCTGGGCTTATAAATGTTATAAGTTATAAATGGACTTTATTGCATAGTTAACGATTTCCTATTTTTTCAGTTCAAATCTTCATAATCATATATTATATTTTCTTTCTGCAGCTATTGTACCACAAGACCTTTCCCTCCTCATTGGTGATGAGGTGACCTTGACCTGCACTGTGACCTCTGATATATTAAATGCATCCAACATGTACTTCACAAAGAGGCATAACTCAATACAACACACGTGGGACATGTGCAGGAACAAAACTAGGAAGAAGCGATACTTTCAGAAACCAATCAGCAGCGAGTATGTAACAGTCATCAACTCTACCACCATACAGCTGAAGTACAGGACCCAGGTACGATGTGTTTTCTTACATCTGAGGCTCTTAAACTGACATTAGGATATATAAACTCAAAAAGCATATTCTCAAAAAAGCAATAAAAATAAAGTAAAGTAAATTGAGGAGGTAAACTAGGCTCACTGACAAAATAAACATGAATACCATCGATGGTTAATATATGAATAATTACTCATATTCAAGAGATATTAGATTGGTTCGATGCAAAAACGAATATACTGTTATGTTGTGTGAACCAACGCGCACGAACGCATCACATGTGACGTCACAGATCCATGACTCGAGATGCACCACTTGTCTCATGCAGGGTTAGCTTGTAAAGTTTGGAAATCACGTTCAGCATATCGAGATAAGAATAAAGACATTGTTTGTAACACTTGACAGATTGTTAGTTTTGTTATTAAGTGGTACACACTGGAAACATCTCTTCTTAACGTACATACTTCGGTCTATGTTTCTATGGTTTGCACTTCTTTAGGAGGTGAGTATATATGCATCAGTATTGTATGTAGTTGCTGGGAAGTACTTTGTCAGTTGTAATGTTAGTTGTCAATATTGCTATCTGGTTCGTCTCTGCATTGTCAGTTTTATTTGTTTGTGTGCCAATTTACTAGGAGTGTGTTAATGTTATCTCTACATTGTGACTGATATTTTTGCAGGAAGCCAAAGTTGATGAAGGTCACTATCGTTGCTGCTTATGTGAAAATAATCGACCACATGTAGCCTTTTCCAACATCAAACTGTACAGTACGTGAGATGTCTCATACCGATTCTCTTTAAAACATTAACTCCTCCATAGCACCAGGGGCGGCAACGTCCCGAGGCAAGGGAGTTAACTGACTATAAAAGTCCAGTTTCAACCCTTGCCGAACTATGCATAGTTCATTCAAAATGGCGTAATGAATTAGAGATCTGTTCGTAAACAACATTGATTTCAACGTGCAGATTTCAGTCGACCGCAGGATTTGCAAAACATGTATACCATCAACTGGGCGTTGACAGATATTTTGCAAATCTTTTCATGTTTTTAATCAAGGTGCTTAAGTGATTTGATACACTTCACTTGGTAAGACCCATTTAAAACAATATAGATCTTGTTTATCGATCAGATCGTCTGGTTGGGTGCTGCCATTTTGTTTGAAGCAAATGCAAGTGATATGAGAGACTGAGTCTGATTAGTCAATAGGAGGGACATAGAAGGGACATAATTTGTAATAGCCACTGGTGGCACTACGATGGAGCCTTGAAATTCCAGCCTAGTTCGGCAAGGGTGAAAACTGGACTTTTACAGTCAGTTAACGCTCTTGCCTCGGAAAGATGCAGTGGTGGTGAGTTAACCTTGTGGTGAATGTGTTCGCTCACATGTACGATGTGCAAAGCCCAGCTGGCCCCTACTGACACAATGCACAATTGATATTTTGATAAAAGTGACATAAAACCATACTCACTCACTTAGTAACCATGGCAACAGATGAGGATAGGCAAGAGATTATTAGTTGGTTCCATCTTGAGTTATCTAACTTGTGTTTTCACAGACACAATACAGTGAGTACAGTTTCACTATATTTTATGTTCCCAGGGAGAATGGAGCCGGTGACAAATGTGTCGTGTGTGGTGGACAACTGGGCAACCATGACATGCAGCTGGCCATGGGACATCGGTCCACAATCAGACTCAAATATTCATCGAGCTAGACTTAATTGGGGCACAAAGTGAGTAAAGGATTATTTTGTATTGTGCACAAAATCTATGATAATCACAATATCAATCACTGGACTATCTAGTCCAGATTCATTTACATGCCCCTGTCACATAGCTGTAATTTGGCTAAGCCTGGCATTAACAAACAAACAAAGAAACACACCTTGTCCTTTGATTATTATTATACGAGTATCATTCCAGTGGTGTTCCCATCCATGCATGACCTCCAAGACTGGAGGCCATCTCACAGAGATGATGATGATGCACTGTCTAAGTATAAATGTATATGCCACTGCAGTTCTGCAGGTCATTTCTGAGTGTGGTAGCAGTCACAAAGTGATGATATCTTACTGCAATCAGGAGCTTCTCCACTGTGTGGTGGAATGCTGTCAACCACCTGCATGTCGCTGGGTAGCTGATCCAAATGTCTGGTATTGAATCCAGGCCCTGCTGATCACAAGTTGACACCAAAGACGTTTGCAACGTGACGTTGTGTTGACCCATTTTCAAGCATGCCCTTGCATCTACCCAATTCTTTGGTCATCAAACTACATCTTTGATGCTGAGGGTGCAAAAGTGCATTTAGTTGTTGCATACTCAAGAGCTGGTTTTCAAACATGACTGCATGCCTCTGTCCGTTTGTCATGAAATTGAGGTCTTGGGGGTTACCAAATCATTGTGGACCAGGATATTTCAATCTTTATTTGTTGGAAGATTTTTTAATATCATCAAAACTTGATCCTTAGCAAACTTTGACTAGTATATAATACAAAGTATTACCTGTTTTAACAAAATGATAAAATCTACCATGCCTGACATATCATTCCAGTGGTGTTCCCAACCAGGTTTGTGTTGACGACTCTGTACCTGGATCCTGTCACTGGCCAGCTGATAGCTTCAGCATGGGAAGCCTCTACACAATAGTTGTGAACATAACAACATCTGACAATGGCAGCATCCTGGACATGAAAGTGTCAAATCCGTCTGTGGTGAACACAAGTGAGATAGGTAATGATATAGTCTTAATAAATGTTCCTATTTTCCCTAAGTATTTGTTATTAGAATGAAAACTTAAATCCACAAAATCTTTCATAGAGATTCCAAGATAGAATAGGTTCCCAGCAACCTATGCTTGTCATAAGACGCGAGCGAATGCATCGAGTGGCAAGCTTAGTGACTTGATTGATTGTATGTCATCATACCCTGATGGCATAGATCGGTGCTCATAATGTCAATCACTGGTTTGTCTAGGCCAGACTCGACTATTTACAGGCTGCTGTCATATAGATGGAATATTGCAAAGTGTAATAAATAAACAAACAAATAATCTCTAAACAAACTATTCTGTATATGCCCTCTGATTGAACTGCAACATTGTGACTATGAAATTTTCGTGAAATTTTGCATTGTCTTCCCTTTCTATTCTTTCAACAGTAAGGCCAGCTACATTGACTGACATCAATGCCACCAATTTCAACAATACCTGTGTACTGTTGTCATGGCAACAAGTTGATACTCACAGACTAGCATGTCGAATACAGTATAATTGCTCTATTTGGCAAGAGTCCTGTCAGGTGGGTTGCATGATTCTCTTATCACGACACTGAACCCAAAACATACCTTGATCACAACATGACATTGAATCATGAAACAGGCCGCAAGAGCTACAGAGATATATGCGAACACTGTGACTCAAAGTCACTAAACCGTTTATGTAACAGACTTTCAACAGAACCAGAGAGAGCTAAAGTACACAATTTGAAACATCTGCTTAACAAACAACTATTGCAGTGACATCAAACGTGACATGTCAGGGTGACCTGAAAAGTTGGTTGAACACGTTATATCAATGATGATGTAAAGTAAATGTTCAATGCTCAGTCTTTACATTGTTTCCTGTGGACTTTCAGCCCGTGGACAATGTGTCTGATGGGTCTGCCTCTGTGTGTGGCCTCCTGTCCGGGACCGTGTATCAGTGGAACGTGTCATGTCTGCCTGCAGGAGGGGGATTCTGGAGCAATGTCACCACAGTCCTCCACACCACACAGACTGATGGTAGGCGGCTTGTTACTGAGTTGTCATCGGGCGCAGATATCACAACTATTGTCATTCTCTTTTATGAATATATTCATTACTACATGTATATCAACACTCCACTCCAGGTATGACCTGACATAAACATACTAAATGGACAAAACCAATTAATGAATTTTCCTTGCATCTTGAGATATTTCGTCTTGACACACTCAACCATATTTTAATCGAATGGACTATTTTGTAGTTCCTGCATCTCAGCCAGAAGTGCATCTTGGGAGTTTTCTAGAAGTTGACTGTAACCAAGACAACTGCAGAGGGATCCTGCTGTTCTGGAAGGTATGATCACAGCCATCGGGTACAAGAATTACATGAGCAGTGTGACGATCAAGTCGTCATCATTCAGTGTGTGTTTTCCCATCATGCTAAAATCTGGGCTCAAATCCTGATATTTAGAGAACTGGGAAGACAAATCTAGCTCGTCATATTTTGCTAAGTGAGGTAATAGAGCTCTTAACAAATGTGCAGTCATATCATGGCCCATTAGCCAAAGTTGGAGGACTAGTATGAATTACCAGTTGTCACATGACGCAAACGAGGTCGAGGTCGAGGTCTACCTTATCATTATCAACGTTACCTTGTCATTATCGAGGTATACACTGTCATTATCGAGGTCTAACTTGTCATTATCGAGGTCTACCTTGTCATTGTCGATATCTAACTTGTCATAATCGATGTCTAACTTGTCATTATCGCGGTCTACCTTGTCATAATAGAGGTCTAACTTGTCATTATCTCGGTCTACCTTGTCATTATTGAGGTCTACCTTGTCATTATTGACATCTACCTTGTCATTATTGAGGTCTACCTTGTCATTATTGAGGTCTACCTTGTCATTATTGAGGTCTACCTTGTCACTATTGAGGTCTACCTTGTCACTATCGAGGTCTACCTTGTCATTATCAGGGTTTACTTTGTCATTATCTCGGTCTACCTTGTCATAATTGACATCTACCTTGACATTATTGAGGTCTACCTTGTCATTATTGAGGTGTACCTTGTCATTATTGACATCTACCTTGTCATTATTGACATCTACCTTGTCATTATTGAGGTCTACCTTGTCATTATCGAGGTTATCTTGTCATTATTGAGGTGTACCTTGTCATTATTGACATCAACCTTGTCATTATTGACATCTACCTTGTCATTATTGAGGTCTACCTTGTCATTATTGAGGTCTACCTTGTCACTATCGAGGTCTACCTTGTCATTATCAGGGTTTACTTTGTCATTACCATTGTCTAACTTGTCATTATCTCGGTCTACCTTGTCATTATTGAGGTCTACCTTGTCATTATCAAGGTCTACCTTGTCACTATCGAGGTCTACCTTGTCATTATCAGGGTCTACCTTATCATTATCAACGTTACCTTGTCATTATCAAGGTATACACTGTCATTATCGAGGTCTAACTTGTCATTATTGACATCTACCTTGTCATTATTGACATCTACCTTGTCATTATTGAGGTCTACCTTGTCATTATTGAGGTCTACCTTGTCATTATTGAGGTCTACCTTGTCACTATTGAGGTCTACCTTGTCACTATCGAGGTCTACCTTGTCATTATCAGGGTTTACTTTGTCATTATCTCGGTCTACCTTGTCATAATTGACATCTACCTTGACATTATTGAGGTCTACCTTGTCATTATTGAGGTGTACCTTGTCATTATTGACATCTACCTTGTCATTATTGACATCTACCTTGTCATTATTGAGGTCTACCTTGTCATTATCGAGGTTATCTTGTCATTATTGAGGTGTACCTTGTCATTATTGACATCTACCTTGTCATTATTGAGGTCTACCTTGTCATTATTGAGGTCTACCTTGTCATTATTGAGGTCTACCTTGTCACTATCGAGGTCTACCTTGTCATTATCAGGGTTTACTTTGTCATTATCATTGTCTAACTTGTCATTATCTCGGTCTACCTTGTCATTATTGAGGTCTACCTTGTCATTATCAAGGTCTACCTTGTCACTATCGAGGTCTACCTTGTCATTATCAGGGTTTACTTTGTCATTATTGAGGTCAATTTTGTAATTATCGAGTTCTACCTTGTCATTATTGAGGTTACCTTGTCATTATCAGGGTTTACCTTGTCATTATCGATGTCTACCTTGTAATTATCAACGTGTACCTTGTCATTATCGACGTCTACCTTGTCATTATCGACGTCTACCTTGTAATTATCAACGTGTACCTTGTCATTATTGACATCTACCTTGTCATTATTGAGGTCTACCTTGTCATTATTGAGGTCTACCTTGTCATTATTGAGGTCTACCTTGTCACTATCGAGGTCTACCTTGTCATTATCAGGGTTTACTTTGTCATTATCATTGTCTAACTTGTCATTATCTCGGTCTACCTTGTCATTATTGAGGTCTACCTTGTCATTATCAAGGTCTACCTTGTCACTATCGAGGTCTACCTTGTCATTATCAGGGTTTACTTTGTCATTATTGAGGTCAATCTTGTAATTATCGAGTTCTACCTTGTCATTATTGAGGTTACCTTGTCATTATCGACGTCTACCTTGTCATTATCGACGTCTACCTTGTCATTATTGACGTCTACCTTGTCATTATCAACGTCTACCTTGTCATTATTGACGTTTACCTTGTCATCTATCATCTTCCAGGCTGTTCCTGCCCACCTTCGTAATGGTCCCATCACAGCATATCACATCTTTGTGCAAGACACTGCCACTGGAAATGAGACTGACATCACAGTGACAGACATGGCACAGATGTCACTAGAACTCCACCTGGAGCCCAACACTACCTACCAGATCCAGACCTCGGCCTGTACGGAGAGCGGCTGCTCCACCAGGTCCAAACTCATCACCATCGCACCACAGGGAAAAGGTACCACTGACAACAACCCATTCATCCATCTTACCTCACCAATCCATCCATCCATCTAACCTCACAATCCATCTTACCTCACCAACCCATCCATCCATCTTACCTCACCAATCCATCCATCCATCTTACCTTACAATCCATCCATCCATCTTACCTCACCAATCCATCCATCCATCCATCTTACCTCACAATCCATCCATCAATCCATCTTACCTCACCAATCCATCCATCCATCTTACCTCACCAATCCATAAAAAATAAAAAATAAAAAATAAGTAACCTCTAAAATGCACTTGAATTGTTCTTTCCAAGCAAATAAATATTTCATTTTTAAAATTTAACAATATCTGTTTCCTGAGGCCGAACACACAATTCAGCTGCGTAATTCCAGTTGTTATACAGAGGCGTTGCATATACCGTACAACAAAGAGTAATGACAGTTTTTTAAGCTCACAGCTGTTACATGTATTGTATGTTACAGCACATGCCACATACTGACTGTTTCAATGTAAGATCATCACTGCCAAATTACTAATTTGACATGGAATTGGTTAGTGATATGCATTTGTTGAAATGGTACATCTGGTAAAAATATAGAGGGTTTCTACTGATGGTGGTGCTTCTTGACAGTGTGTGTAGGATGTACTTATGTACACTAATCAATTAATGTGATGTGATTGGGAAATGATACTACCGCACAGAGATGTAACAACAGACTTCATGACAGTGTGGTAGTTAGGCCACCCTAGGGGCTTAACACACTTCCTGGTCAATATCAATTATTGTAATGCTTGCTCCAACCAGTCATTCATGCAACTGTGCTTGCTTCCTTTGTTAGAAGAATACATTCTGTAGTTCAGAAAACAAGGCATTATGTTTAATATTTTTCCTCATCAGTATCACCATTGTTGATTGAACTAAGTTGCAAGTCTGTTGCGTGAAGTTTATACTTTCTATGTGATCAATCCATGGTAGCACTAGGGAGTGAGTGAGTTGGGTTTAATGGGTTTAAAACAAAATATACTTTTATCACAGCCTATCAGCTTAATATGGGAGGAGAGCAGGTCGTAGACATTTACCACTTTGACAAAACAACCCGTGAAGATCCGGGGTAGAATAGGTCTTCAGCAATCTTCCGCACGTCATTGTATCCCAATTGCGTTGATGGATGCTCATGACGTCAATCACTAGATTGTCTGGTCCATTACCATTGGTTGATTACTTACAAACCGCCGTCATATAGCTGGAACATTGCTGAGTGCGGCATTAAACAACATACAAACAAAACTTTGACAAAGCCAATGGTTATAATCGGGATGAATCTTGGATTCAAACTCATTATCAAGAGATCGATCCCAGCACACCCGAGGGATGCAGGTCTTCCAACAACAGGAAGATGTAGCTGGTGTAACAACATGGGGCACAACAGGAAGATGTAGCTGGTGTAACAACATGGGGCACAACAGGAAGATGTAGCTGGTGTAACAACATGGGGCACAACAGGAAGATGTAGCTGGTGTAACAACATGGGGCACAACAGGAAGATGTAGCTGGTGTAACAACATGGGGCACAACAGGAAGATGTAGCTAGTGTAACAACATGGTGCACAACAGGAAGATGTAGCTAGTGTAACAACATGGGGCACAACAGGAAGATGTAGCTGGTGTAACAACATGGGGCACAACAGGAAGATGTAGCTAGTGTAACAACATGGGGCACAACGGGAAGATGTAGCTAGTGTAACAACATGGGGCACAACAGGAAGATGTAGCTGGTGTAACAACATGGAGCACAACAGGAAGACGTAGCTAGTGTAACAACATGGGGCACAACAGGAAGATGTAGCTAGTGTAACAACATGGGGCACAACAGGAAGATGTAGCTGGTGTAACAACATGGGGCACAACAGGAAGATGTAGCTAGTGTAACAACATGGGGCACAACGGGAAGATGTATCTAGTGTAACAACATGGGGCACAACGGGAAGATGTAGCTAGTGTAACAACATGGGGCACAACAGGAAGATAAAGCTAGTGTAACAACATGGGGCACAACAGGAAGATGTAGCTAGTGTAACAACATGGGGCACAACGGGAAGATGTAGCTAGTGTAATAACATGGGGCACAACGGGAAGATGTAGCTAGTGTAACAACATGGGGCACAACAGGAAGATGTAGCTAGTGTAACAACATGGGGCACAACAGGAAGATAAAGCTAGTGTAACAACATGGGGCACAACAGGAAGATAAAGCTAGTGTAACAACATGGGGCACAACAGGAAGATGTAGCTAGTGTAACAACATGGGGCACAACGGGAAGATGTAGCTAGTGTAATAACATGGGGCACAACGGGAAGATGTAGCTAGTGTAACAACATGGGGCACAACAGGAAGATGTAGCTAGTGTAACAACATGGGGCACAACAGGAAGATAAAGCTAGTGTAACAACATGGGGCACAACAGGAAGATGTAGCTAGTGTAACAACATGGGGCACAACAGGAAGATGTAGCTAGTGTAATAACATGGGGCACAACAGGAAGATGTAGCTAGGGTAACAACATGGGGCACAACAGGAAGATGTAGCTGGTGTAACAACATGGGGCACAACGGGAAGATGTAGCTAGGGTAACAACATGGGGCACAACAGGAAGATGTAGCTAGGGTAACAACATGGGGCACAACGGGAAGATGTAGCTAGTGTAACAACATGGTGCACAACAGGAAGATGTAGCTAGTGTAACAACATGGGGCACAACGGGAAGATGTAGCTAGTGTAACAACATGGGGCACAACAGGAAGATGTAGCTAGTGTAACAACATGGGGCACAACAGGAAGATGTAGCTAGGGTAACAACATGGGGCACAACAGGAAGATGTAGCTGGTGTAACAACATGGGGCACAACGGGAAGATGTAGCTAGGGTAAGAACATGGGGCACAACAGGAAGATGTAGCTAGGGTAACAACATGGGGCACAACAGGAAGATGTAGCTGGTGTAACAACATGGGGCACAACAGGAAGATGTAGCTAGTGTAACAACATGGGGCACAACAGGAAGATGTAGCTAGTGTAACAACATGGGGCACAACGGGAAGATGTAGCTGGTGTAACAACATGGGGCACAACGGGAAGATGTAGCTAGTGTAACAACATGGGGCACAACGGGAAGATGTAGCTAGTGTAACAACATGGGGCACAACAGGAAGATGTAGCTAGTGTAACAACATGGAGCACAACAGAATGATGTAGCTAGTGTAACAACATGGGGCACAACAGGAAGATGTAGCTAGGGTAACAACATGGGGCACAACAGGAAGATGTAGCTGGTGTAACAACATGGGGCACAACGGGAAGATGTAGCTAGTGTAACAACATGGGGCACAACGGGAAGATGAGGCTAGTGTAACAACATGGGGCACAACGGGAAGATGTAGCTAGGGTAATAACATGGGGCACAACAGGAAGATGTAGCTGGTGTAACAACATGGGGCACAACAGGAAGATGTAGCTGGTGTAACAACATGGGGCACAACAGGAAGATGTAGCTAGGGTAAGAACATGGGGCACAACAGGAAGATGTAGCTGGTGTAACAACATGGGGCACAACAGGAAGATGTAGCTAGGGTAAGAACATGGGGCACAACAGGAAGATGTAGCTGGTGTAACAACATGGGGCACAACAGGAAGATGTAGCTAGGGTAATAACATGGTGCACAACAGGAAGATGTAGCTAGTGTAACAACATGGGGCACAACAGGAAGATGTAGCTAGTGTAACAACATGGGGCACAACAGGAAGATGTAGCTAGTGTAACAACATGGGGCACAACGGTAAAGATGTAGCTAGTGTAACAACATGGGGCACAACAGGAAGATGTAGCTAGTGTAACAACATGGTGCACAACAGGAAGATGTAGCTAGTGTAACAACATGGGGCACAACAGGAAGATGTAGCTAGGGTAACAACATGGGGCACAACAGGAAGATGTAGCTAGTGTTACAACATGGGGCACAACAGGAAGATGTAGCTAGTGTAACAACATGGGGCACAACGGGAAGATGTAGCTGGTGTAACAACATGGGGCACAACAGGAAGATGTAGCTGGTGTAACAACATGGGGCACAACAGGAAGATGTAGCTAGTGTAACAACATGGGGCACAACGGGAAGATGTAGCTGGTGTAACAACATGGGGCACAACAGGAAGATGTAGCTAGTGTAACAACATGGGGCACAACGGGAAAATGGAGCTAGTGTAACAACATGGGGCACAACAGGAAGATGTAGCTGGTGTAACAACATGGGGCACAACAGGAAGATGTAGCTAGTGTTACAACATGGGGCACAACAGGAAGATGTAGCTAGTGTAACAACATGGGGCACAACGGGAAGATGTAGCTAGTGTAACAACATGGGGCACAACAGGAAGATGTAGCTAGTGTATCAACATGGGGCACAACAGGAAGATGTAGCTAGTGTAACAACATGGGGCACAACAGGAAGATGTAGCTGGTGTAACAACATGGGGCACAACGGGAAGATGTAGCTAGTGTAACAACATGGGGCACAACGGGAAGATGTAGCTAGTGTAACAACATGGGGCACAACAGGAAGATGTAGCTGGTTTAACAACATGGGGCACAACGGGAAGATGTAGCTGGTGTAACAACATGGGGCACAACGGGAAGATGTAGCTGGTGTAACAACATGGGGCACAACGGGAAGATGTAGCTAGTGTAACAACATGGGGCACAACAGGAAGATGTAGCTAGTGTAACAACATGGGGCACAACAGGAAGATGTAGCTGGTGTAACAACATGGTGCACAACAGGAAGATGTAGCTGGTGTAACAACATGGGGCACAACAGGAAGATGTAGCTAGTGTAACAACATGGGGCACAACAGGAAGATGTAGTTAGTGTAACAACATGGGGCACAACAGGAAGATGTAGCTAGTGTAACAACATGGGGCACAACGGTAAAGATGTAGCGAGTGTAACAACATGGGGCACAACAGGAAGATGTAGCTAGTGTAACAACATGGTGCACAACAGGAAGATGTAGCTAGTGTAACAACATGGGGCACAACAGGAAGATGTAGCTAGTGTAACAACATGGGGCACAACGGTAAAGATGTAGCTAGTGTAACAACATGGGGCACAACAGGAAGATGTAGCTAGTGTAACAACATGGTGCACAACAGGAAGATGTAGCTAGTGTAACAACATGGGGCACAACAGGAAGATGTAGCTAGGGTAACAACATGGGGCACAACAGGAAGATGTAGCTAGTGTTACAACATGGGGCACAACAGGAAGATGTAGCTAGTGTAACAACATGGGGCACAACGGGAAGATGTAGCTGGTGTAACAACATGGGGCACAACAGGAAGATGTAGCTGGTGTAACAACATGGGGCACAACAGGAAGATGTAGCTAGTGTAACAACATGGGGCACAACGGGAAGATGTAGCTGGTGTAACAACATGGGGCACAACAGGAAGATGTAGCTAGTGTAACAACATGGGGCACAACGGGAAAATGGAGCTAGTGTAACAACATGGGGCACAACAGGAAGATGTAGCTGGTGTAACAACATGGGGCACAACAGGAAGATGTAGCTAGTGTTACAACATGGGGCACAACAGGAAGATGTAGCTAGTGTAACAACATGGGGCACAACGGGAAGATGTAGCTAGTGTAACAACATGGGGCACAACAGGAAGATGTAGCTAGTGTATCAACATGGGGCACAACAGGAAGATGTAGCTAGTGTAACAACATGGGGCACAACAGGAAGATGTAGCTGGTGTAACAACATGGGGCACAACGGGAAGATGTAGCTAGTGTAACAACATGGGGCACAACGGGAAGATGTAGCTAGTGTAACAACATGGGGCACAACAGGAAGATGTAGCTGGTTTAACAACATGGGGCACAACGGGAAGATGTAGCTGGTGTAACAACATGGGGCACAACGGGAAGATGTAGCTGGTGTAACAACATGGGGCACAACGGGAAGATGTAGCTAGTGTAACAACATGGGGCACAACAGGAAGATGTAGCTAGTGTAACAACATGGGGCACAACAGGAAGATGTAGCTGGTGTAACAACATGGTGCACAACAGGAAGATGTAGCTGGTGTAACAACATGGGGCACAACAGGAAGATGTAGCTAGTGTAACAACATGGGGCACAACAGGAAGATGTAGTTAGTGTAACAACATGGGGCACAACAGGAAGATGTAGCTAGTGTAACAACATGGGGCACAACGGTAAAGATGTAGCGAGTGTAACAACATGGGGCACAACAGGAAGATGTAGCTAGTGTAACAACATGGTGCACAACAGGAAGATGTAGCTAGTGTAACAACATGGGGCACAACAGGAAGATGTAGCTAGTGTAACAACATGGGGCACAACAGGAAGATGTACCTAGTGTAACAACATGGTGCACAACAGGAAGATGTAGCTAGTGTAACAACATGGTGCACAACAGGAAGATGTAGCTAGTGTAACAACATGGAGCACAACAGGAAGATGTAGCTAGTGTAACAACATGGGGCACAACAGGAAGATGTAGCTAGTGTAACAACATGGGGCACAACAGGAAGATGTAGCTGGTGTAACAACATGGGGCACAACGGGAAGATGTAGCTAGTGTAACAACATGGGGCACAACAGGAAGATGTAGCTGGTGTAACAACATGGGGAACACAGCTGGGTTTGTACTTCTGGTTCACATGGTCAACTCTAGACCCCTCATGGTATTGATTCACTGCAGGTGTGTCACCACCCCAGGACTTCACAGTGGAGTTCATGGCTGACGAGGACCCCGCCAACTTCAACATCAACTGGCAACCACTCCATACTCGAGTCGTGTCCTACACTATGTACTGGTGCATGAAGGATGAAAACTCAACCAACTGCACAGTAAGCCCCTAGTCCATAGTAGTAGTAGCAGTGGCCGTGACATAGAGTGAATGAATGTTGTTTTATGTAAAACTCACTTTTACCAGCTCTTATGACTTGAGATGGTGGGGATTTATTCTGACCCTGAATCACTGACCTGTAACCTCTAGTCCCACACAGGTAGAAAAACAGGCAGCAGAAATGTACACATTGAAACAATTCCTCTGAAAATTTCCATTACAGGGTCAGAACTTAACACTAACCCAGTAGTACGAATTCCTGGGGGTTAGTAAATATTTTAAAATTTCTCCGTTTTAACATTACACAGGCATCTTAGCTTTTGACTTTAGTTCTAACCCTACATTCTACCATGAATTTGGAAAATACTTGATTTTGATTGGTGAATCAGAGGTTTCAAATCACAACAAGTGTATAGTCGACGAAGTCATCTATATCCCTCGCCCATTTTAACACGTTATGGTCCCAAACCAGGTAACTGACCCAACATTTCTCTTAGCCCATGTCAAAATAGCTGCAATGGAAATTCTAAAATAAACATTTCTAAAACTCCTTACTTTTAATATCAAATGGCACCAGTTCAGTATGTGCCTTATATATAGATATGCAATGTTTGGCAAGGAAATATTTAAGTTTATTTTCAGTCATTGTCGGTAGGCCTACAATTATAGGCTACAAAATGTTGCTGTTACTACAACATTCAAAGGATGTGGGGGAATACATATCGTGCAGAAAACATGATAGAAATCTACAAACAAAACATATTTTAAGTTTTGAAGACAACAGAGAGCTTACTTATTATTAGGCGTTTCTCTATATATACGCCAGTGACGTCATATCGTTTGCGTCAGAATGAAAGATATGATGTCATAATAGTGAAGTGCAGTGTGGAATAAAACTTTGCATAGCTAGCTTAGTTTTCTTCAGGGTGCCCACTTCATGTTAGCTTACGAAATTGGCTTACAACATGCTTTCAGATCCTGTCATAAGTTCGAGTGACATATTACAGTGTCAACAACCTGCTTGAGCATATAGAGCGCCATATTTTGTTTAAACGCTGTTGTCAGTGAATTCCATAAATTCAGATTGACAACCTTCTCAAAAGACTGGACTCAACCCATACTGCTTTACTCAATATATTCTTAGCACCAAAAAGTTCAGTTTTTATTTAAATTTGTGTTTGGTTCCAAATACATTTTGGGGGGCACGGATGGCCCAGTCGTCTAAGGCGCCTTGGTTCGCTGTGCAGAGTTGCATCCCTTGGGCACGCCAGAAACCTATGATTGTGGGTTCGAATCCCGGTTCGCCCCGATTATGTTTCTAGGTTTGTCAGCACCATACCCGTGCTTGTGGGTTTCACCGAAGCGGTAAACGTCTAAGACCTGCATCACTTCGGGCTTTCCTCCCACATTAAGTTGATACGCCGTGATATAACTGGAATACTGTTAAAAGCTGCATTAAACCCAACTCACTCACTCACTCCAAATACAATTTAGCGCAGTTAAATCTACTGGTAACTTAGGTCTACATTGAAAACTCAGTATGTTTATCTCCTAATTCTTTCTGACCACAGACCCCCTTGGACTGGAAGAGTGTGTCCCCCAACACCACAGAGTACAATCTGACCCTCCCAGGACTTAGTGAGAACACCACACAAGACTACATGGTGGGGATCTCTGCCGAGGCCATGATGACCTCACGGAGGTCACGGAGGGCGAGTGACACAGGTCAGGTGACCAGCAGTGGCATCTCATGGAGTCAATGCCTTCACATCAGTGGAAAAAGTAAGTAATATTTCACTACTGTCATTCCATGTGAATTAAAGTGAGTGTGCAGCTTCTGGTGGAATACCAGCACCATGGGCTTTATCAAAGTGGTACATAATTCAACTGTTGTTTTTCATATGTTGAAGACACCACTTGTATATCTCCCTCATACAGGGTAATGGTCCCGTTTTCTCTCTCTCTCTCCCTGTCACTTAATTTGTTACTAGGCCTTGACCAGAAGGTGCAGGCTTTGACCAGTCCAATTACAGGGGTGCGGAATTGTTCTTACCATGCAGCGTTAGAAATTGGCAGTAGTCCTATATGCCCAATAGTTTAGGTATCATAAGGACTAGTTGAAATTTGGCCTTTTTAAAGGTTTTGCCATATGTTATCATTATAAGGGTGTGTGTGTTGGAAAAAAGCTTTCTGATTGGTCAATATTTTTAGTTAGCATTGTTAATGTATTTGCAGGACATTAAGGAGTAATTAAATGTTTGATTCACAATTTTCAAATAATATGAAAACTTATTGTTTTAAATTTTCTCAGCTCCAACCGCAGCGCCTGAGGTCCTGCACATGTCCAGCCACCCCACGACTGCCAGCATAGACTTGGAGTGGCAGAAGCTGAGCTGCTTGCAGACACCAAGTGTACTGACTGGTGTACTCGTGGTGTACTGTGTAGTGGATGGAGATTCTTGTTCAGGTATATTATAACTATATATAATGAAACATATATGCTAAAATCTAGGTTTGTATGTTGTTTCTGACCACCTTCATTGTAACCCATTTATCTAGCTATCAAGCTGCATATTTATCTAGGATTATTTTTGGTTTCTAGTGATTTTTTTTCAATTAATTCATTAATATTGTTGAAGCGATCAATAAAAACAAGTAAAATGACATTTATTTACTTTTGTAATCATTGGTATGTAACGTGTAATTGCTTTGACATTGACCATCTTCAATATTTGGAAATGAGTTCTATGCTATTTATCATCATTATCATGTGTCCTTCAACCTGGTCACCATCAACCTTTTGGCAGCACAGTAAGGTTTGCAACTTTTTGAAAATATTTCTGGAGATGCATCTATGAGCAGCTTCAAACATTACAATGAGAGTAAAAGATTCGGGGTAGAATAGGTCTTCAGCAACCCATGCTTGTTGTAAAAGGCCACTAACGGGATTGGGTGGTCAGGCTCGCTCACGTAGTTATGCATGGCATCGTATCACAATTGCGTGGATCGATACTCATGTCAATCACTGGATTGTGTGGTCCAGACTCGATTATTTACAGACTGTCATCATATAGCTGGAATATTGCTGAGTGCAGCAAACAAACAAATCACAGTAACATCTGTTCAGCACAGATGCTACAGCCCTTTCTTGACAAGGAAACCACTCCTCAGTTGGTGGGGGTTGGTGGGGGTTGGTGGGGGTTGGTGGGTTGCCTTGTGGCTTGTGTGTTTCTTCCTCACACAGAAGATCCAGAGTTTGATTTATAGGAAATAACATTTGTAATGGATGACAAGGAAACAACGTTTGTTTCCAGGACCAGAACAGAGTCAGATGGCTGTAGGTCAAGGGGTCAGCTACACCTTGAAGAACTTGGACACTGGAAACACGTACCTCATCAAAGTGTGCGCTGTGTCAGCAGCGGGGAATGGACCATTCAGTCCACCGGTCAAAGTAGAGCTGGCAGCAGGTCAGTGATGCATACACCTCGAGCTTGTGTCAGGATTTGAGTTTTATGATCTGATTTAACTGCTCTTAAGATGGAATATGAAACAGATGACTTGATGGGTAGAGTCATACTCGAATAGTAACACATTACTGGAATGGATTAAACATCCTATCAGTGGCAAGGACTGAAGGATAACAAAGAGTGAGTGAGTGAGTTTGGTTTTATGCCGCTTTCAACAGTAATCGAGTTACATCACGGCGTGTCAGCTTAATGTGGGAGGAAAGCCCTAAGTGATGCAGGTCTCAGACATTAACCACTTCGGTGAAACCCACGAGCACGGGTATGGTGCTGACAAACCTAGAAACATAATTGGGGCGAACCGGGATTCAAGCCCACAATCATAGGTTTCTGGTGTGCCCAAAGGATGCAACTCTGCACAGCAAATCGCGTCGCCTTAGATGACTGGGCCATCTGTGCCCCCGATAACAAAGAAAATATATAGAACAATGGTTTCAGAGTTATACATATAATTTAGATGAGTGAGTGAGTGAGTTTGATTAACATTGCTTTGAACAATATTGTAGTTATATCACAGTGTGTCAGTTTGATTTGGAAGGAAAACTAAGATAATATCCAAGAAAAGAAAATCACACTTGAAGACAAAATCCAGGAAAAGTTTGCAAGTTGTATAAATATGCATCAGATATTGAAATACACCAAAAATAATCTACAGCTGCCTATTTCATGTGGAAGTTGTTGCTTGAGTGAAAGACCACCCTATCATTGCAAAAGTCATATTTTTAGTTCTGTATTATTGATGGAGATTTAGGATACTCTACTTGGTTAGGCGGTTGGTTGGTTTGTTTTTAACGCCGCACTCAGCACTATTCCAGCTATATGACGGCGGTCTGTAAATTATCGAGTCTGGACCAGACAATCCAGTGATTAATATCATGAGCATCGATCCACGCAAGTGGGATTGATGACATGCATCAACCAAGTCACCAAGTCTGACCACCCGATCCTGTTAGTCGCCTTTTACGACAAGCATAGTTCTTGATGCTCATGATATCAATCACTGGATTGTCTGGTCCAGACTTGATTATTTACAGACCGCCGTCATATAGCTGGAATATTGCTGAGTGCGACGGTAAACAACAAACAAACAAACAAGATGGAGGACACAGACCAGAAGCGTCCATCAAATATAATTGTATCATAAGTTGAAACCTTTACGACCAAAATCTTCTAATTTTAGTAACTCTTAAATCTACTATTGTCATCTTGATATTATTGTCCAGGAAATATATAGAAATACCCCAAATAAAAGAGACTTGCTCCAGTATTTGTACTTGTGAGGACACAGACAATGATGACAAGGGTCAGTCCTCACTGAGATGTTATGGTGTGTTTCAGACCTTGCTCTCATCTACACAGCAGTCATTGTGGCCAGTGTGCTGCTTCTCCTGTTGTTCATCATCTTCTGTGTCATATGGGGATGTTGGTGAGTATCCTCAATCTGTTGTTGTCGCTCCATGTCATAATTACGAATAACTGTTGACGCTCCATGTCATAATTACAAATAACTGTTGTCGCTCCATGTCAGAATTACGAATAACTGTTGACGCTCCATGTCATAATTACGAATAACTGGTGATGCTCCATGTCATAATTACAAATAACTGGTGATGCTCCATGTCATAATTACAAGTGACTGTTGACGCTCCATGTCATAATAACAAGTGACTGTTGACGCTCCATGTCATAATTACAAGTGACTGTTGATGCTCCATGTCATAATTACAAGTGACTGTTGACGCTCCATGTCATAATTACGAATAACTGGTGATGCTCTATATTATAACTACGAATAACTGTTGACATTCCTTCCATGTGATAATTATGAGTGACTGTTGACGCTCCATGTCATAATTACGAATAACTGGTGATGCTCCATGTCATAATTACAAATAACTGGTGATGCTCCATGTCATAATTAAAAGTGACTGTTGACGCTCCATGTCATAATAACAAGTGACTGTTGACGCTCCATGTCATAATTACAAGTGACTGTTGACGCTCCATGTCATAATTACAAGTGACTGTTGACGCTCCATGTCATAATTACGAATAACTGGTGATGCTCTATATTATAACTACGAATAACTGTTGACATTCCTTCCATGTGATAATTATGAGTGACTGTTGACGCTCCATGTCATAATTACGAATAACTGGTGATGCTCTATATTATAACTACGAATAACTGTTGACATTCCTTCCATGTGATAATTATGAGTGACTGTTGACGCTCCATGTCATAATTACGAGTGACTGTTGACGCTCCATGTCATAATTACGAATAACTGTTGACAGTCCATGTCATAATTACGAATAGCTGTTGACGCTCCATGTCATAATTACAAATAACTGTTGACGCTCCATGTCATAATTACAAATAACTGTTGACTCTCCATGTCATAATTACGAATAACTGTTGACGCTCCATGTCATAATTACGAGTGACTGAGATGCTCCATGTCATAATTACGAATGACTGATGCCCTTTGATTGCATGTATGTTAACTTTTCGCTGATATTCAGTCTCAGTATGTGCTCATCCCAGGTTTACCTTGGTAAATGAGATAGTTAACATATACTAGCAATGTCAATTTCATGACTACTAGCAGAATTGGACTCTCAGATTTCCTTGCTTTAGCTGCAGTTTTTGTGTCATGTTCATTTTAACATGTAGACTGACCAAATATGTTGATAATTGCTCCAAAATTTTAAAGAATGAAAAGAAATTTTATGTTCCTTCAAATGTGTTTTTGATGATTTCAGCACAATACAACAAAACATCAAGATGGAGGTAGCTTACCCCCAAAACAAGTTACAGCTGCTGCAACATGATGATGTAAGTACAGTAGAACACGGATGTAACGAACTACAAGGACCAGGGCAATCAGTTCGTTATATCCGTTGTTCATTTTTTACATCAATTGCATTTATGATTCTTAATTTCGTATCTAAACTGATAGCTTTCCTTTTACTATTGCCTGCCATGATAGCATATGCAAGTAAGTGAGTGAATATGGTTTAATGCCGCTTTTAGCAATATTCCAGCAATATCACGGCGGGGGACACCACAAATGGGCTTCACACTTTGTACCCATGTCGGGAATCGAACCCAGGTCTTTGGCGTGACGAGCGAACGCTTTAACCACTAGGCTACCCGACCCCTCATATGCAAGTGAACTGACCCTTTGATGACTTTGTTGCTTCAAGTGTTTAAGAGGTCACCTTCTGTCTTCTACTGTATATTACACTGAGGAATCTAACTTCTCGATACTAATGTTTCTCATATTCCAAGCTGGTCCCGGCTTTGTCAACTTCTCCAAATTCAATGGAGTCAACACTTAGAGTAACTCCTGTCTCAGTCACCTTTAGCAGCCAGCCATCAGTTCCTTACATATTTAAAAACATATTCCTGGCACTTTCCTCAGTAAGTTGCTTGTCAGATCATAATATGGAGCTTCTGCTTTGATGTTTGAAGTCCTTGCAGAGCTTAAGGCATGGGTTTTACACAATTTGCCTAAGCACTGACCGATTCCCTTTCTGGACCCCACAAGGTATTTTTTCAATTAAAAAAAAACAGACAGAATTATTTATTCAATTATGATCACCTATATTCTCCATGAAGCTAATTGAAGTTATTGTTTTTAAAGACTATTTTTTATGTCATCACATAAATATTTTCAGGATATTGACAAGAAAGCTACACATCCTGAAAACAATGCATCAGCCAAAAATCGTACCTATTGGAAAAGTGGAACAGACAAAGATCGAGCGGTAGACAAGGAACTAGAAGACACCAAACTTTTACCTTCAGAATCTTACAAAGAAAATGCAAGTATAAGATGGAGAGAATCATTGGGCCCCAAAATAACTGACACTTGTTATATGGCCTCATCAGCTAAGAAGAACTCCCTGGAACTTAAGCCTGAAAATAGAGAAAAAAATGGTTGGACACAACTCACAGACACAATGGATCCCTATGAAATAGTGGATTCTGATGGTGTAGACATTCCCCGTGAACGGCTGTCATCATTTAAAAGTCATCTCCCAGTGAGAGAATACTGCTATGTTGTGAAAGGGGATATTGACTATGAGAACTATGTAACAGCTGAATCGGAACAGGAATATTCATCTCATCCTCTCATTACAGATCCGAAAGAATTACAAGAATTACATGATAAAGTTCATCCACATTTTCATTCTACCAATCTGGATATTGTTCCTCCTCATCCACAATTTATCCCATCTTCAACTAATGTAAGTGCTTTTGTAACTGTACAACATACTCATGATGATCAACTTTCCAAACTTGATCATCCTCCACCAACATCCCTGCAGAATTATCCACCACCACCTAAGGCTTTCTTTGCCACACAGGCTAACCCTCTGCCTGATTACAGAGCTGTGGGAGATCCTCCATCAGATCAAAATCTCCTGAAGAACCCCCCTACTCCCAATGTGCAATATTCTACAAATTCTGCACATTTACAAACTAACAAATCAACAACATATGTTATAGATCCTCCATCTCCTCAACTTCCACATCGACAAAGTCTTCCAAGGCCTGCTTGTGTTTCTAGCTCAGGGACGTTCCCCCATGTGCAAAGACATACATTCATAGAAGAGCAAAATCATCCACCACCAGCAACAACGTGCAATTCACCAAATCACAACAACAAAATACACATGCATGAACAAAATCCTTTTCAATATCTTCAAAATGAATACTCTTACCTCACCTCTGATAATTCAATAACTGTGTCAGAGCAAAATGATAATGAATCAACAAAAGAGCAATATACTCCAATAAATACTATACCAGTGCAAATCCCCAAGCCTCCAAACCCTCCTCGTCCTGCAAGTGTAAGTAACCCAGTACCTGCTGAGCCCGTACAAAATAAAGAAACTATTGATCCAAAACATCCTCCTCCAAATCTTCAAAATGAACCCCTTCCTCGGGACAAAAATAGTCCAATAACTGCTGCCCCCATTCAGAATAATAAGGAACAGAAACAAGAGAAAGATATTCCACATCCGCTGACTATTATTACACCTGTGCAAATCCCCAAGCCTCGCACCAGTCTGCAAAGTCCAAAACCTTTCAAACCTGTTCCTCCAGAACCAGTGGCTCAGAACACTGGAAGAGACACAACAGATGGCAGAATCAAGAATGAACCTGAACAGAAACAGGAGCCCGAGCCCATGAGAACAAATGTTACACCAGGAAGTAATGAACCTGATAATAAGTCTACCAATGACAAAAAGCCCTGGCAACTGTCAAGTGAAATTCCAAGAAACAGAGGATCTGTAGACAAATCCACACAGGAGAACCTTCCTCCCCTGCCGAGTTATTCATCCAGACCTCCCTCTGCCAAATCTAGACCAAGCAAGAAGACAGATGAAGACAATAATGTTTTTGATATTTCCATCCTTGTGGGAGAGCTACTGGGAGAAGGTTTGACGACTAAAAAAGATGAAGATGGTCCAGAAGTTACCACGAGGCCTACGAAACTAAGAGGGTCAACATCTTTACGAGATGCCAAGGTGAAGCCCAAGCCTCCTGAGGTTCCTCCAAAGCCAATGTTTGTGACTGCTAGACACAGCAACCTTGGCCATGTTGAGGTGAGTCCCACAGCAGTATCTGACCCTCCAGCAGTCTGCAACAGAAGGGAGTTCTAACAAGAATCATGACGAGCAGCATGAAGACATTTCAGTGCATTAAGTGCCATTCAAAGCTCGAATGTTCAATTGTGTTTCAAAGGGACCAGGAACCTCATACAATGTGAGTGCTTGATTGTGCTGACTAAAGGATAATAAGTCTGATGTTTGGAGAGAATCTGACGTGAAAAACATTCATGGTGATGTCAATGGTCATCTTATTCAGCACTGATTTCAACCATTATTAATCAATCTTATCAGTACAAATTCTTCTTACGGGAATCCAAATAAGATCTGTTACTGTTTTGGACGATTCATAATGTTCATCACCCTCAATTTTGTAGTACACTTTTGCAGCTTCCTTTAAATGTTTTCATTAAAGGATGTCATGGGGTATGCACGTTTATATGTAATGCATCCATAGTTTCACCTTGACTTTCAAAACTAGGGGTCCGAGGCATCCCTGTTAATATATCTTAATGATTCTTACAGGAAATATGAGGGTCCTGTAAAGTAATGAATTTGTGTTGAAAGTGTGACAATTATTCTAATTACAGCACCTTTACATTTCTTGTCAAGAAATTGGTACAATGAATATAAAGGATGCACATTTCCGTGTAAAATCCTGGTATCTGCAGATCTCCGACGTTTACCACTTCAGTGAAACCTGTGAGAACGGGTATGGCACTTACTGGGCCAAAGGAAGGCCTGCTTGCACCCAAGTTTATAGTTTGTTGCATTCAAAGGCATAGGATCATAAAGAAAGTATGAGAGAAATATAATTATTACTTGCCCGTGAAGAGATCACCCGTTTAATAAAGATACAGCTTTATTACACATTGTATAATACCAAAACGTGTGCTTATGTACTCTCGGAACACGTTTCACGAACAAATATTGAAAGCTCTCAACATCCCTTGGCGTATTCAACGACATTGTGTGTGGAGATGATAGATCACTGGGAGGAGCTTATGCACACTCGATGACCCCAGCAACCTTGTTGCTAGGCTGACGTCACATGGCATTGTTTCGCCGATGGATCTTGCAACAAAATTCAACAAATTACGTCATCGGGTATTGTGACGTCATTGTAAACTTGGAGCTGCAAGGCCCCATTCCACAAGGCGATCGTACTCTAGCGCAACGAGAGTCTTTAGTCTAAGTTAAATTATGTGAGTTGTGATAGCCTTAGCACTACGATAATTTTGTGGGACGAACGCCTGAATTCTAAAGATGGACCATTGTATGATATTAAATTCATACTTTTCAACTTTTGACGTGTTTGAAGTATTATTCTGTTAAACTCAATTGGATTATGCCATGGATCGTGTAGGTGTCAGCCTATTTACACTCAACAGTATAATTCTAAAAACATTATAAATGACAAGTAATAAATAAAATACTAAACTCGCTCTCGTGTAAAACCAATTTTATGAAACTTGTGAATAGTTGTGGTATCTGACTCGCTTTTGCTCGTCAGATACCAGAACTATTCACTCGTTTCATAAAATTGGTATTACCCAGGAGCTTGTTTAGTATTCTATATGTCTTTTGTAAAGAGACGCAAAATGTTACATACTAAGTCAAGATTAACATATCATGAGAATACGGATGAAGAGATGTCGTCTCAGCTGTTTGAATTTTGATAATCATATGTTTATTGCTTGCCTCTAGATACAGGCACTTTTGTCTTATGGGTATTGTTCAGACTAAAGATGTAGGTTTTAGGCTGAGTAACCTTGAACCGATTCACCCTTTCTTGCCAGTTTTGTCTTTCTAAACAAATGATTTTTGTCCGATTTTCATATAGTTATATATTGTCATTCACTGAAAGAGATCAATACATGTTCAAATCTTGAACCTAATAGTAACTAGAAGTGAAGAAAAGCGTTTCCGTAATCACAAGATACCTCTACCAAAGGCAGAGTCCATTGTACGATTCTGACAATACCACAAGCATGTGCCTATGAATTACTACCAAAAAGTGATGATACCAGGTGTAAGGTGAAAAGGTGAGCGTATCCTGCCCCACCCATCACAAACACAGCCCTTTCACACTATCCATGCATATTTAGTACTCCTCCTTGATTCATGAATGGTGGGGGCGTTGGGGTAGCCCTGTGGTTAAAGCTTTCGCTTGTCACGCAAAAGACCCGGGTTCGAGTCACGACATGGGTACAATGTGTGAAGCCCACTTGTGGTGTCCCCTGCCGTGATATTGCTAAAAGAGGCGTAAAACCTCACTCACTCACTCACTCACTCAAGAATTGTGATGTGACATTGAAAACTCAGTGGCAGTGGTAAACTCCCCAACTGTCAAACTGTACTGGTTTGACATCGGTAAGGGCAGGGCCATACCTCCAACCTTAGCTTTAATGATATTCCAGCTGGATGACGGCGGTCTGAAAATAATCGAGTCTGGACCAGACAATCCAGTGACTGACGTCATGAGCATCGATCTATGCAATTAAGATACATAACATGCATCAACTAAGTCACCGAGTCTGACCACCTGATCCCTTTAGTTGCCTCTTATGACAAGCATGGGTTACTAAAGACCAATTTTGAACCGGATCTTCACGGGGCTATGCTTCTCAGTTAAGCTTTAATAGTGGTGCTTAATAGGTTATACCCAATGGCATCGGATACCAGCCGTAACTTAAAAACACATTGATGTGACATGATCACGCCAGGAATGGCCTATCACAATGGTAAGCCTCATTGATGTGAAGGTCCCCATGGCCTAATATAATCCAATAACTAAAACCTCCCTGCAGGGACATGACCCTCATATATCCCTAAGCCCTGATCCTAAACCTCAATTGTGCGACATTATCTCATAAGAAATAATATGTACTATTATGACTATAATAGTAACATGTGTTTATGAATCACTGTGAAATAGTGTTGTTATACCTTTATTTAGAATCTTGCAATTCCATTGGTTAATGCAACATGAGGAAACAATACATTTCAATGTAGACCCCGAAATCATGTGACTGACACTGACCCCAAATATGATCACATGATCAGTATTGACCTATCCCATGATGAATATTGTTTGTTTGTTGTTTACACGGCACTCAGCATGATTCCAGCTATATGACGGTGGTCGAGTCTGGACCAGACAATTCAGAGATTGATATCATGAGCATCGATCTGTGCATCAACCTAGTCAGCGAGCCTGACCACACAATCCTGTTAGTCGCCTTTTACGGCAAGCATGGGTTGCTGAAGACCTATTCTACCCTGGATCTTCAAGGGTACCAAAGATGTCCCTGATCTAAACCGCATGAGCGAGTGAGTTAGTGTGTGAGTATGGTTTAACGCCGCTTTTAGCAATATTCCATCAATATCACGGTGGAGGACACCAGAAATGGGCTTCACACATTGTACCCATGTTGGGAATTGAACCCGGGTCTTCGGCATGACAAGCGAACGCTTTGACCACTCGGTTACCCAACCGCCCCTCTAAACTTTAAACCTCATGGGTGACCCCAAAGAGCATGGCTTTAAGCCCATAACATATACCTTATTAGTGTGATATTATACCCATATCACAGATTTACACCCCAACCTCACTGGCATGGTATTATCCTTGACAGTATGTATATGCTGCTATTTTTACTTAACCTTATTGCCATTGAGGTCAGCTAGGGTTTAAGCTCATAACGTAAGCCTTATGTGTGACAATATACTCATGAGCAGGGAGGGTGCTGCTGACTTCTAAGTGGTATCTGTTCACTGAAATAGAGCAAATTGTCAGGGAGCTGAACTTATGTAAGTGATTTGGCCTGCCATTCCTATATGACATCACAGTAACATATCAATTGGTTATTGCGTAATCTGGTGAGTGAGTGAGTGAGTATGGTTTTACGCCGCTTTTAGCAATATTCCAGCAATATCACGGCAGGGGACACCACAAATTGGCTTCACACATTGTACCCATGTCGGGAATCGAACCCGGGTCTTCGGCGTGACGAGCGAACGCTTTAACCCCTTGGCTACCCGACTGCCCCTGCCTAATCTGGTGACACAATGCAACATGACATACTGCAAGCACTGGGATATGTGACAGCACAGAGGTAAGTTACAGTCACTAAGCTTCTTTTTTATGTGAGCAATCTGCCACTTGCTGTTGTTAGTATTAAACACGCAGAGTGATCCCTCGCTCAACAAAATTTGTTTGTCGTTTAATGCCACACTCAGCAATATTCCAGCCATATGATGGCGGTCTGTAAATAATCAAGTCTGGGCCAGACAATCCAGTGATTGACATCACGAGCATTGATCTATGCACTTGGGATTCGATGACATGCATCAACCAAGTCAGTGAGCCTCACCACCCAATCCCGTTAGTCGCCTCTTACAACAAGCTTAGTCGCTTTTTACATCACTCAACAAAAGGAGTGAGGCATAGTGGGTTTCAATGCCTCCTTGTGTCTTCAGTGATAGCACCTACAGCTTAGCACTCAGGAGACACTTGACCAGAAAGAATTTGATATGTTTATTATTTCCATTAGTAATCTGATCTGGATTCAACATAATCATGGGGTGAGGTGAGGTGAGGTGGGGATTACCTAATGTGACGTTCACGATTATTTCACTTCTACAGTGTTGTGCAAGCCCATGTGTATTGCTGTTTGTACAAGTCCATACTGCTATCCCAATGAAAAACCATTCAACTGGTTAACATGAATATTCACTCAGACACATCATACTGACCCAGCCAGTCCTTGTTTATGATAGGGGATCCCTAGCACCAAATATGATTTTTTAATGTCTTTTGTTATTACTCAACCAGGGGATCGAACCTCCCACCTTCCGTTCTCTGGGCAGAATCTTCTCCACCACACCATGAAAGCAATCCACATAATCATGATAATGATAATAATAATAATAAACAAAGGCGACAAAACCCTTACCATATTCAAAAGAAATCTGTGCCAAACACAGAGTTGATTGAGTGTTTCCAACTATATCATGAGCATGTGTTTATGAAGTCACTCAACACAACAGCTTATTGTGAGGTGTGCCATATCTTTGCAGTTAATTGACAGCATTTCACAAAAGATCAACTGCGATCAGCTTCATTCAACCGTGGAAGCGGAGTGACAATCATTGTGAATACCTTGGCGCTGGAAAACAACTTTTTGGGTAGGATGTCCCTACAGTGTACTGTAGCAGACATTTCAAGCTATGTACCAGATACCTGGATGTAACTGCTCACTTGTGACACTTTTAAGAAAACAATCTATGTTGGCACATCAGTTAGAGATGATTTAAACACTGCTAATGATTATTTGCATATTCCACAGAAGGCAACATTGAGACAAGAGCTTTCAGGATACAAATGTACAGTTTATTGACTATATTCAGATAGGAATATAGAAGAAGCACATAATGGTAGTAGTTAGGGCTGGGATGAGTCCAAATTTACTACCCGGGTACCCACCCCCCTACTACCCGGGTACCCTCTGTAGGTCTCAAGAGATTAAGGTACAAAATGTCGGTTGGAAATTTTTTACCATATTCCTGGCCAAAGGTATTTAAGATACATGTATTAAACAATCTGATCATGCATACACTGAAGTTGACTTAAGTTATATCTTTATTCAACCATATGAAAAGTCAGAAAGAATGGGTGCATAGTCAGAAATCACTGTGGCGTAACCACTGAGCTGTACTGTATAGAGTATTTGTCATTAAACAATATATCACATGACTAACCCGGGTCCTTAGTAACTCAGTACCCACCCGACCCGGGTACCCGAGTTACCCGTCCCAGCCCTAGTAATAGTGGTGAAACGATACAGCAAGGTCACGATACAATACATATCACGATACATAGGTCATAATATGACACATATCACGATACAATAC